CGCTCCCCCTCCTCCAACCTCCGCCTTGCGCTCAGACCCTGAAGAGACTAGAGCTCTCTGGGTCCGTCACGGGCCACGCCCCGGAACAGGCACAGCTGTTTGTGACTTGTTAGGCCACCGCAGCAGGAGGCCCTGATTTGGAGAGTGGAGTTTTCCAACTTGCGAGTCGGACTAGGGGTGTGGCTTCCGAGACGGTGTCCTAAAGCCCCCGTCCGTGAGGTCGGACGCTGACTCCAGCTTTGACCAACCTGTCCACAACTAACGTAGTCTCGGCAAAAATTACATAATACGATTGTCTTGTGAAGTAGACTTTTGTCTTTTGTACCTTTGGCGATAAAACTTCCATCTGGTCCACACAGAGCTTCCCTGAGGGCTGATTGGGTGTGTCTTTGCTCCAGTATAAGCACCGACTATTTTTGGCCAGCGCTGCCGGTCATGCATCACAACACACCTGTGAAGGTATTCGCATTATCCGCACCGCGCGTGGCCACCAGCATTTTCGCTGAGTTATGCCATGAGCAAGATAACTGCCGTATATAAGAGCTTTTCCTCCCTAACATGAACGGGGTTGACGCTTAACACGCGAGGAATAGTAAGGGTGGTTATGGGTTTTTGAAGGTTTTTTGAGGCGCCACTTACAGCGGTTCCAGCTTTGTCCGCAAGCCAATGCTTTAAGCTTCTCGACTCCTTGATCCTGCATGGATCTAGACGGATGTAGGGGATTGTTTCGTCGATACACCCTGAGACTTCCCCAACAGACACTCTAACCAGCTCAGAAGCTAGCAAGAATCTTGACCCTCGCTCCCCGAATCTAAAGAGTTTACGGAGTCGTCTAACCGCGTGTATTTGAGCCACGCCCACATGCTGAAATCATCAGCACTCCTCTCGCCTACCAGCGACTGCCATGGACGTTTTGCTGCTGGAATATTTCGCCTATCCCCGCTTGCCTACCCCTCTCCTACCGTACCTACCTCTCTTCTCGTGGAATATCCACTCAGGCCCTAGTGGAGTAGCTTTATATACAACAGCGGTAAAACAATGGGCGCTTATTCAGTCTCCTCTGCTCTGAAATAAACCATCCAGCTATTCATGGTCGCCTTCCTGACAAAAATGAAAGCGCCAAACTACACTCTGGGCGCCCCCTTCAGGAGGCCGTGAAGTAGATTTCCAGCTGCATACCAAAGCAACAACACCTTACTTTACAACACCTTCCAGCAGGCACCAAGCTCGAAACGATGCAATAAGATTGGAGTCCACCGTGACGTCACTCAAAACTATTTTCAACCAATCGAGAACGTCATCAAGCCCCCTTGTGTTTAAGCAAGTAACAACCAACCTCTGGTTATTACCAATCACGTGACTGTCATGTGATTCACATGTGATTCACAGATTCTCTGCACTATGACAAGATACTGATAGAATGGAGGCCGTTTTTAAGTAAAGGCAAACACATGATTAATATCTGATCTCTGACATACCCAGGAAGGAGAACTATTGCTCAGTGAACTTGTTAAATACTATCTGAAGTGGTGGAGAAGGTATATACCTACGTCACAGTGTTTCAGTGGCAGCTAGTCCAACTGTGCTGAACTGGTATTCCTGACAGGTAGAGACTGAAGTTACCATCACACATCTTGTGAGAGCCACTGCCTGGACTGTCTCCGGATGAGCTTGCTTTCCCCGGTCCGGTGAACCACTCATTATCCTAGATCTTGTAGACTCTCTCGGAGTATCCTAGATCTTGCTCTGTATTCTCGAGTCTCCTATACCTTGCTCTGTATTCTAGGTATACTGAGCTTGCCAGGCTCGGCCATTCTACGCTCTCGAGGCAGCCGAACATCCCACATCTTCCAACACTACTGGTGAAAATATAACTCCATCATCAAAAATGTGACCCTGTCTCTATATTTTCTAGCTGTGCTGTCTACGGTCCTTGACGATACTGTGAAGAGGTGTGGTGGCGTGGAGCTAGCCACACCGGGCTGACGCCCTCTCTCTGAGCTCCTCTCCCAGGGTAGATCGCGTGAGGGTGGAGACATCATTTTCCCACTTGCAGCACCACTCTCTTCACAATCTTCTCTTTATCAGGAGTCAAGTCTACCGTGCTGACTTCAGGGAAAAAATGCCAACCTTCTTCTTTCTTTCACAGGTAAGCTTCACTGCTAGAATACATGTCCTAGCCAGAAATCATTTTGTTCTCAGGTAGGTACGCAAGTTGGTAAGCCAAACGACAAGTATTTTTTCCATGACAATTGATTTACCCAACAAACAAGCATCGTACTCGCATATCCTACCACCCTCGCTAAGTTTTAGTTCCCTTAAATTTAAAAAAATAGATTTTTAACGTCTTTGTCTTTTCTCTGACTCTCTGACCTCTGACCTCTCCCTCGATAGCCATCTTCAGTCTGACGAGAGAGAGGTTCCGAGAGTCCGGAGCTCATACGAGCCGTCTCCTTCATCTGACACACTACCACCCCACACCCGCTGCCTGACCGTCCGCCCTGTCTCGCGCCTCGACGCTCCACCACGTGAGCTGATTTTGAAACTGAAAGACAAACTATGAGGTATCTGTTTGCTTCTTTTACACAGGTCTATCACACATAGAATTCACCCTCCCTTAGCCCCATGTGGATTTCTTCTTCTGTGGGAGTCAGATTGTGTTTTAGGGAGACGGCATTAATCGTACCACAACACTTCTTCAAGCAACCCATATTCAAATTTCCCTGCTATATATTGTGTTATGTTTGTCAGATCTGCAAGGGTGGTATGCGACACTACCACGCATCCATGTCAGATGACACTCTGTGCTTCCAGCTTGTGCTATGTCTCAGGTTTGACTCACGTATTACTACACACACTGTCCATATGATAATGCTCCTCCTTCTCTGCTCCTCTCTCTCTCTCTCTCTCTGATTAAACAGTGGAGGTTGGTGACCCGATATCTGCAGCGATGTTGACGCTGATGTCGTAGTCGCTTCCCTTCTGGTCAGAACCAGTCCCGATCTACACGTTCTAACATCCTATCACACCTATAGTCATACCATACAGATTGTCCCCAATATATAATCAATTGTTGTTGTGTGCTCTACTCTTCTCCAAACTCCATGTAGGTCACACTATGCCGCTCATCCTTCCCTGCCTCACCACCAAAGAGAACTAATGCTCTCATACTTCCTGGAGTGGCCTCACGTAAAGGAAACTCTCTCTCTCTCCCCCTCCCCTTCTTCCTCCTCCCTCGCTGTACTCTCTGCCACCTCTCCGTTCCTCTTTCTCTTCTCCCCTTCTCATACCTCGTTTCTCTCCTTCTTCCTCCTCCCTCGCTGTACTCTCTGCCACCCTCTCCGTTCCTCTTTCTCTTCTCCCCTTCTCCTAACCAAAAACCCCTCGTTTCTCTCTCCTTTCTTTCCCTCCTCCCTCTCTTTACTCTCTCGTCCCTCTCCCTTCCTCTTTTCCTCTCTCCCTTCTCCTGCCCTATCTTTTCTCTCCTTCCTTCCTCCTCCTTCCCCGTACTCGTCTCCTCTCCTTGACCCGCCCAAGTCTCCTTTCCTGCTTTCTGCTTCTTTTCTCCCCCTCCTCTTACCCAGTCTTTTTTTCTCTCCTCCTTCTCGCTACCTCGACTCTCTTTCCTCCTCTTCTCCCCGTGTACCGTATCCTCTTTCTCCGCTCCCCTTCTCTCCCTTTCGCTCTTTCCCATCTCGATCCTTCTTCCTCCCTCCTGTACTTCCTGCCTCCCTTCTCTTTCCTCTCTGTGCTCCCCTCTCCGTTCTCATTTCCTATCTCCCCCTGTCTCCTCTACCTCTCTTGATCTTTTCGTCTCTCTCTCTATCGCTTTCTCTCTTATCCTCCTCCCTCAGCTGTACTCCCTCTGCCACCTCTCCGTTCCTCTCTTTCTCATTCCCCTTCTCCTACCATCGCTTTCTCCTCCTTCTCCCTCCTCCCTCGCTGTACTCCTTCTGCGCACCTCTCCGTTCCTCTTTTCCCTCTTCTTTCTCTTCTCCCTTCTCCGCCTACCCACTCGCTAATAACCCCAGCTCTGCCTCTTTTCTCTCCTTCTCTTTCTTTTCCCTTCCTCCACCCTCTCTTTCCTCCCTTCCCCCCTTCTCTTTAATCTTTCACCATTGTCCTCTTCTCTTCTCTCCTCTCCCCTTCTCACCCCCACTACCGTCTGTTTCTCTCCCTTCTTCTCCTCCCTCTCTTTTCCTCTCTCCTCTTCTCCCTCTCACTCTTTCTTCCTCTTTCTCTTCTACCCCTCCTCTACCCTCGAGGGGCTTTTTCTCTGCGCCTTTCTCCTCCCTCCTCCCTCTCTTGCTCCTCTGCTCAACCTCTCCCGCATCCTCCTTCTCTTTCTCTTCTCTCTCTCCCCTCTCCTCCCCAACCCAACCCTCGTTTCTTCTCCTTCTTCCCCCTCCCTCTCTTGTATTCTCCGCGCACCCTCTCCATTCCTACTTCTCTTCTCCCCTTCTCCTACCACCCTTCCGCCTTCTTCTCCCCTTCTCCTTCTTCGCCCTCGCCGTACTTCAGATCTCTTTCCCTCTTCTCACCTCTCCTTCCTCTTCTCTCTTCTCCCTTCCTTCCTCCCTCCCTTGTCTGTTCGCTCCTCCTTCCTCATACTCCTCCATCCCGGTTCTCTTTCCTCTCTTCGTCCCTCTCCTTTCCTCCTTTCTCGCGTTCTCCTGCCTCATAGCTCTTCTTCTCCCCCTTCTCCACTCGTTTCTCTCCTCCTTCTTCCTCCTCCCTCGCTGTACTCTCTGCGCACCTCTCCGTTCCTCTTTCTCTTCTCCCCTTCTCCTACCTCGTTTCTCTCCTTCTTCCTCCTCCCTCGCTGTACTCTCTGCGCACCTCTCCGTTCCTCTCTCTCTTCTCCCCTTCTCCTACCTCGTTTCTCTCCTTCTTCCTCTGTGTGTGCAGGTGTCTCCCTCCCAGCCACCCGCAACTGACAGCGAGGGAGAGACGGATGACCCACGGAGCCAAACCGACACAGACGGACCCGACTACAGACAAATACTCTCTCCCACAGTGTTCGACACATACAGTATGCCCAACCGTACACTTACCTTCCATTTGTCAACACACCTTGGTCTACCACGAAGGTATCTACTATTACAAAATCAAGGCTCTGAATTTTCGGCTCGTGAGTGATAAATCAAATGATGATGGTGAGGAAACTAAATCTTGTCTCTTACACTACACTTCTTCCTCTCACTTCTTTCTTTATCTCATCTCTTTCTTCTTCTTCTTCTTCTTCTTCTTCTCCTCATCATCTTCTTCTTCCTCATCATCACCATCTTCTTCTTCTTCTTCTTATTCTCCTCCCAGATTTTTCGTCGTCCTTGCCTCAGCTCTTGTCGACCGTGTTGAGTCAGGCAAAGTATGGCATCGGTGGAGCTCCAGTCACAACTCTCTTCAGACTACTCTTTGCCTACTACCCTCCCTCACACCTCCAGTGGCAGCGAACTCTGCCAGTGAGTCCAACACTTCTCGTCCCACTCTTGCAAATTTCACCTTCGTTTTTCCACCTCTCGCTCTCCCTTCTTTCTTTCACTTTCTTTCTTTGTCTCCCTTTTTCCTCCTCTTTCTTTACACACACACACACATTCTCTTTCTCTCACTGTCGCTGCTTCATTTTCCTCTCTCTCCGTACCTCTGCAGGTTGGTGACTGAACTGGTCAGGACACATCCAAAGTTCATTCCACACATGATCGACTTCATATCTTCAATAGATAGCGCCTTCCCTGACAGGTCAGCACACCATATCTACCTTTCCATATGTTTGTATATATGTATCCATTGTATCTCTAGTCCTGTTCCTCTGCAACTGCTGGCCGACTATCTTCATTTCGTCTCCTCTTCTCCCCTCCTCCCCAACCTCCCTCTCTTCCTCCTCTTCCTCCCACACGCTGCCAAACACCCCTCCATTAACCCACTCGTAAGGCTACCACAGTGAATATGGGACACATTGGGGCCATTGAAAGTGAAAACCTCTGAATATGGGACACATTGGGGCCATTGAAAGTGAAAACTCTCTGATTATGGGACACATTGGGGCCATTGAAAGTGAAAACCTCTGAATATGGGACACATTGGGGCCATTGAAGTGAAAACCTCTGATTATGGGACACATTGGGGCCATTGAAAGTGAAAACCTCTGATTATGGGACACATTGGGGCCATTGAAGTGAAAACCTCTGATTATGGGACACATTGGGGCCATTGAAAGTGAAAACCTCTGAATATGGGACACATTGGGGCCATTGAAGTGAAAACCTCTGATTATGGGACACATTGGGGCCATTGAAGTGAAAACCTGATATGGGACACATGGGGCCCATTGAGTGAAAACCTCTGATATGGGACACATGGGGCCTTACTGAATATGGGACACATTGGGGCCATTGAAATGAAAACCTCTGAATATGGGACACATTGGGGGCCATTGAAGAAAACCTCTGAATATGGGACACATTGGGGCCATTGAAATGAAAACCCTGATCATGGACACATGGGGCCATTGAAAGTGAAAACCTCTGAATATGGGACACATTGGGGGCCATTGAAAGTGAAACCTCTGAATATGGGACACATTGGGGCCATTGAAAGTGAAAACCTCTGATTATGGGACACATTGGGGCCATTGAAAGTGAAAACCTCTGAATATGGGACACATTGGGGCCATTGAAAGTGAAAACCTCTGATTAAGGGACACATTGGGGCCATTGAAAGTGAAAACCTCTGATTATGGGACACATTGGGGCCATTGAAAGTGAAAACCTCTGATTATGGGACACATTGGGGACATTGAAAGTATTCATTTTTCAGAAGTATCCTTTATTTGAAGGTATTAGTATGGGGCAAAAACCAAGTGTCCTTATTAGAGAAGTGTTCATTAATTGGAGGGCCCTTTTTCAGTGTTTCACTGTAATAATATTTATTGCTTGTTAAGTGGGTGTGGCTTACCGGATGGTATTCCAAACAGGTTGTGATCCAGTTTCTGACTCGTGTGGTGAGAGACAAGACATTGTGTGAGGTTGGGGCTTGGAGCACCGGCTCCGCAATTCTCAACATTATCAACACCATCTTGAGGACACACCCCACAAACTCCATTTTCAAAGGTGGTGGTCCTATCTATTTCCATTACATCACAATTACATCGTTTGTTGCTAAAAATACCAAGGGCTGACTCACTTGCTTGAACTGGTCTCGACCAACTATAACGACATTGGTATGCAGCTGCGTAGCTAACCTGTAAAACTGGTTTTCGAAACCTGCTCCATTCCAGATGTTCAGGACAGGGCACGATTCTACCACCAACTCATCATGTCCGTCTCTGGAGACAAGGTGACCTAAACCTGTCCTGCTAACCTGTCCTGCTAACCTGTCCTGATATCTCCTCTCAGTTGGCGGGGATTCTGTCGCTGGCCTCCGATGGCTCTGCCGGCTCCACACTCTCTGACATTGTTGAAGGTCTCACAGAATCCGCTTACTTACGCTTTCAGTTTCAGTTCTTTGTGTCTCCCTCTCCTCCCTCTCCTCCCTCTCCTCCCTCTCCTCCCTCTCCTCCCTCTCCTCCCTCTCCTCCCTCTCCTCCCTCTCCTCCCTCTCCTCCCTCTCCTCCCTCTCCTCCCTCTCCTCCCTCTCCTCCCTCTCCTCCCTCTCCTCCCTCTCTTCCTACAGCTCGAATCGCAGACAACACATTCCCCTCGGCTCCTCCAGTGCAGATAATCTCAGAACCTTTTCTCTCTCTCAATAGGTGAGTTCTCTCAATAGGAAGAGTAAGCAGCATTGCAATGCACCTCTTCAACACTGATGAAAACTTATGATGTATCAATGTATTCCTTCACTAGGGTGAATTCGTGTGAAGAAAGGTTCTACAAAGACGAGGCTGATCGTTTAAGTGGTATGTTGGTTTGTTGACCACACTCATGCAACACCCCTAGCAACTGTTGCCTTGACTACACCAGGGGAGGGAGCGGAAGAGGAAAAGGGCTCGTTCTGTCTTCAGTACTTCGTCCAATTTGTAAGAGAGGGGCGGAATGTGTTAAAATCTAATTATGTATGTGTGCAGGTGAAGTGTCCTGAAAGAGTATCAAGTCAGATATTTGCAGTTGTCTTACGACTCTCTACTGATGGTCCATATCACTCATGTCCAGGTCAGACTGCAGAGTCTAGTATCTCACTGATGTATAGAGAGAGAGAGAGACAAAGAGATTGTTGAGTGGTTTTTTAACTCCGTAGATGTATACATACCATGCCTGTCTTCAAAAGCATCAGGAGCAGCTACCAAATCAAGTAACTAGGATCTAATGGTCATTTACACAGTTTTGTTCGCTAAATTTTTCTTCCTTAGCTGAGAAAATTGTGACGTTCACCTTTTTTCCAAAGCAGCCGGTGCCAGCCGTCTTTAGAGCACGGTAACTCATAGCAACTACCACATACCAAAAACTTTCGTTACGAACACAAAAAAAAACTTTGTGAGTCACACCAAGGGAACTTTTCGCGAAAAAGGTTTTGCAAGCACTTTCAGCTAGTGTACCCAAACCAAAGTATTCACGAAAGATACGAAATTGACATAAAATGTGTAGTCGCCTCATTGTTCCAAGACGTCGACTCAGGGGCACCTGATAGCTTTTTGAAAAATGCGCTTCCCTAGCAACCAACCTTGTGTCAGTGCACATTGTAACAGTCCCCGAGTCCTTGTTGGAGTCCATGATGCCCCTGCCACTATCTTCATCCTGGGTATGCAGGGTAATTTTCACGACAGGAGAAGGCGTGACGTGTGTGTGCGAACTGGGAGATGTTGAGGTAAAGTTTGAAGACCTCCTCCGGCCACTACCACAGTCCCTCATACCACAACAGGTACATCTGTTTCTACCTACTCTTCTGCTCCTTCATCCCTACACACTATTTACTGAAGCTCTACTCTATGGTATCGTGTTGCTTTCCTAGAAGAGGCTTCCCGAGAGTGGTTCTTTTGAACCCCACTGAATTATATTTTGTAGACAAACATTGCAAAAATAGTTATCAGAAGTGACTGATACAATTCCTTGCAACGATACATTGCTCGCTCTGTGCGTAACATATTTCTGCTTCGCTGTTGTTTTCTTGCTGAAACTGTGTGTCTGTGTGCAGGTCTGTTACAAGCAGCTGTTTCTGCAGCTCTGGTCCAAACTAGAGTCTTCTCAGAACACAATGTAAGACACCCCACTTTCAGTTTCAACTAGCCACTAACTCACTCTGTGGATTTCCTCTTGCAGCAAGAGAGGGGGAGAGTTTAGTCTGTTGTCTACAGTTCACCTAGACATCGGCTGGAAAGAGTGGGAGAATGCGGCTGAGAGGTTGCAGCTGTTACTGGTACCCACTTCTAATGGCGAAGAAGGAGCGTGTTACCTGGTGTTCCTGCCCCCTCGTTACCACCTGCTAATGAGGGCTCGCCGTTCAAACGACCGGGAAGGGGGTGTGGACATTTGGTTGGCAACGGACTATTGGAGAAGTCTTGGTTTGGTAAATGACTATCTTCTACAGATGTCTGGTAGAACTGGTACAATTGAGGGCGTGGTCTAATAGCTAAAACTTGTTCCTCTGGAGGTTTGAGTGTTTGCGGAAATGGTTGAAATCACAGATTTTCTTATGTGGTTGTTGACTAACAAATAATCAAGAGTACAAGTTAAATTTTCATAGAGGTAAAAGTAAACAGAACAGCAGCCTAATAAAATGAAGTTCTATTTTAGTTTCAAAACTAAAAACTAGCAATGTTTAGGGACTATATGAGCTTTATCTATCCGATCCGGTCCAGCAACTCATCTAGTACCAGGATTACCAGCCGGTTGATCTATTAGAGAGAGAGAGAGACACACACTATATCACCACTGAGGTTGAATCATTGACACAATTATACTGCTAGTTAGTGAGGTGTCTAACCTCTCTCGGGATCCGGGAACGGATTCCGTCAGAAATCCTCCTTTTCGCTACGATTCTGTGCAAAAGAATTTCAATCAAAACATTGTGGAGATGGGGGTCTCTATAATGGTGTACTAACCCAAGAAGCCTCCCAGTAAAGTCGACGCCGTAGCTGCCATACTCAGTGGTGCACTCAGCATTCTCCGGTGTCACACAATAATTTGGACCTTCAACTGTAGGTTTGAGAGAAACAGAGGGAGTTAGTTGTAGGACAAGTGGAACCCCTCTAATCTTGACACAAATGGGTCAGAAGAAAGTGCCAACGTTAGTGAGATTTCCTTGGGGGAAAGAAAAGGTGTCCTTGGAGAGGAGTTCCACTGTGTTGTGTGGGGTAGTCTTACTTGGTATTGTGCAGGTCACAACTGAGTTTCTAGCAGTAGCTCTGAATGTGCCGCGCCTGGTCTTGAATAACCTGAACAAGGAGCAAGAATACAGTATGGCCGTTATAGGAAATGAATGGGCTACCTCTTTCTGCTAATGTCCCCAGTCAAAATAAAGGTCTCCACGTTGAGAGTGAGTGTGAGGGCCTCTTGTGAGTCAGCAGCACCTCTGCAACCGCGCACAGGCAGCTCCAGTTCCTCCACTGCAATACTGAGTGCATGGGGAATGGCTTTTATTGGTCAATGGATCTCTCGTGGTAGTAGCTACATTCATAGGTGCAGGGGAAGAATTTGGCTTACTTTGTGATGGTGACGCCAGACTCTCTGATGTCATCAAACATTTCTGTAGTGGCACCATATTCAAGAGCATCCAAGTTCAGGCACACTGGCCCATGTAACGAGGGAAAGGGAAGGAGTTAGATAGCTAGCTGAACATGTATTGCTGAAGAGAGACAAGGTTTACCTCCAAAATGCAGGACAATGGGGTGGTTAAGGTTTCTGCATGTCTGACCAGCACAAATTGCAGCACAGACCAGCAGACAGATAGTAGTAGTAGCCACCAGCTTCATTGCAAAATCCTCTCCAAGTTACGGTTGAAAAAAGTTGCTCGTGTTTTAGTTGAGCTAACCGGCTGCTTTTATAGGCCTGTGTGTTTACGTTAGTGGCTTTGTGTTTTCAAGGAAGATTTCTCGTGGTGTTGAGGTAATTTTGAGGTCATTGCTAGCAGGGAACTACCACTGATTCGCCTCCAATTATTCAGTTTTGTAGACATGGACAAAAAAGGCAGGGGGAGAGCCTATAGTGGGTAAAACTTTTAAGGGGATTGCAGTGGGTGTGTGGATGGAGTAGGCTTAAAAATGGCCAAGTTTGTGGTTATGATGTAAGCAGGTATCCGGTAACACATCCACATGATGAAGCTCTATCATTACACAATGTTATGGTTACACCTTAGCTTCTATAGCAGGTTACAGCTTCTCTAACACAGTAATTAAGATACATGTATAGTTTTTCTGTCCGAGAGTTGCGGTGTCTCATATGCTGAGCAGAAGACACACTCCAGCGATGATCCACTTGGCCTGTTTCTCCTTGGTTTTCAGGTTGAAAGTCCAGACGAAAGTGGGGCCTCGTGTGCGTGTCTTGTACACCGGGCACTCGTAGATGTTCTTTGTCTCCTGTTTGTCCACAGGGATGGCTCTGATGAAGATGACAGGCATGGTGGGGGTCAGGTCTTTCAGTTGAGACTCTTGAATGAGCCCAGTCTGGGTGTCCCAGCGAGCTCCCTCCATGAACAGTCCGTGGACATAGGCCCCTTCTCTCGGGGGACTGCTGAAGTCTTCCTTGTTTTTCTTGGACACGTCGCACTGAAGACACATCTTGTCCAGTGGCCACTCGTTCTTGCGAGCCATGGACTGCATGACGGCAGTGAGGAAGGACTGCGGGTTGAAGAATCCTCCGAGCCAGATGCAGGCAGGCATGTTGAAATCTCCCACCCAGTTCTCAAGGTCTCGGATGCGAAGAAGGAGGTCGATGTACCAGGTGGTCAACCCACTCAGGGAGGGGTAGGCTCGTTTCGTCCATGAGTCAGGGACTTTGTCAAGGAACAGGGCATTCTGAAGGCTCTCCATGTCTGCTGTGATAGTCAGCTCCCCCTGTGGAATAGTACAGATCAATTATTAAAGAATTGGTGTAGGATACCCTGAAATGAGGACACTTGTCTAATAAAGACACCTTTCTTTCCCCAAAGTTCTTGCATGCAATTTAATCCCTGAAATGGACACCTCACTAATCCTTCTATTTAGCCCATTGGTGTCTAGATTAGAGGGGTTCGACTCGATATAATTGGACATTGTTTGACTAGAGATGGTACTAGGTTTACCTTCAGACCAAGGTCCAGCTCCTTGAGAGATCGGCGGATCTCTCTCGTGAGGTTGTTCATCCTCTCGCACTCCTGGAGGGCCACCAGGACATAGGGAGTCTTCTCCTCGGCTCTGGCCGACAGCTCTAACATGACAAACTCCTCCGGGAGTTTCTCCAGAATCTCGTCCAGAATTGACTTCACCTACAGCCACGGGTGTCACAGAGGTTCAGCATTACAGGCACTCGCACTCAAGAATAAGTATGGCTAGGTTCACACTATGTCGCTTGCCCCGTCGCGCCGTGCTGTGTTGCCGCATCGCAAGGATAGAATCCTTTTTTTTCTTCGTGGCACGACGCGACGCGGCATGTGATGGGGGAATGCAACACATTGCGAACCTAGCCCAAAATGGTTATGAGGTGTTTACCTTTTCCTCTCTGCTGGTCCCACCAGCTCCAGCGGCTGATGAATCTCGCGGCTGCATCTCCAGAACAGTTCTGAAGAGGTTCTCGGAGGTGGTGGTCAGGAAACCAATCTCAGCGTTGGGGTGGAGTCCGTAGAGGTAGGGGCTCTCTGGAGGGAGGCTCTCGTCAATGTATGTGTGGTAGCCATCGTACTCGGAGTTTGGAGGCTGTGGAAAGCCTGGAGCATACACCAGCTCCCCATCCAGCTAGAGAGAGAGTGGCATGATTGTGAAGGAAGGAGATGGTACGTAAGCTGACCAGCTCAGCTTTCATGTACTCCTCGAGGTAGGTCCTGCAGAGCCTTCGGTCCCAGTCATCTGTGATGTGTCCTCCGTACATAATCTCACCAAACAGGTAGCGCAGGTCAGTCCACGGCACCTGGAGCAAAAAAGCAACCACTATTATTCCATACATTCTCTAGGGGCACACTCATTGATTGCTACTCTAAACATTGCCTGCCTTGCTATTGGCCTCCAGGTAGTTGTAGACTACAGTCACACTGATGGTAAGATCTCCAGTGTTGTAGGGATAGGACCTGTTCCACCCCTGGGGCCCAAACTTTCTTCTCTCCACCACCACCGCATGGAAGTAGATGAGAGAGAAGAGGATGCACTTGAACTCATTCTCCTTCGAACACATCTCCAGAGTTTCCTGTGGTTCATACAGTATAGCTAAATAAACACTATTATGCTAATACTAACTGAAATGTGTGTGTGCACTTGCGCACGCGTGATGTGTGTGTGTGCCAAGGGTTTCAACTGGCCTGGCTGAAGTTGTCCAGGGCCTTGTGAAGGTTGGCTGTCATCCCTGTCGGTGGCTCGTTGGTGATCTTGATTGCGGACTCCAGGATCCCCTGGGGTATGTTGTGACCTGATCTGTCTGCCGCCGGCTCTGCTGACATGTAGACACGATAATCATTGTGGCTCCCCACACTGTACTGTTCCAGTTTCTTGTCCAGCTTAGGCAGCCACTTGGCCACCAGATGGATATTCTATAGTATACAGAGATTATGCCACCTGGTGTATAGGGTTATGGGTTCTAGTACCTGAAGGATGACCCAGTGACCTTCCTTGGAGGCCACGTCCAGAGCATTCTCGGCCACAATCTCCTGTCCCTGCCCGAGAGAAATGTTGTGGAAGTTCTTGTCGTCGACCGTGAAGCCCAGCTTGTTCCCCAGTGCCTCCACATCCTTGAGAGGATCAACTCCAGGGCTGAGGACAAAGAACACCGGAGTGCCCGGCCCAGTCTCCTGGTAGGAGACCTCGAATGGAGTGTTGCACTTTTCGACGTACTTGTTGCCCAGCTTCTCAGCCACAAACAACCTGGAGGCCACATAACGTCACAATGGTAGACAGTATGAAAGGTGAGTGTGTGGATATACACGGTCTCATGAGTGAGATAGGGGGAAACACAAAGATTATGATAAGGAGAAAACAGGATGGTTATGAGTGAGATAGGGGGAAAAGACGAAGGAACGACACATACGTGACTGCGTAGGTCATCCGGTCTGGTCTTAGAGCTCTCATCATGCACAGTTTCTGCAGGGAGTTCTTGTTCTTCCACTCTCCTGGGAACTTCTCTTTCTCTGGACACTCGCTGTCTGTGAACTTCTTCCACCTCTTGGCTGAGCCCTGGACAGACACAACATTTAGTAGTTGGCGAAAAACGAAGGTTAAGAGCGAGATAAGGGGAAAGACGAAGCTGGCAGAGCCCTAGACACCAGGTATCTGATTCACTGTATATGAGCATGTACATGAGCATGTACATACATAAAGACATGTGTAATTAGAATGTCTTGGTCACTAGGACTCTGAAGACCACCAGGAAAGGAGCTATAAGAGATGATTTGTCTACCTCAATATCTCTGTCGAGGTTCCTGAACTGCTCCATGCCAGAGAGGGCTTTGATTCCTCCCCAGCAGTTATTGGGGAGGAAATCAACCGGACTGACGACATTTGGAATGACAGGGAACCTCAAGAGAAAGTCCAGCTCACTTGGGTCAATCTGCTTAGCCGACAGCAACACCTGGGGACCAGAAGGTGAGTTAAAGAATGGGGGATTAAGAGGGAGAACAGAAGAAGTATAATTATACCTGGAAAGCCACTTGGGAGGTGAAGATGAGTTTGTCCCTCTCAAAGAGACCTCGGCTGGTGTACATGAAGACTGAGTAGGTGATGCTCTCAATCAGCTTCTCAACTCTCTCCTTCACCACATCCGATACCTCGGCACGCTCGATTGCCTTCTGGAACACCACACTGAATGCCTGCAGTGGCAGGAGAAGAGGTGGTATACCATGTTAGTCTCTCGGTGGAAGGTTCTTGTACCTTGAGAGAGAACTGGTAGAGAGGATTGATCTTCTCCAGGTCGTTCAGGATGAAGTAGAGGAGAGAGGCCCGAGCAGCCGCTGGTCGATAGTTTTCTCTCGCTTCGTTTATCTTCTTCTCTGTCAGCAAGGCTTCAGCCACCTGTAGTAGCAGTGAACTTGTCACTATGCATAATGAAAGCGAAACGTGAAATTTTTTATGTATGGGCATGATGCTGGAAAACATCTTAGTTATAGTATAGTATAGTATAGTATAGCTAGAGATGTTGGCTAGATGATACCTTCTTCTCAATGTCCTGGGCTGTGAGTTTGGTAGTCTCGAGGTTTTCAACCAGAGCCGTATCTCCGAGAAAGTTTCCACCAGCCGATGAGAGACGAGAGAGCAGCGAGTCCTCCAGCTCTTTCAGCTTGATCTTGAACTCATTCTGCTGGCGAGTCAGCTCCGCCTACCAACCCACAGACCAACATCCAGTAGTTAGTAACACATACAGTGGAAATTTCATGGAAAAACAAGGATTTTCATAAGTGTATCAACCCATGAAAAAATCTCAAGGAAAATGCTATGAAAAAGGGTGTCCACATATCATGAAAGGGTAAACTTATTCAAAGGCTCCAATCCAAGTTCGTGAGACTTTTCATTTGTGGTAGTGGCTTGAGAAAATGGGGAAACCTTGGTTTTTTCGAGGTCAGGTCTCTCAGTGGCGACCACTTCAGCAAGAAGCTGGTCCTCCAGCCCGTCTCTTGTGACTGTGAAATTGATGAGAGTAGCCTGCGCCTGCATCTCTGGCTTGTAGTGAGGGTTTGCCAGCTTTGTCTGCATGATCAACCTGTGCAACCGGTACCCAGCCAACTCATTCAATCACTATGTAATAATCTATGTGAAGTAGCTTAGCCCAGCTATGGAGAAGAGTGGTCTTGTGTACCTGAAGTTGGGGTGGTATTCCACTTCCTTGTCTCCCATTTTGATATACTTTCCTTTCTTGATGGTGAGTCGGCCCAGCAGAGGGTCCAGAACAGCATCCACGTTCTCTCCAATGTTTTCCAGGAGAAGAGTATCTCCATTGGACACGGCTCGCTCTATCGCATCCAAATAGCTGCACAAGAGAGAGAAAGAGAATAGCCTAGATGTGTATTTTCAAGGAATGACAAGATACCCTTTCGTTCCAAGTCTAACGACTTTGAGGTTATCTCCCTCCCTTGTTTTGATCCACTTGATCCCCTGGAGCTGAGGGTCGACCATCAGGGGCCAGCGCTCGGCGTTGGTGAGGATTGTGGCGTTCTCGATGGACATACGGTCACTGGGAAGGTTCTCGTTGCACCACTGGGCTATCTTGGCTGCATCGGTGAGGAGAGAGAGGACATCCAGGTTCTCTGTCCTTGGAATGGCAGGCTGCACACACACAGGTGTAATACAAATGAACCTCCAAAGTAATTGGGTGTATATACTTTGAGGTCACGCAGGAAAGGTATCCACTTTTCATCCAGTAACTGAGTTCTGTAGCTCTTGCTGAAGCAGCCCACATACGACAGGTAGGCAGAGGTGAGGAGCACGTCTCCAGCAAGAGTCTTCTCCTCCTCGCGAAACTTCTCCACTGATTCTGCCCATCGCACCTTCTCTGATACCAATCCACCCACTAGCCTAGGTGTGGTACAGTGTTAGAGGTGTAACTTTCAGATAAGGGAGAAGGGGGAGAGAGGAACCTGTTGGCTAGAGAGATTGTAGAAGCTGTAGCCTCTGCCTCTTGCTGGCATTTCAGCTTGGCCGCAGTCGCCTGCTCAAACTGTGCTCTCAGCTCTGCCAGGTTGTCATCCAACAACTATTCAATGAGATACGAGTCACACCCTAGTAAAATTCAAAATTCACACACGTTACCTTTATCTTGTCCTTGATCTTCTTCAGCTTTGCTTGAGCAGCCGTCAACTCGGCATTGGCAGCCGCAAGAGCCTTTCTCTTGGGCTCCACGTCGCAGAAGACGCGGTAGAATGCGACAATGTTGACTGCCCAGGAGCAGAGTCCAGAGGCAGCAAAGGACTTGTTGCGAATGAATTCGGGGTCAAACTCTTTGTCGTCGAGGTACGGCTGCACGGCTTTGAGGTTGGGGTCTGGGATGTTTTCCTTGTCAAAGTTTATGAGGGAGTCTAGGAACTGGTCGACTTTTGCCATCATTATCTTCGCCTGATTCCACGACCTGTCCTTGGGGATCTTATTGGATGGAGCAAGGAGCATCATCACGGCTGCTGTCACATTCACGACAGCCGGCGGGGGTTTTCCGAACGACTTCAGCTCGGTGAGGTTGGCTTTGTTCAGGGTGTCCAGAGCTGCAACTGCACCCTTGAGTGCTGGCTCTGCTTTAGCCAAGTCTGTCTCACAGTCTCTCTGTTTCTTCGATACCTCGATGGTGATTTTTTCAACTTTCTTTTCCTCATCATCGGCAATCTCTTTTTCTTTCCCAACCTTCTCCTGCTCCACTCCAACCTATGGAAATTATTGTTTAGAACTACATACTTTTTCACTTTATGTCTAGACTACCTTCTTGATGAGGGCATCGGCATCCTCGTTCTTCTGTTTGAGCTCCACCTCCTGTGCAGCAAGTTTTTCCTTCAGATCGTCGACCTGAGCTGCGGTGTTCTTCAGCTTCTCCAGACCTCCCTCCAGTCTCTCCATGCTGGCCAACAGGTCTGTGTGCTTTTTGGTCAGCAGGTTTTGGTAGAGAGCAATCTGTGCGGAGCCGAGCAGTCAGGCACAAGTATGGAACCTTGCATATGATATGGTCAATTAGTCATGCACAAGTATGGACTGAATGTCGAGTATGATATGGTAGTAGGTTGCTTACCAGTTCTAGAAAGCTCTTGGGAGTGGTGTAGTTGTACCTCCTCTCATTGGTGAGGTAGACTGCACTCATTTCGTTGACACTCTTGTGAACAAAGGCCATGTAGCGACTGATGGATTCCCTGATTTCATCTGAGATGAGATCCACTTCTGAGAGGAAGCGAGAGCTCACGGAAATGAGGGCCTCTTCTGGCCACTCGTGGAACCAGTTGATGCTAGTGCAGTTGACGAGGGCCGGGAACTTGCGGGCACGGACTCTGATAGTTGATCCCACCGGAGAGAAACACAAGACAACTTTCAGTTGGCGTCGGACGCGGTCGATGAAGAACGACCAGCAGTTCTCTCGTGTGTCCATGATTCCAGCACCCTTCACTTCGTTTCTGACTCCATTAATCACATTCTCCAGCTCGTCATCGGCAAATAGCTCAGGGATCTCCCCCGAGGCCAGCAGATCATTGATGAGCACCAGGAACTTCTCGTCCGGGACTTGTGCATCAGTCAATAGGAAGACAGTTCCTATGTTCTTCAGACCTGCTTTGATGTACAGCTGGGCTAGGTCAGCCTGTATGAATAATGCAGTAAAGATACTTTAGAGTGTTGGGGTATACATACCTTAAGGTCTCCTGAGCTGTAGCCCTTCCTGAGTTGGATCTGGAATACCTCGAGACCGCTGACTGAGGCTGCAAGGCGAGTGAGACTCTGCTTTCCGCTGCCACCCACTCCCACCAGCAGGGCATTTCCTCGTGGAGACTCGAGAATACGGTTGATGCGACACCTGTGTAAAAGCATTGAAGTATAGACACCACCTTCAGGTATTCACTCTCTCACTCAGTATACTCACACATGGTTCATGGCATCTTCAAAGAGGACAAGATTCATGACTGCGTTGATCTCATTGTAAGAGTCGAGAGCTTCCTCCAGGATTTTTCTGAGAGAGTCCCAGGTCTGAACTCTAAGGTACTTGGGCTCTCCTATCCCAGAGGCAAAGTGGCAGTATATGAGAGGGTCAGGGTTTAGAGTTGCCTCATCCAAATCCTATGTGGAGATAACCACCAGTTGGACATCAGTAGGGGCTCGATAGAGACTCACCTCAAAGCTGGATTTAGCAACGTCGAGTTTCATTTTGGCAAAGGTGGCGATGTCTTTGGTATCGATGAGCTTGTCCCCGTACACCCGGCTGGCTTCATGGAGCCACAGTCTGACCAGGTCCACAGGGGACTTGAGGCACTCGGGAGTTGAGAACAGCATACCCTAAATGACAGTAGGTCAGTGCACATACTTTGGGCATGTAATAATCATGGAGGGACCAATTAAAAAGACTTCCAACTAGCTATGCAACTAGCTTCAAAACCGTTTCTTTCATATGTGTGACCTGGAATATGTTTGAGAGATCTCTGAGGTTGAAAATGTAGTGGAATTTGATGGCAGTTGGGAGGAAGGTGGTAGTGATTTTCTGGTGCAGTGTCAGGGCTGTGTTGACCAGTTTCTCCACGTTCTTCTGCACCTGACTGGGAAAACCACCACTCGAGACGTGGCCCTGAAGAATGCTCAGGTATATTGTTCGCAGGGAGTCAACCTGGTGGGTTTATAACATGAGGTCTGGTAAAAGTAACATGAGGTATGTCAGGATTATGCTTGTGTGCTGTTTATAGTAGACCTCAAGAAAACAGTGAAGGAGTTAGTAGAGAGAGTGAACCTGTGGGAAGCTGATGGCAAAGACACTGAAGTGTCTCTGAAGACGAGAGTTGATTGTGAAGGAGCCGGCAGTTGGGTTCATGGAGGCAATGTACTGGACGTTCTGCACGTCCTTGAGGGTCTGTTTCTGGCGGTCGTACCAGTGTTTGTAGTCCAGATGCTATTGTACAGAGAGAGAAAAAGAGAGAGGAGCTAAGTGTGAATTTCTTTTGTTTGTCTTACCTGGCGGATGAGTGTGTGGGGTTGAACAGTGCCGTAGGTATCGACCTCGGGCATGTTCATGTCATCAATGAAGTACACTAGTTTCTTGGTGCCAGGAGGGCCGTAGGCCTTTCCAGCCTTCTTCTCCAGTGGTTTCTCCATGACCTGCTGCAGCATCATGGAGGTAGTGTAGTAGTTTAGGGGCAGGGTTGTAACCAGCATGTCTTCCCCAAGACCTGGGGGGAGAAGATAGAAAGAAGTATATACATGTTTGAACTTTTTCCTCGAGGGGTATTGACACATGTATCAACGTACTGCTCAGCTTGTCTTGGAGAAGAACAGTCTTCCCGGAGCCAGCTGCCCCTACCAGCATCACGGGTCTCGATCGAGCCATCAGGAGGTCGAGGAAGTAGCGGTAGCGCATTGTCTCCGACGTGTGCACCATCACAGCCTATAGAGAGGGCTCAATATCATATTCACTGTATAGAGACATGGACATGGGGTATACCTGTAGAGGAGCATCAGGATCCAGTTCAAATTTGGGTACTTTCTCAGACCACGGGAGCCACTTGTGTGTGTTTGGGTCGAGGAAATAGTCAAACACAGTTCCGTGAGACGGAAACTTTATGTGCTTGAACTCCGTGGTCCACCACTTGGAGAACTCAATTCTGTAGTCTACCAGCTGTGAGAAGAGAATGATTAGCTTTAGCGTGAACCATGGAGCTCCAGTTGCTGACCTGGTCTTGGAAGAGGAACCCGCCAAAGGCCCAGATGGCACAGAACACAAAGAAGAGCTCATAGATCTCTTTGCTGGTGTCTGGCGGTGTGTTCTCTGGTGTTAGCTGGGTCTCCAACAGGTAGCAGAGTGTCTGGATCATGCTGACTTCCTGGATGGGAGTGATCATCTTGAAGCGGTGTGCACGGTAGATATCCAGGAGGGTTGGTATGTAGCGGTCAAACAGGATTGTCAGGTTTGCCTTCTCTGACTGGACTTCACGCTTGTCAATCCAACTCTGAACGTACCTTTAAAGAAATCGACACAGGAGCACGTGGAGTTAAGGGGATTGTGCTATGATGTGTTAGAAAAAAGTGCTCACGGGTTCCATCCCAGGTCTGCTGGGTTGACAAAGAGGATGCCAGCTCGTGAAACGGTAGCTGGAGTGGCAGCTCGCAGGTGGCCAATCTCAAACAGGAGTCTCATGGAGGGAGTGAGGGGGACACGCTCATTACTGGCCAGAGTCAACACCTAGTTTCAGAAGATTGAAGATATGTTGTCGTATAACATGAGTGGCATTTTGGGGTGAGACGGACCTTATTGTCATCCATGACAGTGTTGAGTGACTCGATCCACATAGGGTCAATGTCTCCGTCGAGTACAATCCACTTTGGACTGTCGCTTGTCTTCTCGCTGAGGTCTCTCATCAGGGACGAGAAGAGACCTGGATGAGAGTAAGAGTGTGGTATCAATGAGAGGTGTATTGCATGGTACTCACCATCTTTCCACTCTCTGGTGGCTGGGTTGATATAGCCAAACAGCTCAAAGGTGGTGATGGCCTTGGGGTTTAGGTCCACCCAAAGAGGCTTCCGGCCCATGACAGCATACGTCTTGTTGAGGGATCGCAGGATTTTGCTCTTTCCTGCAGAACACAATGCCACACAAACTAAAGCTGACACTCCCACTGGTGAGTTTGCACACCTGTTCCAGCATTGCCAATAACAAAGACAGAGTGGCGGACATGGAGAAGCTCTTCCAGTTGAACTACCTTCAGGACAAACAGCTCTTCCGGCTGCAACCCTTGCTCCTAGAAGGATGAGATGAGAAAAGTTGTGAGAAACGGGCAAGGTTTAACTTACCATCATTGATTTCTTGACATTTTCTTCTAAATCTAAGTCCCTCTTTCGTGGGACGTCGAGAGCAGGGAATAGATCTCCAATCAGACCCATGAAGATCGTCACGTCGTCCGTCACAATCTTCGGAGTGTTGAAGTCTCTCAGTGCTCTCATCAGTACCTACAGCAATCAGGATCTGTGTTAACACTACTGATTCAAAGATGACACCGTATAACACTACCTAAACACAAATACGTGATTCGGGTCTCACCTGGTCTTCCGGCCTTCCCTTGTCTCCTCTCTTGAGGGCTCCAGCTACTACCAGTACGGACTTGATGGCTCTCAGTCCCCAGTCGTAGTGGTCTTGCTTTGAGAGGAGATCCTTACAGAGGGTGTAGAGGGTCAGGAACTTTCTGGAGAGGATCCTGGCATCGATGAATCCCTCGGCTACTAACATGATCTCAGCAATCAACATGAAGTCAGGCACTACCATTGCACAGGGTCTATTCAGCAGAAAAACAAAATAGTAATCTATTGGTAAATTCTAGTAATCTACCTGAAGAGTGCCTTTAGGTTCTCAGGCAGCTCAGTTCGGCCGGCATAGCCAGGGTTCATTGTGATGAACAGCCCGACTGTTGGAGTGAGCTTGATGTCACTCCCTTCGAAGAGAAACCTCTTCTTTTTGTGGCGGATGGCATCTTGGATTGTCTTCACCTGCACTGCCACCACAGACAAAACTTCCACGGAGATCCTGTTGAATTCATCAAAGCATCCCCAGGCCCCGGTTTGCGCCAGGCCTTTGTAGATGTTGCCGATGGACTTGTAGTCCATCTGCTCTGAGCAGTTGAAGACGTAGACCATGATCCCAAGAGCTCGGCCCAGATCCTTGGTGGTCTCTGTCTTGCCGGTCCCTGCAGGTCCGGCTGGGGCTCCACTCATGATCAGGTGGAGGGATTGGGTCAGAGTGATGTAGCACCTGCACACAAACCATGGAGACAAATTTCTCCAGTGTGAGTGAAGAAGTCGATCTTTACCTGTCGGTGAGTGGGGTGATGACAAGTCGAGGGGTGTTCCCAAGGTACTCATATGAATACCTAAACTCTGCATCACAGATGTTTGCAAAGCAGTGACACTGATCTTCATCCCACCTACACGAGAGAAGGGTGTATTGGTGATTCCCTTTGCTAGTGTGTCTCTGCATTACACACTACCTGTGCCTGAGCTGGCAGAGCCAGATAAATGCCTGGGAATTGTCCACTTTCTGTTGGATGAGTTTTGCCACCACGTCTCTGGCGTGGACGTCAATGGTACAGACGGTCATGATCCTCTGCCTGTTGCCCTTGTTCATGTCCCCCAGGAGAAGGTTGATGAGGATGTTTAGCTGAGTCACCTGCTTCTTGTAGTAGTCCTTGAGGGCGTTCTCGTAGCCTTCCTCGAGTCTGTTGAAGGCCAGGTTCACCTCTGTGGTCCACCACACTTGAGTACCAGCCAGTGCAACCTGACACATACAGACACATTGCGTGGATAGAAACAGACTCACTCGTATAGAAACAGACTCACCTGTGCTGGAGGTTCAAAGATCCATTGCTCCCTGGGTTTATCTTCGTAGGTGATGACGGCCTCTTGGAACTCATGTTTGATGGTCTCTTGCATGGTTTCCAGTAGCAAACTGAGCCACGTCTCCACCTGACCCACACACATACGAGGTTGGAAGAAGTCGACCACTTCTCCGTCTTTGCTGAACATGCTGATGGCCTCCTTGGTGGGTTTCTTCTCCTCGTCTTCCTTGAAACGGAGCTTTGCCATACTATCAAACAGCTTGGCTAAGTGCCGAGCAACCTACAGAAGATTTGACGACTAGAGAACACTGCGCAATTCTCAAGGAAATGAACCTACCTCCACAGGCTGGTTCCCCTTTGACAGGATATTGAGCAGATCAGCTGAGGAGATGAAGTAGAATCTCGGGAAGGCCAATCTCTTTGTCTCGAGGTATTCTGCGAGGGCTTTCTCGCACACCGACAATCTCTTCTGTATGTCCTCCAGCTCCTCATAGAGCCGCAGGCGGTTTGTCGCTTTCACCACATTTGGTGTGGCCACGGCTTCGGCAGCTAGAGCCTGTATGAAGACATTTGTACAAGTAAAGAGAATGTCAAGAGAAACACAGAAGGGTGGTCATGCCGGATTCAAGACACACCTTGAAATCAGTATCGATAGTGTCAAACTGCTTGGAGTGCTCCGGCAGTTGAGCTCGAATATCCTCGGAGCCAATGAAGATGCTCTCAAGATGGGACCAGGTCCTCTGGACTTCAAACCAGATGGTGATGACCGAGTCGGCTGTCGAGAGCTTCTTCTGCCAGTCAGACACTTCTTCCAAGAAATAGCCCACAAACTTTGACGTCATCATGTTTTGAAGTTGGACCTGAAGGCGGGAGGAGTATATAAAAAAACATGTCGATGGTGAAGAATAGAGAGTACTGAGTTGTAACAAACCTGGTTGTCTTCAAGAGTCTCAATGAGTTCTTCACTCGACTGCAGGAGACCGACCTTGGTCCTGGGATGGATTTCATGCTCAAACTCCATCTGAGACCATGTGCCCTCAAACTCCCTCAGAGTCTTCTCCATACCCTGCTCCTTGGCGGCTTTGTCCACTATGTTCCTCACTTCATCCTCGAATTTGTGGAGGTTGAGAGCCAGCAGGTCGGCAAGGTTGGTGTCCTCCGACATTATGAACTTGACTTGGGTGGCTTGCATGAGCTGTTCCCAGTGGCGGTCTCGAATGGCCTGGTTCTGGAGCTCGCCGACTGCTCTCAGTGATGTCACCATGTTCTTGACAGTGGAGTCCATCCCGCAGAAGGCATGCCATGCACGCATCTCTTTATCCAATGCTCGGATTTCCTGAAAGAAAACACACTTATTTTAATTTGTGTTCATTTCGCTTTTCTCTTTGATCCTGACCTTGACAAACTTCTTGCAATCCATTTCCATGTTTTCCACGTTGATGTCTTTCCAGAGCGTAGTGTTCCAGTCGGTGAAACTGCTCTGGATGGTCAGTATCATGTCCCACAGACCCTTGAGCAGTCCGATCTCTCTGCGGCAAGCCTTCAGCTGCTTGAAGTCTGGGACGTTCACCTCAAATAGAGCTGCAGCTTTCTGCAGTTCTTTCATCTCATCCTCCATCTCTGTTATATCTCTGTGACACTGTTCGTATGTAGTCACAGTTTGTAGCACTCCATAAAGAGACTGGGTAGAGAGACACTTACTCTGTTGGTGCGCACATAAGGGTGAGAGGCAGTGTAGGCAAATGGCGCCTTCTGGCGGAAGTTCTCCCGGAACTCGTGCTGCCTCACGTCGAACGTGGCCAGCTTGCGACGGAGGTTGTTGACCTCATCGGCTTGCATCGGAGCCACGTTTTGCTTCATCGTCACTGACAACTTCTTCACGTTGTTCCACAACTCGGGCAACTCCTAACATCATGGCAATGGATGGTTCTATAAGGCCTGGGATCCATACACTGTACCTCTAGTTGCTGGTAGACTTGCTCGGGCATCTCCTCATGGTAGGTCTTGAGAAGCTCAATGGTCTGGTTGAGAGGTTCAAACATTCCGTCAGTGTTGGGTTGTCTGTCTTTGACAGCCAGGAGATGGTGCATCACTCCCACCAGAGTATTATAGTCACCCTCTGGCACATCCACTGATAGACCTCCACTAGCCACCTTGATGAACTCTGCCAGATCATTCAGACTGTGTGTGTGGAGAAGATAGAAGAAATTAGCCCAACTTCCAAGTTCACACATCATCCATAGTAGTTGTGGTGTGAAAGATTACCTGTTTGTCACATGATCCGCGAGGTGCTGCTTGAACATGTGGCTCCACCTCTTGATGGTGGTCAACAGAGCCTGTTTGAATGGCCTGGCGTCCACTCTGAACCACACGTCGATGATCTCAGTCCCGGCAATCTTGTCCACTTCGCAGTACACCTCTTCATAGCTGTTGATCTGTGTCTTGAAGTTCTCCAGAGTGGGGGGAGTTTCCGGAACTCCTTCATCACCTTCAGAAAGAATCGTGATGATAAGGTTGGCATGGAGCAAGTGCGCAGGTATACCTGCAGCCTCGATTTCTTCAAGAGTAGGGACGTGTCCGTATTTGAGGAACTGGTGAAGGAACTCATGTCGGTCGTCGGTCCAGAGGTGAGAACGAGAGGCGTGAGAGGAGAGGTAGGCCTCCGCTTGTTCAATGGCTGCCTGCATTCGTGACATGATCTCCTCTCTCATATCTGACAGCTCTGCAATCTGGGGGGAAGATGAGTAGAGGGAGAGAGGGAGAGAAAGTTTTTCTTACCTCATCGAGGTCTACACGGTAGTCCTGAGCCTCAAGGTGGGTGGCCACGCGAGGCACAAGAGAGCCAAAGTGAAATACGTCGTCCAAGAGGCTGTCCACCATGTTGAAGAACCCTTCTGCTGCCTCTTGGTCAAGGGAAGGCATGAACACCATCTCGGGAGCCTACAAACGGAACGAATGAGACATTTAGCACACGTAGGATAAAGATCCTTACTTGTAGCTCCAGCTTCACTTCCAGTAGAGGGGTCATGCCAGTGACTGTCTTGTCGGTGTTCTCCATGAGATAGCGAAGGGAGCATTGGATGCAGTTGAAGAGACCGTCCACTACTATCTCATCGAGATAGTCCAGGTATCGCTCCCACACCTCCGATCCCTCTGTGGCCTTGAAATAGTCCAGATTCTGGGGGAGGGTAGTTGTGTGCACCGTCAGCTTCAGGTTAGCTGTGAACACAATACCTCTTTGATGAGTGCATGGATCTTCTCTCCATCCTTCTTGACTTGATCGTAGCGCTGCTGAATCTGGGTCTCGCGATCCTATTGGGAATCAACTTTAATCACCGATTTCTCTCCACCTGTTTTTCCTTACTTCTAGGTTGAGCAAACTTTGCTCTTTCTTGTCCTCTCGTCTGCGGTACAGAGGGGTCTGGCACCATCCTCCCATTACGCTCACCATGCTCTCCACGTTGCCCTTGGCCAGTCGAACCCTTCTCTCCAGATCACACACTATGTCCCTCGTTGCCTCAATATACTCCCATGCCCCTGTAATCATGCATATAATTACCACATTGGATACTGACTGTGGTGTTTGTGTACCGTACCATTGCTGGTCCAGTTGAGCTGGGAAATTGCCTTCTCGAGCTGTGTGTCAATCTGGGCCAGTTGGGTCTGGATCAGAGGGTACTCCACGTCCAGAATCGTCTCTCGCACTTGGTTGTACAGTGCCACTGTCACGTCCAGGTTCTGTGAAAGAAGAAGAGGAAGACAAAACTAACATCTTAGCCATCCTAAAGTGTTTCTACTGTCTGCACACCTGAAGGAACTTTCTGTACATCTCGTTCTGGGAGAAAATGGCGGCAGCACTCTCTGGTGTCTTGTGGTCGGTACCCTCCCGCTGCTCTAGGTACTTCACCTCTCTGAGGAGAGCCACCAGATTGGGGTCAAAGTTGACTGATATCAGGGACGATTTCGTGTCTCTCAGCAGCAGTGGTTTCTCCAGGTTGGCCGTTGCAACTTCATCCACTCCCTGGGTCCATTCGTTGTACACGTCGTTTTCAAATCTGAAATCAACCAATGAGTGAGGACTCAATTCGAATTCGTAGCTGCTCAAAATAAACTGACGTCTTAATCAGCTCTACCATCTCGTCATACTTGCTGAACACCAGCATTGCTTCTGCAGTCTCCATAGTCCTAGCACAAGAAAAAGCACACATGTCTTCGCATACAGATGGCAATATACATACGTCACGTACCCATGGTTGATGGCTCGTAGTTTCTCCATTCCTCCTCCAATTCTCTCCCTCAGCTCCTGTGCCCAGCGCAGCTGACCCGCCACAGGAGGCATGTTCTTATTGATGGATGGGCCCTACACATTGCACAATTATTCACCAGTAATCACAAATTCATGACAAAGGGGGGCATCTGAGTATGATTACCTGCTGGGATCTCCCACGGGTAACTTGCTGGTTGAAGATGACTTTGCTCTCGTCCAGCTCCTTGCTGTACATGGAGAGCAGGAGAGGGTACTTGGCCTGAAAGTCTCTGTGTACGAGGGGCCTCTCGATCAGTAGACCCATCATCTCCAGCAGCTGTGGATATGTTCAGACGTGGAGAGTTGATATGGAGGTGTTGTTGTATGTGTGTGGGTGTGTACCTTCAGAACTGATTCGCTACCACTGCAGTCATCAAATGCCAGACACACAATCTGTCCCAGCCTCTGCTCCATATCTTCCATTTCTCTCTTAAAGGTCTCATACTGACCTATGAACACCTGTACACATATACAAACATCAAGACCATATCTAATAGATGGTTTTAGGCTATTCCTCACAGTGTCTGCAATGTTCAAAGGCTCTTTAGCCACTCCCTGGAACTGGCTGGACTTATCAGTGAATTCAGTGAACATCTCGGCCACCAGGTCGCTCAGCATCTGCCCCTTAATTCCACTGAACTCAATCTTCTCCAGCCTCAGGAACTGGTTCACCATTTGAAAGTACTCCTGAGAGAGGAAGTGCAGTTGAAAGAGAAAGGGGGGTAGCTAAAACGTCTTCGGCTTGGTTCACAATATGTTGCATTGCTGCGTCGCGAGGTTAGAATCCATTTCTATCTTCGCAGCACGACGCTACGACGGGGCATTACGACATATTGTGAACCTAGCCTCACTTTTATGAGTCTCAGTTGGCCGGTGAGTCGGTCCACACGAGCAAACACAAGACTTGACTCAAAGTCCCACTCGACCACTGGCTGGTCCTTGAAGTAGTCGGCCAGATGGGCTTTCCTGTCCTCGTAGTTCTCCCGATACTTGCCACAGATGTGAAACGCCAGCCTAAGCTTCTCCAGCCCCTCATCTGGCTCCATTCTCAGGATCTCGTCTGTTATGTAGTTGCGTGTCTGTAGAGGCAATCATTGAGAGGGTTAGTTTGATTGGCGAGGAAACTCGGTACCAGTTCTATGACGAGGTTTGAGATCTCTTGCAGGATAACAACCAGTCGGGCTGGCTGTTGGTAGTGTCGTGAATGTCTCCAGATGAGGCTCACGATATGGAACAGAGGCGGGAATTTCAGTTCCAGCTCCCCATACTCCAATTCTTCCATCTCCTCCACTAGAGGACGTAGTGGTTTCAGATGCATGCTGTAAAACAACAGGAGGGAGGGAGAAAACCAAGCTTGCAAAATAATTTGCACTAGTTCTGTACTAACTTGATGTCCCTGGCCTCATTCAGAGCGTTGTGGATGCTGTCTGTCATGGCTCGGTATGCAGGGTAGTAGCTGCTCATAGACTTTTCCAGGAGTCGGCTCATTTTCACCACCTTCTCGGTGCACAGCTGGTCCACCACTGATTCAAGGTCTGCACGACGAGCCTTCCAAAAGTCCAGCTCAACGAGAGGTCCAGGATGGGTCCCTCGCAGTAGTGGTTCTGCAGACGAGTGGTTGAGGACGTCGCGAACCTGGTGGGACCACTCCACCACCACCGACTCCACCGCGTGTATGATACCTCGCTCAAAACTCTCTCCTCTGCAACACAGACGACATTAACACTTCAACTGAGAGCAACAGTGTGGTATATACCTTGCTTCTTGGTCTGCAGCTCGGACTACACTTTCTGTTTCTGGAGGGAGAGGGAGCAAGGTTTGACCTTTGACTTGTCCGGAGAACATGAATACGTCGCCACTGAGTCGGCCGATGTTCTTGATGACGTCTTTGGAGACCACCTCTGGCCACCGACCTTGGTTCCCTTGGTTCGCGACGACGGGAAACACCAACTAAAAGGAGAGAGAGTGAGGATTGTGCGCCTGTGTGTGTGCTGGAAGACCACTCACCGATTCCACAATGGCATTCAGCTGGTCAAGAGGAAGGTGTGACACATCTCCAAACGCTATCAGCGACTTAACCGTCTCTTTCTTTACTACCTCGGCCCTCAGCTTCACAAAATACACAGCCTGAAGCAAGTTGGAAGATGCATGTCATAATGTGGGGGACTGCCTACTATGTCCTTGCCTTAGTCTTGGAAGAGGCAGGAAAAGAGGTGGATGGGTAGAACTGAGACTGAGGCGTGAGTGCGATGACCAGAAACCTGTTGTCTGCCTTCTCCAGAAACTCATTCAGCATCACCAGGTTCTCCTCCTGGCTCACCATCTTGGTCCACTTGTCTCCTTTCTGAAAAACACGCAGATATGTACTCAGCTGCCCCAGACAAATTTTCCAGCCCAAGAGACTGCAGCTTTCTGCCTATATACCTGCTTCAGAGTTTTGAGGCTGTATTCTTCCAAAAACTTCAGTCTTGGTTCCCCACCCTCCCCCTCTCCTCCTCCTTCTTCTGACATCTCTTACTCCCTTCTTCTTCTGACAATGCAAACAACTGCAGAATCACTAGCTGTCGATCACCCCAAATCCAGAGCATACACTTTTCTGCAAGAAATACAGTATATCGTTGTTGCTGAAGTCTTAGGTTACACCCCTACTGACGGTGTAGCTAGATTCATGAATGGTGAATGCTGTCACAAGAAGGCAATATGTCTCCTCCACCCACTGTGAATACCATGGATTTTGTTACTGCCGGCCTAGGGCAGCAGTCCAGCAAAGCATCCCATAGCCTTGGTGCCACCTAACTTAGGTACAGAGGTAAATACTTGCGGATACTCGCCCGTATTATGCCGCAGCGGCAGTAGCTATAGCTAGACCGGAGCGAGTGCAGCAAGCAGCTGCATTTTGTCGAGCACCGGAAAACGTCCTGCGTAGCTAGCGAGGTAACAAGCTGCCACAGTATACACATATAAACACTGCGCACAAACAACGGAATGTCTCCTTACCAACAGCAGCTAGTTAGTTCTTTGCACACACTGCGCCCCCCTCTGATCTGGGCGACTTAGAAGTAACAGTATCCATAGCAACGGTGCTGCGCATGCGCAACTATCTTCCTAAAATAGAAAAAAATATTTAAAAATTTACAAAAACACGATCAATCCTTGACGAGATAGCTACTTTCGCAGAGTTCTACATTTCTGACCCTCATCTTCTGGTAAACACTCAATAGAAGAGTAGTCGTTTTTTTCATTAATTTCCATGTCCGCTCCCTAAGACCCCAAACTTTGTATCCAACTTTGAAGAAATAATAAAGAAGAGGTGGTGTGCAAGAAAAATAGATTACTATTAAAGATACAAAATTATCCTCGGGATCTTCAACATGTCCAAGAGAGAAAGCCGTGTTTCCAAGAAGGCCGAGGGATAGACACACGAGGAAGAAAATATCCAGAGAGTTATACAGAGCCGATTTGTAGGGACGAATGAGGGCAACAAGCAGAATTGTGATAATGACAGCAACTGCTGCAAAGGGAAAGGCAAGTAGGCTCTTTGTCCACACAACGGTTGAGAGCGCGGTCATTCTTAAAATGTGGTAGACAACTGCAAAGTAGCGACAGTTTGAGGTGCCGTTTGTCCCGTCCTTATAGCATGAGAGGATATTGTCCATGAAGGGATATATGCAGAGACGAACAGAGCGTGGTAGATAGTGGATGAAGCACTGGCATCTAGGAAAGGAGTAAATGAGGATCAATACGATAGGCAGCACGTAGAAACCCAAAAGCAAAAATATACCGATAACTACAAAGGGAAGATGGCTTTTCCCAAAGTAATGTGTGCCCCCCTCAAAATAAGTGTGCAGTGATGGCTTGTTGTTTCCATTTTCCCAAACTTTAGTTCCCGCCATTAGCTCCATGATTGTACAAAACATCTTCACGAATGACAAATCAAAGAAAGTCCCAAATGCGTCCACAAGTGATGTTCGGACATCGAGCTGCTGTCTGAAGCGAAGAAAAAGCTTGTGAAACGGCCACCACACCACTACTAACAATCGAATCCTTTGGTTATACATTTCCACCAAAACATACAATACTACAATGACCAGAAGGGGATAGGCAGCAACAAGAATATCAAGTGCTAGTGCTTGAAGTGTTGTCATAGCGGGGATTAAGACAAAACGGCTCATACAGTGGACGAAAAAAGTCCAAGTTCCACACTCCATAGAATGTCCCAAGAATTCTATACGAGTACTGATCTATGTGTTTCAGTTCGGCCATTCTGGTGAGTGTGCGCATGGAGAATGAACTGCTCGTGATCTGACACACCAATATCCAGCCACGGAGCGGGGCCGAGTTTGAGCTGACGGTAAACACTAGGATGAGTGCCAGGAAAAAGGTCAGTGGACCATAGGCAATCAAAATATAGAGCAGGGCTCTCTTCCAGAGACCAGTCTTTGGGCACTTGAAGCAGCGAATGGAAAATGAGTATGGAGCAGGTCCGTGGCCTGGAACACACTCACCACACAGAGGACCTGCTCGATTGTACTGCGCACAGAGAGATCCTCTCCATTCGCCTGACACCGGGACTTTGTAGTATTCACTGTATCTGTCTGCAATGAAACAACCTTCAATACACTGTCCGAGTACATAGTCCACTTCACTTGAGTTGACGATGCTGGTGTTAGTTGGAGTGAGACAGTAGCACCGCAAGACACTAGCTTCACAACCGTTAGAGCTGTACTGGATTATCCTCTGAAGTCGTTCGGATTTTGGCAGTTTCCACTGAGGAATCACACAGCTCTGGTTACTACTTTTGTTAGCATCACTGTATTTTTCTTGTGTGGGGACGCTCCTGGCAATAAAGAGCAGTCCCAGGACAAGCCATGCTGGAAAAGACATCCTCTAACAAACTGGAGATGTTTGTTCAAAATCACTGAATTTAAGTGCATGCTGACGATATTAGCTAGAGAACAAAAGCTTACAAAACGTGATCCTAAGTATACAAATTCTGTGCAATGTCAACTTTCAGTCTACAAACAATAAACATGTGCTATTTAACGACAGAGAGATCAACATTGCTGACTCTAACAGTGCCGGATTCAATGGCCACATACATCGTCCCTCGGGGCCTAATGTTTGATGGCCTCTCGTGTTGCGGGCTCCTTCTCCTACGAGTCTGCAGCCAAAGACACAGAAAGGTCTTCATCTCAGACAGCACTTTCGATAACTTATAGAGCAGTCTCTGTGGAAATTGCTTCACAAAAACAGCGTAGTAGGTGATCAGTGCCGCAGAGTACAGGAGGGGGATGTTGCATGCAATTACCGCAAAGACCACTGCTGTATTGATTGATGCTGGGGAGATAAAGTGTGCATAGAAGTAACTCAGTATGCTCATGTAGGCGACGGATAGTGACAGCACCAGGACAGTGTCGACAGTATTGTAGAGGTCTGACTTATAGGGTTTGATGATGGCTACCAACATCCCTACAATTAGGAACACGATCGCTGCAAGAAGCTGGAAGAATATGTTTGGCGAAATCAAAAGGACCACGACCAGGATGATTCTCACTGTCGGGTAAACCGCGGAGAAGTAGCGACAGTTGCAAGTTCCATCTCTGCCGTCCTTGTACGGAGCAAGTAGTGTATTTAGCAGTGGCCGAAAGAACCCATTCACATCTTCCACATCTGCTCGAACCAGTGCTTTTTTCAAGGAGTATGCAAGAAGAACAACTATTGGAAGAACGTTGAACACTACAAACATTGTCAGACCGAGTATCACGAATTTTGCATCAAACTTATCAGTGGCTGCATAATATGGGACATAGCCTTTTATCCCCCCTTTGTCCCAAACTGCGGTAATAGACAGAATGTCGAATGAAGTGCTGAGAGTTTTGGCATAAGACAAACTGAAAAATGTCCCAAAGGCATCAACTAACGGTATCTTGATGTTCATTCCATTCTTTAGCCGAGACAAGCACCAATGGAAGGGCTTCCACCAGCAAAACAATCTGTACCCTCTCGAGTAAAATTCAACGGCGGTGTATATTAAAAGAATAAAGATAAACGGGTAGGCGGCTATGATGTAGTCCAGGCACATGGTCTCAATTGTGGTCCAGTTAGAACTAAAGCAAAAGGGCTGGTAAACACTTCGGAAAAAGTCCAAGTTCCATATCCCGTAGACAGAGCCCAGGATACGTAAACCCATTCTCTGGTATTTTGGTATGTGTTCAGCCTCTATCATGCCAACTGCTAGTCTCATCTGAAAAGGGAAGTTGGCTGTCTGTGCGACAAGTATGAACCCCAACAGAGGAACTGTGTTGACAGAGATCCTAAAGGCAACAAGAACACACACAAACAGAGCCAGTGGAACGTAGGCTACCGCCACATACTTTACTATGCTTTTCCAGCTTGTGTCACACTCGATACACTTGAGAGAAAAGGAATAAACTGGGTAGCCCGTGTTATTGCTGCATTCTCCACAAAACATCCCTGCACGGTTGAAGGGGGAGCATTGTTCACGAAGCAACGAGGCATTGTCAGAAGTAACCAGAAAGGTGTTCCGGAAACACGTGAACTGACAGTGGCCAAGACGTGAGTCACTCGACAAGCAGTAGCAGGGAGTAAGGAAAATCTGGTTACCGACACATTGGATGCCATAATCAAAGTGAAGGTCTTCACAGTGGTAGCTGCTCTTGGGGGTTGTACAGATAGGAAGTCGCACATCAGGTTTCCCCAGTTTTTTCTTGTCTTTTGGCCAGTCAAGGTCACTAGCAGTCTCACCCAGAGGTGTTAGCAACTCCTCTCCACAGCTCAGTGCAACAGACAGGGAAAATACTAGAGAGAAACACGCAAGCATTGTCAAAACCAGGATAGCTGAAGTCGAGCACTGACGTTACACAACACTGCAGTATATGTAGTCGTGTATATACTGTTAGGGAGTGCTCCATCAAGCAGGTGGGGTGAGTTTCCCATGCACAACTGTTATTCCACTGAGGATTTGGTATTCCACTTTTAGAACCGAAAATAGCACACAACACCCGAGCAATGGAAAACACACAAATGTAATAATAGCAGATAACAAAGTATGAAAAAAACATTACAATGCATTGGTCAATCGTTCAAATCTCTGTGTCCGGGAGAGATCAGAACATTCCTTTCGCTCAGAGAAGGGAAGGCTTCCATTTCACGTCTCCCCTTTGTCTTCTCCACTAACTGAAGATACACCCTTCCACAACAGTGGACAGCGGCTTTGCTCATTCGAACCAGCTTCCGTCGCAGTTTGCACGACGTCCATATCTTGTACAGTGTCAGTCCACACGCATACAAAAAAGGGAGGGAAATAAATAAAGTCAATAGTACACGGCTGACTACTAGCTGCTGTGAAGACACAGAGTCGGCAAAAGAAAAAAGCGGTCAACGAAGCAAATATCAATGCTACGTTTACCAAAAGAATCGTATCGACTCTATTGTATGCTTTTGACTTGTAAGGTTGGATTACCGCCACAAGAATTGCCGTGACGCTCATGACACCGGTGATTAGGAGGAAGCAGAAGGAACTTCGGACCATCATAAGTACACTAAAAGTGGCAATCCTGGCAATTGGGTAGATGGCGGTGAAGTATCTACAGTCAGAGCTGCCGTTGTGCCATCTCTATACAGACCTAACAGCGTGTCCATGAAGGGATGCAAGGTTCTCTTCATTGACGGTGGAAGACGTCTTTGAAAAGAACCGCCGCGGGTAGAGCAAGCTAAGAACGAGTGGAATAATGATGAAAAGTACGAAGAAGGTGATACCCATCGCTGCGTAGAATACATGCACCCCTTTCATGTAGGTCAAATGTCCTTCGTAGTAGACGCGGGTGGGCAAATGATGACCATCCACACCTCGTGTTGTGGTGGGTGCTAAGAGATCCACTGTTGTGCTTAGGCACTTGACATAGGACAAACTGAAGAAGGTCCCAAAGGCATCGACAAGGGAGGTTCTGATGTCAAGTTTCTCCCGAAATCTGGCAAAAACACAGTTGAACGGTCTCCACAGAAAAACTAGTACCTTGCAACCCCTACCATGGAGCAGTACCAAAGTGTATGTGGCAAGGATGATTACAAAGGGGTAGGCAGCAATTAGGTAGTCCAGCGATAAGACAGCCAGGGTTGATAACTTGGGGTGCAGACAGAAGTGAGAGTTAACAAAACGAAAGAAATCGAGGTTCCATATTCCGTAGACTGTAGCAGCGAAAGAAATTGGAAATCTTTGCTGCTTAGGTGGATGAGAATCTTCATTCATAATTTGTAGTATCCTCATTATATATGATGTGGATATCATCTGTGCCACGAATATGTAGCCGTGCAATGGTGCCGAGTGGTTGCTCACCGTGAATAGTACAATAATGACAAAGAAAACTGTCAGTGGGCCATAGGCAATCGCTATATATCTGACGATGTTAGTCCAGTGGAAGTGGCATTCTCTGCACTTGAGACTAAAGGAGTATGCAGCAACTCCCGTGTTTTCTTTGCACTGTCCACACAACGGACCACTTCTGTTCCACCTGCTACACACGCTGTCCAGACTATCATTTGTAGAGTAAGTGTTGTACAGTTTTGTGAAGTTGTGATCGCGGTGCTCAGCTCTGAAACAACCATAAAGACATGCACCAACATAGGAATATCCTAATGTCTGATCGTTGTACATGCAGTAACACTGGATAATGGCAATCGTTTTCGTATCGTTCTTGCACAGAACAATCTTACTCAGACTGTCTCCACACTCGCAAGTCGAGGAGTTTTTTCGCCAGAGCCAAGTGGAGCAAGCGTCGCTGTCAGGTTGGATGCACACCTGACTTGGGTCAAACAGGGCACGGTCCTCGCGGTCTTCAATGGAGCCAGCAAAGCCAGAGCCATCCACTTGGAGTGTAGCAACATCTCTACTGGACTCGGACAGAGAAAAGTTCACTGCAAGTAAAAGCAGCACAGCAGCAGGCATGTTTGTTACTTTATGCTTGGTTTCGTTACGTGCGCAGCTTTATACTGAACCATTCCCTGTGACCATCATGTTTGCCCAACAAAGCATTTTCAATGTACAACACTTTAGAATGGTGGGGGGAACAACAGAGTGCACAGTTCAGTCTATATCCAGTCTTTGGGCGTCCGAAGAACTTGCAGCAACTCGTCCTCGGGAGACCCCTTCTCTGGCTCATGCATGTACTCCCATCTTGCAGTCAGGGGAAGAGACATGAGGATGCTCTCTATCCTGGCTGCAGGCGTGTGGAGACCAAACTTTGTCCCTCTGTCGTACACCAAGTTGAACTCCGTGTAGCGCCCCCTACGAAGTTGCTGCCAGCGCATGTGGTTTTCTTTGAACGAATCCCGATAGTGTTTTTCCACCAGAGGTACGTAGGACGGTATCACAGACGACGCACACGAAGACACAAACTTGAAACAGTCTTCCTTTGTCGGAGTCTCAAGATCGTCAAAGAAAATTCCCCCGATCCCACGTCGCTCCTTTCGATGGGGGATATTGAAGTAGTTGTCGCACCATTTCTTGTACTTGGGGTAATAGGTCTTGTCGTGAGCGTCACAAGCCTGTTTCAGCGTGGAGTGGAAGTGCTTGGCATCTTCTTCGTTGAGGTAGTAAGGAGTGAGGTCTGTGCCGCCTCCGAACCAGCTGAGGATCTTCCCCGAGCTGTCACTCACCTCAAAGTAGCGATAGTTGAAGTGGATGGTTGGTACCATGGGGTTGACCGGATGAACGACACAGCTGATCCCCACGGCATAGAAGGGGAGCTGCTTTCCCTCTTGCATGGCCTTTCCTCGCGAGCGCATCTGGGCAACCGCAGCCGGAGGGAGATTTCCGTGAACCACCGAGATGTTAATGCCGGCTTTCTCGAAGGATTCCCCGTCTTGTAACACGCACGATATCCCTCCACCACCTTCCTCGCGAGTCCACCGATCAACTCTGAACTTCTTGTCCCCCGACTCGAACCGCTCAAGCTCAGCACACAACTGACCCTGGAGGTCCATACACAACTTCTCCATTCGCAACCTCATTTCAGATGGTGCACCTCGCAAGGCTTTCACACCAGATATAGGCTCGGCCTTCCATGTGCATGAAGTTGGTTTGTCTAGCGTGAAAGCCACGGCAAGGCCTGAGAAGCAAACACCGCTACCCCAGAGCAGGCGTCTCCTACTGCTTGAAGACGCCGCCCTCACTGCAGTCAGTACCCAGTTGACTCTTACACTGCTGGGGCCAAGAGGACTGTGAAGAGCCCTGCAGATGGTCGAAAGCGAGGCTCGTACGGCCGAAAACGTCTTCCACATCTCTTTCGTTGCGGTTTTACCCGTAGCTCAGTTCGCGCGTCCGGTAAAAAAGTATGGTCTAAAGGTCAGTAAACTTACCACGTGGCAACCACCAGTCGGCCCAGCTAGCTCTTCATCGCCCACCCAATAGGCTCCTTAGTGGAGGCTACAAAGAAGAAGCCAGCTGCAACAGTATGACGGTATGTATAAAAAAGGCCTATGTGGGTGTGTCATATTCACACTCTTCTCTCCCACAGCAGAAGTGAGAGATGCAGCGTGGTCTGCCTGTGAGAAAAGTATCCATTCCCTACCACGGCATGACCATTCCTATACCCTGCAACAACTCCTTTTACAGCCCACCTAGCAGCAACCAAACAGCCCAAAACATGGCGGAGAGCTCGACCTCTCAACTCCAGAACACAACGTCCACCGACACCAAGGCTAAAGTTGGCAAAAACTCACCTGCACCAATCTCTAGCGGCACTCATTCACAATCTCCTCCCAAGTCTGCCTGGGTGCACACGGGGAGAGGACGAGCTCTCCAGAAACTGGTCTCGCACGGTGTGGTGGGTGTGGTGGGCAGGCGACAGTCGGCGACTCAAAACTCAGACAGGAGCGGTGGAATTGCCTCCCCTCCTCCTCTTGCTGTTGATCTCAGTGAAGCTGATCCAGCAATAGCTGCTGGACCAGAAGATGATGAGCCTGCCCTTGATGCTGGCAATGCAGATAATAATGAGCTTGATTCAGGGGCAACTGGCAATGCAGTTAATTACGATCTTGATTCAGGGGCACATGCTAGTGACTTGGATCATGATGAAAGAGAAACAATTGTTCCAGCCGGATCTGCTGGACCCGAAGGTGAGCCTACCGTTAGCACTCAAACAACTGACATTGCAGATAATCACAATTCTGGGGCATCTGCAAAACTATCACCTTCTGAAAATATAGCGGTTGTGAATGCTCCTGCAGTTGAAACGGAAGCAAAATCACCCCCACCTGCTAAAAGCCAGTCTCTGCAATCGCCATCTTGTGCTGGGCAACCGTTCCTCAGCCCTGTGTCATCAGCCAAGACTCCCACGAGCTCGAGAAAGTCAAGAATTTCGCTGGCCATTCAGTTCAAAGGTGTCTGCTCATCTTCTCCGTCAGCTCAAGAATTTGCAGCCACCACTACACCACAGAAGGTCTCTGAAGACAGAGAATACACTCTTATGAGACCCAGCCATTTCATGCAACAGAGTATCACCCCTCCTTCATCTGGAAAGACGTTAACTGGTGATGCTGATGCTATCATCAAGGATGCGGGAGTTGCTGCTGAGCTTATGAAACGCAAAGAGACTCAACACGAGCTCAGGTGCTCTGCCAGTCAAGAAATTCTCACGCAAGATTATTTTGAGGACTGTGGCCCATTGTGTCTGTCGCCTACTATGCCTCCATTACTGATCAATACCGACTACAGCAATGAGGATTCAGAGGGACAGAGGGAAGAGAGGGAGGATTTTCTTGATAGTGTGAGCAGTGATGATGGGGGCGAGGGGGAGAGAGAGGGAGCGAGGATGGGGCTCAGTGCCGCGCAACTGGAAGAGACAATTTCCCTTCACCAGAGGAACACCCACAGAAACAGAGTAGGTCTATCTTTTGCAGTGGAACCTAAAGACACACTGGGACCAAGTTACACAGTACACCTAGAGTAATAAACAAGTGTCCTTGACAAAGAGGTGTCCTCTATTGGGATGTAAGAGAGGTTCCACTGTATGGGGGACTCTAACTCTAGTATGTGAACATCCAGGTGGAGGCCAAGAGAATCGAGAGACGTGTCAAGGGAACAGAGGAGGTTCTGGCGGCAGATGTGGCCGAGCAGTGTGCCCAGGAGGACGAAGACAGCCTCAACTACAACATAACAGAAAGCAGGTATGTGCCACTTTTTCAAGGCACAAAATTTTAAGCATGCGGTTCTTTACTGATAGGGACTTGCTTGTGACTATAGGCCACTTAGCAATCTGGCCCCTATAGATAGGAATAGTAGTTTCCATGTTGGTGCTATATATATAACTGCTGGTGTTTGTTGTCCTTGCGTCTGAAGAGAGAAAGAAATGGCACGTGTACTGGATCTCCAGTTGCAGTTCGATTCGCAATCGATTGAAGAAACTCGGTATGAATATTTCTTCACTTCAGCGAAAGAAGCTATCCCAATTTTTTAATAGTTGTGCTAGTGAAAGCCTTCAGTTGGACCCAGAGAACCATGACAAGTTGATGAGGATGGAGGTATATATAGCTCCCTATGTATATATATACTGTTCTGTTAGTGACTAGTATCTCGCACTGTGTAATGTATGGTACACTAGTTGAAGCTCGAAGTTGAGGCTCAGGAAGTAGAGAAACAGCTACAGCTGGTCAGAAAGCAGGCTGCTCTCCTCCAGACAAAGTCAGAAATGATCGTGTAGTCCAACAAACCAACTGACTTACAGACTCATTTAATTCCCCCTTCAGTTATTCATGATCACAAGCCTCAATATTATCAAAATTCACAGTTGATCAATAATCACAATCAATAGAAATTAATATTAATTGCATGTTGAGCTGGCTAGCTACTTGTACAAAAAGGGATTCTGGTGTCTCGCAGTGATTGCATTTAGACATGTGCTCTTGTTGCTGCCCTAGGCGGACGAGGCTCGGGTCGTATCGGCACCGTCTGTGACGGCGGTGGGTCGGGAGTTGGAGGAGGCATCTGTGACAGAAAATTATTAACAGCGGCTCAGGCGGTTGGGCATTGGTGCGTACTTACGTACCTCTCCCACCTCAACGGCTCGTACGGTGACTTGCTCGGCGACCGCTACGTTTCCGTCCTCGTCGGGAACGGCGACTAGAACCCTCTCGCGTCTCTCCAGCCTCGCCGGGCCGCCATGCTCGCCTTCTTTTAGCACCAGCTCGTCCTGTATCGCCACCACTTCCCCGCCTTCTCCCTGAGCAACACGAACCTCTCCCGCAATCACCGCCATTCCGTGATCGCGAACGAGCGAGCTCGCGCACGCGCACTACGTCAAGAGAATCGACAGTTTTGCCATCTGTTGTTTGCTTCATGGGAAACTGATAAAGATTACCATTTGATGTCACTGGTAGCTCCAAGAGCTAAAACACACGCAACATAGGACATCACAAGAAAAAAGGCGCCCAGGACAAACGAAATGACCATCACACCAACTGGTAAGTGAGTAAATCCACACGGAACATCCTTATGAGTGTGAATATCATAGTCTGATCCGTTGCTGAGTGTGCTGTAGTGAGTAAAGACAGAAGTTGTTCCTGCAACGCTGGTGAATATGAACAGCAGTAGTAGGCAGTAAGCTACGCAGAACAGCGCGTGGGGCAAGTCTTCGTCACTCCTGATCCAGTGGTAGCAGCAGCAGAGGAGACCAAGGCAGAGGGACAGAATCCCCATCAAGTAACAGAACACTGATGCTCCGGTTAGTGATGGACACTTATCTAGTCCACTGAAAACTGCAGACATAATGTAGCATCACAATTATGCAGGAAATTCGCATTAGCCCACCTGTCACCAATATCAACACAGCTCCAAACACCCATAAGGTTGTAGTACACACTGAGCAAGTTACTCCTGGACAACAATTGAAGGGTAAATATGATGTGCAATTTAGCGCTACAGCATAGCAAGCTTACTTGATCTGGCTATATAGAACCACATTTCACACCAAGAGCGGCAGAAACTTCTCCGTGCCCTCTCGGGGTCCTTCTCCTGTTGCTCCAACACTCCCACTACAGAGGGATTGTTATTGCATCAGTAGAGTCACACCGACGCTTGCATCATCTGCCGAAGGAAGGCGGGAGTTGACTCACCTCTACCACGTTTCCTGAGCCTGGTGCTGCGTTGACCCTGAAAGGACAAAAGTTACTAAAAGGCGCCAGAAATGCGGCAAAAGGTCGAATTCACTAGCCACCGTGGCTAGCTGAAACATACTCGCCACTCCCGGCGCTGTACCAGAGGACTCACATAATTCAGCCCGCCATCGGCCACTAGTTTGGTAGAACTGTACTCGCCGCTCGACTCGGGTGCCGTGAGGTTAACAGCCAGCAATGGCGCTCTCTCTTCAGCCATCCTCAACCCAGACCCACACACGGGGAGCACGGAGCAGAGCTAGCTACTTATTCATGCGCATGCGCGTTTACGTTTACAACCAAGTTCGTCGTCAATAATTAATTCAACCATGCAAAAAATATGATCACAGTGGAGGAAAGGGCGCCCGGTACAAGCAGCATTCCCACCAGAACCCAAAATGTCATTCTGTTTACAAAGTAGCTTGAGCTGTCGGTGCTTGGGCAGTAGAAGCAATAGTCAGCAGTAGACGCTAGGATACCCACTGTTGCAGCATAGCCAAGCGACACAAACCAGGCATACATAATCAGGCCTCCAAACAGCCACTTCTTTCTCCTCCTGTCACCGACTCGGTTGCAAAGCTTAGCAAGTAGCCTGAACGAGCTCATGAGTATGAATATCACACCAGACAAAAGATTCCCCACAATCCTGGCATTTGTTGTGCCCTCTGGCACTCGTGCCAAACCTTCGACACAAAAGACAAATTTGAATGAGGGCAACTGTAACTGGATTCAGTGGATCGCCTACTTGCAACTACAACTCCAATGATGATGATTCCACCAGCAAAGAACAGAAACGAAAGAAAAATACACACCCCAGCTTCGGTGGAGAAATTTTAAATCAAACGTTGAATTCAGTTTTTATAACTTACAGTAGCGGCGTCCAATTCCAAGACAAGCACACACGGCATTCTGAAGGTCATATAGTTCTGGCTGGACTGGTTCACCCCGTGGGGGGACAAGAGGCGTAACCTCATCTGGTGGTGCCTGTCGACCTAGCGAAAGTTATTTAGCTAGCTAGCTACATATTGACTTAATCCCTCTGTCAATCACACATTAATTAAGAAGCTGTATAATACCTGCATCCCTACGTCGCGAGGGTTGAGGGTCCAAGTACGTATACTCCGGCTCAGTGGTTCTGGGACCCGGGAGTTCGTACGGTCTCGGCTTGGGCAGTGGGACTGGAGGCCTTGGCCTGATCCCTCCCTGCTGGGCAGGGTTGGGGTTAGACTGAGAAGAAGGAGGACGAGGTCCCAAAACGCCAACTACATTAACTTTCAGGTAGCCTCCTTCGCTCTCTTCAGCTGCAGGTATGTGGCCATTTTCACTAGTTGTGTCTCCTCCGGCTGATGTTGTTGGATTACTAGCATCATTAGCTGTCACCCCGCCATCATCAACTTCAGCCATTGCAAACTAACCGACAGCTCTCAACGTCAATTATAACAGACCGTAATAGTAATTGACTCTAAAAGGGAGCTCACATGATTCTGTAGCTTTTCCACAAGTAGTAATACGCTACACATGTGTGGTACAATTAGCTCTCTGTTAGATCTACTCTTGCGCACAGCCATCATTTTCACCACACACACACACACACCACATTGATACTATGTACACATTTGATTATCAGTTCAGAGATCACATGATTAACAACTTTTACTGGATGTTACAACACTAATTATCTACAGAGTTTGCTTTTTGTTCTTTATCCACACGTTCAGTGGCCAGGTGAGGGCATGTATCACAACGTGGTGTAGCCCTGCCCGGAATCCTTCTTGCAAGATGAGCCACAGCAGCAGTAGCAGAATGAGACGAACACCACGACCACCATTAGCGCCATCATTGTCATCATGGTCCACAGGGACATCTGAACAAATTCGCACGGGTAGCGCTCGCTCTTTTCAAACGTGCAGTTTTTGCAGTAGTGAATGCAGTCGTAGTGTTCGTTTACGCCGAACACGAGGGCCCCTACGACTGCAGTATAAACGAGCGAGAGGGTCCAGGTGTAGGCGACAAACGGGGCATAGCTGCAGCCGCAGGTCTTGTTCCACTGGTTCCACAGCCAACCGCACGGCCAGAGGAGACTTAGCAGAACAAAGACGATCCCTGACGCCACGACAGCCAGCTTGACTGGCTGCAACTTGTCCAGCGTCAAAACTAAGAAAAGAGAGAGAGAGAGAGAGAGAGAGTCAGGCACCCTTGTAATTGGTTTGTCAACTCACATGACAAAGTGATTAGCACAATTCCACCAGTGAGAAACACGAAACTGCAGAAGATGCAGAGCCCAGCTGCAGATACATACAGCAAATACATGAGCTCCTAGAACCTCCACTTCAAAAATGGGGACAATAGAAAAACCTCTGAATAAAAGGACACACTTTGGAGTTGACTTTTCTATTGTATGTTATAACCCCCAAAAGAGGACAACCTCCCAATAAAGGACAATGTCTGGTCCCAAAGTGTTCAATATTTGGAGGTTCCAATGGACTCCTCAATACTTACAGTACCACTGGCCGATGCCGAGCCAGAGTAGGAGGGCACGGGCCACTCCCCTTTGCTGCCTCACGTGTTCTCCGACAGTTGGTTCTCGCTCGCCAGTCACCGTGGACATGCGGGAGTGCCTGCTCAGCAGTGGACTCGCTTCACCTTCTATTGGTCTGGCATTCCCACGTACCACTGGAGTATGATAGTAACACTATAGACACGCACTGTGTAGCGACTTTCAGCAGTTTCTCCATTCGTCCGCATGGAATTCTCTTTTTACCAAAGGACACGTTGGATTGATGGACAATAGCTCACCGGGTCTCCTGAAGGCGTCAGTGTAGGCAGGAGGAGGCGGTTGATTACTCCCAGCGGGGATAGGCACCCGAAGAGGAGCAGAGGAATCGTTCCCTCCGTCATTATCGGCATGTTGCCCGGCGGTCGCCGTGTCGCGGACCACGAACGGGTTATCTACAGAGTCCTGCAGCTGCCGCGGCTGTGGGAGGGCGCCGCTCTCTCCCTGGACCGACGGAGCTTGAGACCCAACCTCGGCAGCCATCACACGCACTTGCTCAAACGCGCGCTGCGCAACGTTGTTCCTCCTCCCCTACGTCACCCACCCACTAAAAAAACAACAACAGATGACCAAAGGGACAATGAAAAGCACTACCCTCGGCACACTATATAGAAATGTGGAACCCATACACAAGTGTGGCACCACCACAATTGATGGTCTTGACCATGCATAAAAAGAACAGCATGTTATGCACTATTTCCATGGTCAATAGGTTGAAAAAAAGGCCAGCCCTATTTTTCTCGGGTGTCTGTTCGTCCCAGAAACGATACCATCTACCCAAGCGCCAGGGTCAGAAAATATGTGGGGTTTTCTCTGAAAATGATCCGTTGCAGAGCTAGAGCGCTTCCCAGCATGTAGTCGCCATTTTATCGCTGGCGGATAATGCGCATGCGCTTATATTTAGCTCGACCGGGTCCGCTTGCTCTGTCTATCTTGAAGGCACAAGAAGTCACAACGAATGGCGTGTATCGACTCTCGCGTGCTATCTACTACTGTAGCTAGCCCGTGTCAGACTCTCTGCGAGCTACTTCGCCGAGGGTTTGCACTTTAGTGCTTTTCATTTACCATCAAGTAATGGTGGTGGTCTGATGGATAAGCACCCCCTCTCTTGATCGTGAGGTCCTGGTTCGATCCCGGGTGTGTACGCCTTTTTTACAATGATGTAATAGGAGTGTTGGTATATATGGAGCGTTTTTTCATTACCTCTCAAGGCCAGCCCGAGTGGCTAGGTGGTTAGAGTCATGGGGACTGACACCATAGGTGCCCGGTTCGTATCCTCGATCCCGCACTAAAGTGTCAGGTGGTCCAGAGCATTGGCTGGGAACAGCTCTGGTTCCTCCCCTTACCCACAAATCTACCACTGACCCACGTTTCTCAAAGGGCAGCGTACAGTTCGGCATAGCACTGCGTCCGTAGACGTCTGTCTGGAGAGATGAAGGGCTGGGCGTTTTTTATTTTTTTCAACCTTAGATTTGTTTTTTTTTGCACTAAACAATCATAGAGAGATGAAAGGTTGGCAATTTTTCAACCTTATATATATTTTTGGCCTCAAACAGACACACGTACACAGATAGACAGACAACCCAACTACAGTACCCTCGCTGCGCATGCGCCGAGGGTAATAAACGCATGCACAAAAATAACATAGCACAAAGCACATGACATGAAATTAGAGAGACTTCAAGTCATCTAAAACTACAAGTCACATGCAGGAAATGTTCCAAATCTTTTTTTGCAGTAACTAATCACCCGCTGAGCCTCCAATGAATGCAGCGCAGCAGATTGTGAGGCAGCAGCAGCAGCATATCATGAAGGAGACAGTGTAGATAAGGATGAGTGTGACGAAACTAAAGATGTATGGCACAGGATGGCAGCAGTCTTCACCGCAATCGTTGAACCTACTGTAGTAGCCAAAGACCCATGCACTATAGTGGCAGAGAGAAAGAAAAGAAGAAGACATGAATAGAGAGCCAAATGCATTACGTCTCAGTACAGCTAGATATGAGAGTGGTGTATGTACCTCCCAATGATGATCCAGATGAAGAGGAAGAAGGAGAGAATGCTCTCCAGACAGTTACCCGATCGCCCGGCATACCTCTCCCTATTCTGCATGACAATAAACAACCGTAGCAAACATTAACATTCCTCCTCCCCTTTCTTTCTCTCCCTCTTTCCCCCCTTCTTCCTTCCTTCTTTCTTTCTCTCCTCACTCCTTTCTTTCTCCCCCTCTATCCTTCCTCCTTTCTCTCAACCTCTTGTCTTTCTCCTCTCTCCTCTCTCCCTTACCGCTCCGTCCTCATCTCCCTCATTCTTCTTTCTGAAGCAGCGTTTCCCAATGTCGATGAACGACTGGACCAGACTCACACAACCAAACACTATCAGCCATATTGGTATGATTCTACGGTCAGGACAGTCGTCCAGGTAGATAGCACCTGTGCGGAGAATGGTCTGTGTTAGGCCACTCCAAGTTGCATTCCGGTTTCTGGTCGGAGTCTTTTCAAGTCGAGATGCGGCGGGTTTACTCATTATGTCATTAGTATACTTAGTCAAAAATTCATATTGGGAAGACAGTCAAGTGCAAACCCATTAGTACACACAAGCACAGCAGGCGTAGTGGATAATGACCAAAGCTCTCTTGAAATGGGGTGCGGGCAGCGGACCAGAAACCAGTATACAACTTGGAGTGGCCTTATCTCATCGACATCATATAACCCTATGGACGCCTATGGACGCCTATGGACGCCATAGGTGTCTCCTTTTAACATAAGCAGAAATTGATGTATAACATTATTATATAAATTCTTATGCACTTATGGAGGCTCTGTGCATTATATATATGTAAATGGCGCCCAAAGGGATAAATCAGGTTTACTACTAAACGAAGGTCACATAAGGTGAGAAGGTGTTGGTAGTTTAAAGGAGCAGTGCTAGGGGTTAGACTAGAGACAGTAAACCGTGATTTGTAAGTACGATGAAATTTATGCTTACCGATAATGATCATTGAGATTGGAAGGGCTGCTAGTATTCCCATGCATATCGCACAGGCAACTGTATGGGAGGTGGAGACGAGTGAGAGAAAGAGGGGGCAGAAGGCAATGGGAAACTGGACAATAGTTACTATACAGCACCACTCACCTGTTCCAGTCACAATCTCGCAAGACTTGACCACAAATGTGGCCCGGTTTGATGACTGCTTCTTGGCCTCCTTGAGATCCGATATTCCGAACAGCTGGTTGTAGGCTGGAGGAGGTTCCGTCTCTCCTGCAGACATCAGATGCGTCGCCGTCCCTTCTGCTGTGGGCATCAAAATTTAGCTAGCCATGATCATAGCTACGTAGCTAGGCAAACAAGTATACTCAGTCCGACTCCGTACTATAACTGTGCGCTCGAAGAGAACTTACCTTTGGTTGCTTCCTCGTACGGTGGTGGTTCCTGTAAGAGAACAACCAATCCATCATCGAGCGAAAAATCATTGAGCACAAGTAGCTAGCTAACTTGGAAGACACGCCCGCAGCTTACCGCCATGCTAAACGAGGACACCTCACGCAGTAGAAGAGATGGATCTAAGCTAAAAAGATCAGTTGACTGGGGACTGTTGGCGGACTGCCCTGAAACGTGATCAATGTTATTTGGAATGTGGGGCGTGGCTCTTGATGCGGTGACGTTCGCTTTTATTCTGCGGTCATATGATCGCCACACTGTGTACTTAGTCTCGCTTGGCTCCCTCGCAGAGAATGACGTCCGTGTTAGCAGTACTTGTAGGGCTGGCCGTCGTTGGTCTAGGTGTTCGTGCAAACGCTGCAGACGACACCTACCTGATCGGAACTGGCCGTTATGACGTGACCGGCCCTGCAGCCGAAGTAGAAATGGTGCGTCCGTCTATGTTTGCAGGATCAGAGCTAGGCTAGAGCCTCATTCGCCTCTCTGTTTTTATGTTCTCTTTCCTCGCGTGCAGATGGGCTACGCAATGCCGACGCAGATCACGCACGGCATTCATTTCAGGCAGTGGTCCAGAGCCTTCATCATCGCAGACTCCTCCGACACTAGCAGAGTGGTGTTTGTCAATGTCGACATCTGTATGGGGACGCAGATACTCAAGATTCAGGTGGGCTCTTGCAGCAGCAGAAGATGCAGCGTTTATTGCATAGCATGCATGCTTCTTTGTAGGTTGTTGAGAAACTGAGATCTCTGTATGGAGATCTTTATACCAATGACAACGTGCTCATCAGTGGCATCCACACTCACTCAGGACCTGCAGGCTACTTCCAGTATCTCCTATTTGAGGTTTGAGAGATCGTCTTAATAGGGGTCCTTCTATAGCTAGCTACCAGTCAGTGGGAGAGAAGAAAGTGTCCCATGTTACTGAGTGGGGTCTCCACATTTCGGGGTTAATTAAATTCCATGCAAGAACTCTTCTGCATAATTATCCTTAGAGAGGGGTTCTGCTATATACCATTTCTCATATCTTTCCTTCTCTTTTTCCCTTATTCCTCATGTGAAGTTGATGTCCCTGGGGTTTGTAAAGGAGAGTCTGGATGCAATAGTTGGTGGTGTGGTGGCTAGTATCCAGGAGGCCCACGAGAGCAGACAGCCAGGGAAACTCTACCTCAATTCTGGCCTCCTGGCTGGAGCCAACATCAACCGTAGCCCCGCAGCCTACGTGAGGAACCCCAAAGAGGAGCGAATGAAGTGAGTTCACATTGCAGTACTTACTTGACGTGGGTTACTTTGTTTCCAACTCACAAAGTACCATCCAGATACTTGTTTGCTCACCCGGTGTAATCAGTTAGCTACTTTTATTTTAGGTTAATTACAAATTTTGTGGACTGCTTTAATTTTCTTGCATCGTTTCTTTCGCTAATGGCTCTCAAACTCTGCCCACAAATTATGTTGATTTCAAATTCACCCCAGAAGATATGCGATGAATCTTTTAAACTCATATACTCTTTTCTTGATTTCTCAAAGGTACATGTCAGTTGGAAATGACACGGACCACGAAATGGTGGTGCTGAAAATGGTCGGTACGGAGGGAAACGACATCGGGATGATCGACTGGTTCGCCGTCCACTGTACCAGCATGAACAACACCAACTCTCTCATCAGTGGAGATAACAAGGGGCATGCCTCGTTTCTAATGGAATCTGCCATGAGCCCACCGGGAACACTCCCCGGGCATGCGAAATTTGTGGCTGCGTTTGCTCAGAGTAACGAGGGGGACGTCTCTCCTAATACGAAGGGACCTCACTGTCTGGACACTGGGAAACCGTGTGATCTTGTCCACAGTACTTGTAATGGGAGGGTAAGTAGTATTATAGAGCAAGAGAGAGAAGGGTTAATGTAGGTTATGTGTGATATCTCACATGATGTGGACAGTGGTTTTGATTTATGCAAGTAATGCACGAATGAGTTGTAAAGCTAGGTTTATTGTGTCATGTTGCTCAACTTCACTTATCGTAGCTCAGTAATAATGACAACACTCTTTTGTTACTGTACTGTTCTTCTTACCACTCTCGCTACCGGAATCGCTGAGATTATTACATCATCCATTTCAGTAGTGATGTCACTGATATTCATGTAGACTGCATTTCGACACAGTGGCAAGAGAGCTTCATTACGTTGATGTTCAAAGTTGTGTTTCCTTAATGCAGGTGAGCAATGCGTGGCATTTGGACCTGGCGTTGACATGTTCGACAGCGCACGCATCATTGCAGAGAAACAGTTCAACATGGGGAAGGTACAATAATACTCTTGTGAAATTTCTTTAATCTTTCCATGAAAAATGATTACTTCTTCTTTATACCCTAATTCTCTGGACCCTTTTGCTGCAGTCCCTCTATGAAGATGCCTCGCAGCAGGTCACTGGTCCCGTTCAGTTCAGACACTCGTTTGTCGATTTCTCAGACGTGGCTGTCAACATTAGTGGCAAGATCCTCCACACCTGCCCCCCTGCCATGGGCGAGGCCTTCGCAGCTGGCACGACAGACGGTCCCGGAGCCTTTGACTTTAAACAGGGTGAGACCCTCTTATTATGTCCCGTTACATTACCTTTCTGCTCGCTTGCCTAGCCAAGCACACCCTAAGCAAGCCTGCATGCATAGCTAATCATTGTGCAATTCTGATGTCAGCTAATAGTAGTAGAGCGAAAAAGGACCCTCTGAACAACGAGAACCAATCTATATATAAAGGACAGTTGGATACTGCCCCATACATACTAGCTCCCTCTAAAAATGTGAAACCATTTGATTCTCCTCTTACTCAGAGGTTCACTGTACTTAGTAAGAGATCATAAATATTTACCAACATCATTGATGTATGGGTCTATTTATTTGTACACAGCTAGCAACACTACCAATCCCATATGGATAGCAGTGCGAGACATTCTCCACAAGCCAACTAAGGAGCAGATTGAGTGCCAGTTCCCCAAACCCATCCTCCTGGACACAGGGTTCATGAACTTCCCCTACCCCTGGCAGGCACGGGTCCTCCCCCTCCAGCTACTGAGGATCGGCCAGCTGGTCATTATTGGGGTTCCAGCCGAATTAACGTGAGTCCATTGCTAACAGGAAGATCAAACAGAGCTGCTACAGTATGAGGTTTTGTTTATCTGCAGCACAATGTCAGGAAGGAGGACAAGAGAGGCAGTCAAAAATGTAGCTCATTTGTTTGCATACATAATGTAGTAAAACTTTCTTTTTCTTTTTCTCTCTGCTAGATTCTGGTGAAGTATGGAAAAGACGAGGGGTTTGGCAATGACACTGTTCCTGTGATCGCCGGACTCTCCAACACTTACTCAGACTACGTCGCGACGTTTGAAGAGTACCAGGCAAGCCAGGGACTATACCCCACCTCTCTCTCTCTGGATCTAGTGAGCTTGAAATTCTCAGGAACAAAGATACGAGGCAGCGTCAACGGCTTATGGGCCGTACACACTTGATGCCTACATCCAGGAGTTCAGTAGACTTGCCATGGATCTTGCTACGGTGCGTTGCGTGTGTGTTTAGAACCTGCCCGTGTGTGTGTGTGTTGGAGTTTAAAGTCTCCAATGATGGCTCTGTAATTATGATACAGAACAAGAGCAGCGAGCCGGGACCAGATCCGCCCAATTACCTGGAGAAGCAGTGGGCCCTCCATCTACCAGTTGTGTTTGACGCAGCTCCTCTGGGGAAGAAGATTGGGGACGTACACAAAGACACTGTCTCCAGCTACAACATAGTGAGAGAGACACTGTGCTATGCTTTTCGGTGCATCTATTGGCTGTTTCATGAGGTTGTGTTGTTTTGCAGAATGACACAGTCGAAGTTCAATTCTGGGCCGGGAACCCAAGAAACAATCTAATGGTGAGTCACCCACCGATGCAATTGCATCTACAAAAACTTTCGACAAACTTCCATTGATTGTGGTTCCATAACCATAGTTACGAATTTAGTGGGCAGGAACATTTATAGATTGTGGAAACTCAAGAATTTGTCTCCCTGAGTTTTTCAGGTAGCTATTTACGATTTTTCTCTCATTTTCCACATCAGACTGGGAAGACATTTCTGACTGTTGAGAGGCACAATTCTACCACCGATCAGTGGACTGTGCTGTTTACTGATGCCAGCTGGGAGACCAGGTTAACGATTTAACCCCTTAACTGCTGAATAATTTAACCCAATTCTCACTGCAGGTTTGCCTGGAAACAGACCAATGTGCTACTGGGAGAGAGCTTGGCGACTATCACGTGGACCATCCCTCCGTCCACGTCGTCCGGAGACTACAGAATACAGCACTTTGGCTACCGCAAGAGAATATTCACTGAAACCATATCTTCCTACAGCGGTGTCTCCTCCACCTTCTCCGTGAAAGGAAGCAAGTAGCAAACTATGTACATATTTACACTCTGTGAATCCTGACTTATAAACGTACTGTGACACTAACGAGGTCTAGAACATGATTAATTTTTTACAATTTTTACACATTGACTAAAATTTCGTTATACACTGAAGCTAGTTGGTGACTGGTGAGTGAGCTAGAGGTCTATATAAGGGAGTTTGCTACTGGTCTAGAGAGAGAAGGGGGAAGAGGGAGGGAGGAAGAGGAGAGAGAGGGAGGGAGAGGGTTTGTTCTAGAGTCTACTCCATGTGCTGGTGTCCAGTCACGCTACATCGCTCAGGGCAACCACTCCAGGCAGCTGCTTGCCTGCATGAGCAAAGAAGATGAACACAATGTACCAATTTTTCGACATGCAAAAACTTGTAGGTAAATTGGGTCACGAGTAAGAATTCAACTAGGCTAGAGATTTAAATGAAAAATTTGCGCTTTAAAAATTTTGTTTCTTCGGCTGACCTTCCAACAGCTCGAGACTAGCTCCGCCTCCTGTGCTGACATGGCTGACCTTATCCACCATACCACACTGCTCCACCAGAGTAGCAGTGTCTCCCCCACCTGCACAGATCATGTGACCCTCACATGACAATCATGTGATGTCATGTGACTGTCATACCGATGATAGAGGTGGCTCCTTTTTCAGTGGACATTACGACTGCATCAAGGACGGCTTTTGAACCACGGGCAAAGTTTTCATATTCAAACACTCCCATTGGTCTGGAAGAGAGAGAGAGAGAACATTTACCTAGAAAAAGGTACAATTCGTATATTCTACGGAAATAATCAAAGCTTACCCATTCCAAACGATGGTGGCAGATTTCTCGACCACACCCACAAACTGGGCCACACTCTCGGGACCAACATCCAAACCCATCCACCCCTCCGGAATACCAGCTCCCACGGTTGCCGACCCCACCTGATTGTCACATGACTGTCACATGATCCCGACATATAATCCCATACTTACGTACCTGGGCATCTTTGTCAAACTTGTCTGCGGTGACAAAATCTGTTGGGAGATGGATCTTAACTCCTTTCTTCTCCGCTTTTTCCATAAGTTCTCCAACGATTGTGGCGCCTTCTTCGTCAAACAGTGATCCACCAATCTGAGCAACACGACGGGAACACTCACTTCCACAAGATACTGCAGGAAAGACGGCCTCTGACCTGCATTCCCTGGAGAGCCTTTAGGAAAGTGTAAGCCATTCCTCCACCGATTATCATGGCGTCCACCTTGTCCAGTAGGTTTCTGATCAGCTGGATCTTATCGTGAACTTTAGCCCTAACAACCCCCCCAAAAAAGTAAATCTCAAGGCTAATGACATGAAAATTCACTAATGCGTGCACTAATCCATCAACTGGTACTAACATATCGAGCCAACCAAAATCGTAGAAGTTTACCGATTCCTTGATTTATGTTAGCTTGCAATAAAGCTGTCAAATGAACTAACTCACCCTCCGAGGATGGCAAGAAACGGTCTCTTTGGGTCTCCCAGAGCCTTCCCAAAGTAGGTCAGTTCTTTCTTTAGCAGGAACCCCGAGGCCCTCACAGACAGCTGAACCCCTACCATTGAACTGTACACACAGAGTACCACACTCTTACAGTCTTATAGCACGCATAAAAAATTTCCACTTAAGCGGACATGGCAAAACTTTTTTGAAGGTTATGTGCATCAATGTCCAGTGTGCATCAATGCCCAGTGTGCAATGATCGTTCAATTTAAACTTTTTAATACTTCACACAGCTTAAATTGAGGCAAAATTGCCAAATAAAAGGCTGTCAGTGTACCGGAAGAAAGAGAGAGTTTTACAACCTGTGGGCTCTGTGAGCTGTACCAAAGGCATCGTTGACGTAGACATCACCAAGTTTAGTGAGAGACGCTCTGAATGTAGCTACGTCTTGCTCACTAGCCTTAGCCTGTGGAAGTAAAAAATTGTGCTTTGTTACATCAATTTTTTCCCCATGAAAGAAAGACGGACGGTCTATGTGTGCCTGACAGGCAACACATCGTGACTGCTCCTTACCTTCTTTCCTTCACTGTCTTTCCCCTTCCCTTCCTCTTCAATGTGAAACCTCAGGTTCTCCAGTAGAATAACAGAACCTGCAATCCACATACATAATTATGTACAGTAGACAACACGAACATCAAATCACTCGCTGTCTCCCGCTAGTAGCACACGGAGAGTCTGACACGCTCCACTCTTTTTAAGCAGTTTCGGGCAAAAATTATACTACTATAATATCCTGCTATGCATAATATTACATTACATAATATCCTACAAATAATATTACCTCAGCTACAAATGGATCTGTATTACGTACACACTAGATAATGGAGACACACCAGGCGTGGGAGAAGCACAGGCAGCCTCGACCTCAGATCCGACGCAGTCCTGCAGAAAGGCCACGTCTCTCCCGAGGAGCCTCTGCAGCTCCTGAGCCACGGGGGAGAGAGAGTATTTGTCCACTCGCCGGCCCTCTGGCCTCCCCAGGTGACTCATCAGGACCACAGAGCGGGCACCGCTCTCCAGAACATGCCTTATTGTGGGCAGCGCAGCCACAATCCTAGAGGGGAAAAGTTCCTCTCACATCGTCTACTCTTACAATGCACGAAGATTGGAAAAAAATCCTCGTACACCAACCAACCTTTGGTTGCTGGTGACGGTAACGCCATTCAGCGGCACGTTGAAATCAACTCTGAAAAAAGTCGACTCATCTCCCTGATCTGGGAATTTGTGTAAGTTTGCCTCACCTCATGAGTACACGCTTGTCCTTGACGTCTACTGCGTCTACACTTAGCTTGTTGAACGCCATAGTTTCGCCTTGGCTTGCGTGAACCGGAGCTCAGGGCAGTGGGAGAGAAGAACAGGTCAAGGGCCAAGGATAGAGGTCAACGCCCACGCATGCGGTCTCGCTGTCTGCGCACGCGCACAGGCACCTCACGTTGAGAGTTTTGGGGATTCAAACCGCAAGGCGGACATTAACTTATTGTTCGAAGTTACACACACACACCTAGAAGACAGGGGTGACTACTGGTCTTGATTGTGTAGCTCTCGAGAACTTGGCAGCTCCTCCAGCCAGGCCGGAGGGTCTTGACTCTGTCTCTCCTGGCTCAGTTTGGCCTTGAGCTCCTTCAGGAGGGAGTCCACTGCCGTGTGGTTGCCAGAGAAATAGGCGGCAAAGGCCCCGAGCAGCAGAACTAGCTGCTTGTGGGTCACCTTGTACTGCAGAGCGAGGATAAAGTCATGGGTTTTGCGTCAAATCCCAATGAACTCTGTTCTACATAATAATTCTCAAAGAAACTGCAAACCATAGTAAAAGCAAACTAAATTTGAACAGGAAAGGCTCAGCGTTAATGTACTCTAATAAAAACCCACCTTGTTTTCGTCCAGGAGTTTCAATTTGATGTCAAGATCGTGACGAAGTTGCTCAAACACTTGTTTGTGGACTTCAAACTCGCCCGTGGCTACCGGCAATCGTGCTGCTACTTTCTCTGACATATTTGCCTGTTTCTTCAGCTCTTCGAGGTCGTTTCTATATGCATCGTACGCCAGTCGACTGTTCTCGTATACCCTAACAGTCTGCAGCGTGTCCTCCATTGTTTTCGTGCACACCGTTTGGGTGTTTGAGATGAAGAAATTGACTGCAGCCAACAGCGTCTCGCCGTTTCTCGATACCTGCTTCTGAGCGTCCGAGTTGAACTGAAACTCAGAGTGCAGTTCCGGAGTCCGCACGCTCATGAAGGCAAAGTGCTCGGCGAGGGTTTTCTGCGTCTCGACTACTTGTACAAACTGTGTGTGGAACTGCGAGGCAAGGTGCATGAGTTGGGCGTACTTTCTCTGAGTTTCTCTCAACGACTCGATCCGCTTGTCGAGGTCAGGGTCCACCGTACGAGTCCCCCTACCGAACTTCTCAGATACGAGCTGTTTGGTTACCCGTATTTGGTGCGCACCCCATTCCTTCAGCAGGGTTCCCTTGCTGGCCGAGCGCTGCCGCGTCTCTATCCGGGTCCCCTCAACGGGAGAGTGCGGGTCGCGGTCTTCGAGGCCACCCTCGCCGTTCGCACTGGGGGGTGGAGATGCAGCGTCGTCGGAGAATTGGAGAACGGGACCCGTGGGCGCCGTGTTGTGGGGTGTCTGGAGGTCTACCGTGTGGAGGGAGTTCTCTTCCCCGTCTTCCACAACAGGGACGCCTGCGCTTTCCAGCTCGGCTGCAAGATCGGGAGCCTCGGCCATCTAGATTTCTCTACGTTCTATACAAGTCCCGTGACTTTTGTACGTTACCACGTGAAAACCTCTTTCTCACGTGCGCGGATATTTTGACTAAATGATGACGTCATGAACGCCCGATTAAAAAGTTTCTCGGACGGCAAAGTGGGCGAGGCTCGAAATTATCGGCAGGTTATTGTCCGGCTACCGTCCAGCGGCTCGTGTTTCTATCTGTGCTCGTTCTTCTCTAGCGAGAGTGTCCTCTGTGTCCAGGAAGCGAATTCGGAGCCGACCAAGGGGCGGTAGCATGATGCCCGGACAGCAGAACGAAGACGTGGAGCTCAAAGTCAGCTACATGGTCAAGCGCTCCCAGGGAAAGTCGGCGCTCGGCGCCACCAACTTCAAGAAACGGGTCTTCTGTCTTACCCTCAGTCGCTTTTCTTACTACGACGGGACGGTGGAGGTAAGATTTCCCCGTACCTACCTCAGTGCTGATCCAAAATGCGGGTACAAAATGCGCGTGGTCTACACCGTGTACTATATTATACAACTTTTGGCTTGCCCGTCGAACAACCAGTTTGCTGTTTTCTTTGGGGCTAACGGTGGAGGTTGAGTGTACGTTTCAGCGTGCCCCCTGTTCTGCCTTCATACATACTTACATACCTGGGGGCATACCTGGGGGAGCTGTGTGTGTTCCTCAATAAGGCAGGTTGGAACAAGGAACCTGATAGTGAAAGTTGCAGCTATTGGGTGGAGAGGAAAAAGGTTCACCAGCAGGTTTATATATACCCCAGCCAAACTATGTTGGATAGTAGGAGGTGCACTGAAAATGAACATGGACTTGAGACTAGACTGTAGGTACGTCTTAGTATGGCTGAAAATGATGTCATGGCATGAGGAAGAGGGGGAGGAGACAGAGAAGGTGGAGGAGAGGGATGATGCTTGCCACAAGTAGTGTGCCTGTTTACATTGGGAATTTTGCCAGCAAGATGTGATAGCCCATACTCAATCTATATACCATGTAATGAGTTTACCTGAAGTACATGTTTACATAATGAATGGGAGTTGGGACAATTGGAAGGTAATTACTAGTTTTCCATATGCGCTGTTGGGGACTGTTTTCTTTTCTACGTGACTACCAAGGATACCTGACCATATATGTGCATTTATGCCGTGCTTTGAATTCTGCCTACTGTTTCAGCTCCTAATATTGTTGTTCTCTCTCTCTCTCTCTCTCTCTCTCTCTCTACAGAAAAGAGGTAACCTGAAAGGGTATGTGGAACTAACAAAAGTCAAAGTAATAGAGAAAGTGATGGACACAGCCTTCAACAAACCTGCGTTTCAGGTTCCTAATACATAATTCTGTTTTCACGTGTAAAGTAAACCGATTGTGGATCGCTTTTGTCAACACACAAGAAGGGTGCATGCTGTGTGAACAGAGGTTCCCTCCCCTCTTCTGTCAGTTACGTACTGAACTGCTGCACTGCCCTCAAGAATGGCTGAACGCAAAACAAACGGTGTATGGGAAATAGCTGGAATATTTCAAGCTTATGCTCACACTTTCAATTTGTGTAGCCGGCAACCAGGTGTTTGAAGAACTAATATAGTCTTTTGCTGTACTTTCTCAAACCCTGTTTGATCCTATGAATATTTTCTCTGATACCGACAAATGTGAATACAATTGAACTGTTTTCCTGATAGAGTTACCCTACGTCACTATATAACCCCCATCACATTTACTTACATTCGCCACAATAATTGTGGTGTGGGTTCCAATGTTCTTATCATCTGACAGAAATTAAAGGTTGTTGCTGCAGCATGTGTATGGAGTTTCAGTATACATAGAATGATTATGTTGTTATATGGAGGGGGAGTCAGGGACAATGCGAGGCATGTCATTTGTATTAGCAAAGGGGGTGGTATGATATGACATATAATAGCCCTGGGGATTATGTCACTGCTGACGTTGCCGGTGTGTATATACAGTATGTACTGTCACTGTGAGCTGCTGATGTTAACAAAAAGCAGTGGTAGTTAGTTGTTGCTTACCGTGTGCTTGTTGCTTGTGCTAACAAAAATTGCCGTGTGTGTATATTTATACAGGTTGTCCACGGCGACCTGACGTTGTACGTGATTGCCGCTAACGACCAGGAGCAGCAGGAGTGGATCTCGTTGATCAGACAGAGTAAGTCACTCACACAAACAGAACCTGACTCGCCAGGCAGAAACGTATGTCACAAATATCTTCTCATTGTTCTTGACAAACTGGCCTAATTTTTGCTATACGCTATACAAAACATGACTGTAATTCTAGTTTGGCTCTCTCCCTCTCTCCCCCTCTCTCTCCTGACTCCTTTTCTTCCCTTCCTCCCCTCTCTCTTTCTCCCCTCCCCCCTCCCCTTCTTCCCCCGTATCATTACAATATTCTATCACAGATTGCAAGAATAATGTGCTACTGCAAGAGAAATACCATCCCGGTCTCTTCCAGAATAACAAGTGGACTTGCTGCGACCACCGGAGCAAGCACTCTCAGGTATACTAGAGAGATGTGTGGAGGAGAGAAGATGGAGAGAGAGAGAAAGTTCATTATTTTAGCAAACACTTAGAGGTATATGTAAGGATTGTATGGAGTGCAGAGAGGGAAGAAATAAATGTGGGAGAGAGACGAAGGGGAGAGGAAAAAGGATAAGAAACAGATGATGTAATGATGATGTAATGTTGTATAACTGGTCTCCAGGGATGCAGAGATTCATTCACGAAAGCCTCGTCTCCTCCCCCGATAGCGTCGGGTGCCTCTGCAGCTCCGGCCTATTCCTCCAGACCCCCTCGGGGGCCCCTCCCCTCCATCCCTCTCCCCAACGAACCCACAGGTACAAATAGTGCTGGTCTGTAATACAAACATCGAACTCCGTTTATTTGTTTTCCAACGAGGACTATTGATTTTCTGTTTTTTTTCCAAGGGGGAGAGTAAGGGGAAGCAAATTGTGCCCCTGTAAAATGTTTTCCTGGGCCTAGTAAAATTAACATCAGTTCATGGCGCGTTTTTTGATATTTTGTTTCTTTTTTGTCCCTCAAACTTGAAAAACCCTGATACAAGTCTCTCCAACCTCTTCCCCCCTGTTCCAACTCAGTCCCTCCACATCAGAACGCAGTGGGCGGCGGCAGAAGCAGCCAGTACTCCTACCAACACACCACCCCTCGCAGCACACACTCCCCTCCTCACCAGAATCCCATCCCCAATCCCTCTCATCACTCGTCACAGTCCTCACATCAGCAGCGCCCTCCTGCTCCCCTCCCCGCTGTCCCCGTGAGCACCATGTCCCCTCTCCCTCTCTCTTTCTGTTGACTATAGCACTCCAAATAAAGATCACCTCTCTACTTATATGTAACTAGTGCTTTGTTTTGGCTGAACACCTCCCACGTGAGGTCCCAGGGTGCTCTTCATTTGGAGGTCACATTGCATTATTGCTTCGTTACACAGATCAGTTTTACCCTCTCCTCCCGTCCCCTCGCTAAAACACAGGTGTTCAACCACCAACTACAGTCCCACGAGTTTGATGTGGTTGCCATGTACAGCTATCCCGGTCAGGAGCAGGGAGATCTGGCCCTCGTGAAGGGACAGAAGTACATAGTGTTTGACGATGCCAGACCCCACTGGTGGAGGGCCAGGGACGAGAGAGGGTGAGTATATGTACCGCTGCTGTTTCCTTCAACATTGTGTACCATGTTTGACACATTTTCCTTCCAAGACTTTCAGTTCCTGGTCATCGATGTGTATTGTACTAAGTATAGAGATATGTACATGTACATAAACATGGGCCGAAGATATGTACAGCATCCAATGGGTTGGAAATTGGTTAAAAGACCACATGTACTGCAGTACATTTGCCTCATGTTTCTATGACGTGGCTATGAAGGCACTCGCTCCATTGAACACAGTAATACTACCTGGTGTGAGGCACACTTTACTTTCAGCATGCTACAGTTGTGTGATACTGCATTTAGTTCTGGGGCAGCCTAGCTATGTATGTATGTATGTATGTAGCGAGCTCTTTATTAGCAGTGTTTGTGAGGAGTGGGAGGAAAGATTGTAGCCAGTGTGTTCTGTTTGCTCAACTAAGACTGCCATATTTGCTCTGCTGTGCTAGTGTTGTCAGTGTTTGTCTTAGACCTTCAGGTGGCAAATGTAACACACCGCACTCCGCCAAAACACACACACACACACACACACACACACACACCCCCACAACACACACACACACCCTTTAAATATATGCAACAAGGGTTCATAAGTATTGGTTCTAAGGTCTTCAGTAAAAACATAGAGTGTTTAGACTACAGTACATATGTAGCATCCCCCTTGTGTTACTGCTCACGCTCCATACGAACTTGCGTACAATGTACAGCATAATATGCCACATGGGTCTGCTTTCAAAGCACATTTCTGGGGCAGCAAACTCCCCCATTTTCACCTTAAGAAAAACTCTGTATCATTGCATTGTGTGCATAGATGTCATATAAGTGTGGTGTTTTGTTTTCTTGTACAGGAGAGAGGGGTATGTTCCTAGTAATTATGTAAAGAAGGTCGGGCAGACAATGGAGGGAGAGGAGTGGTTTTTTCCGACCCTCTCACGAACTAGAGCTGAAGACATCTTGAAGGAAGAGGTGAGACAGTGTGGGTGAGAGAGAGAGGGGAGAGAGGAAAAGATGACGTGTCTGATTGTGTCACTGTAGGCAAAAGAAGGAGGATTTGTCGTCAGAAACTCCAGTAGAGAAAACATGTACACACTCTCAATCTGGTGAGTCACTCCCTCACACACACACACCCTCACACACACACACCCACACACACACACACCCTCACACACACACACCCTCACACACACCCCTCACACACACACACACACACACACACACACACACACACACACACTCATGCTTCTTGCAGTTGGCACTTTTTGTGACCGTCATCAACACGAAACCGTATGCCTCTCCCCCCTCCCCACCTATAATGCTCCCCCCCAGTCACGAGGGTCAAGTGCGACACTATCACATCAAACACGACGACGAGAAATACTACATCTCAGACAAGCACCGGTTCCCCACCATCAAGGAGCTGATTGAGTATCACAAACTCAACGGTGGAGGTCTGGTCACGAGGCTGAGGAAGCCGCCCCAGCAGCTGCTGCCTCAGCTCAACACACTCTCTCCTCTCTTTGGTGGGCGTGGTCTAGTGGGTGTGGCATATAATGTAGCGGAAACTTCTTAGATAAAAACTTTGCTAATTTTAGTTACTACCCACAAATGTGTTTTGTGTAAAATTTTGTTTGTAGCCAGGTATATTTTTATGGTGGGGCCAGTAATGTGCAAAAATTGCCTCCACATTTACTAGCTAACAGTGAAAGTTTTCTCCTTGTAATGTTCCTGCTTGTATATATGATATTTGCTGTCTTGTCTGATTTCCTATTCCAGACGAAGCGTGGGAGATCAGCAAGTCGGAATTGACGCTTGGAAGAGAGCTGGGCAGTGGGCAGTTTGGGGTGAGGGAATAAACTTCTGCATTCTCTGCATCCATCACTCTCTTTCTATCTCCTCCCCCTCTCTTTCTATCTCCCCCCTCTCCCTTTCTATCTCCTCCTTCTTCCTCTTTCTATCTCCCCCCTCTCCCTTTCTATCTCCTCCTTCTCTCTTTCTATCTCCTCTCTCTCTCTCTCTCTCCTCCCTCTGCTCCTAATCAGCGAGTGGTGGCTGGAAAGTGGAAAGGGAAGATAGACGTGGCGATAAAGATGATGAAAGAGGGAGCCATGAACGAGGAAGACTTCATCGAAGAGGCCAAAGTCATGAAGTGAGTCCGTGCATGAGATGAGCACACAATCTTTGGCTCCTGAAAAAGGATCCTCTCCTAAAATACAGGACACATGTATTATGTATGTATAAAGGACACTTGGTTTTGCCCCATACTGTGTATTTTATTATATATCTCTGAACAAAGATAATACAGGACACTTTCAATGTCCACAAGGTGTCCCATATTCAGATGTTCCACTTTCGATGTCCACAAGGTGTCCCAAAGGTGTCCCATATTCAGATGTTCCACTTTCGGTGTCCCCAAGGTGTCCCATATTCAGATGTTCCACTTTCGATGTCCACAAGGTGTCCCCAAGGTGTCCCATATTCAGATGTTTCACTTTCGATGTCCACAAGGTGTCCCATATTCAGATGTTCCACTTTCGATGTCCCAAAGGTGTCCCATATTCAGATGTTCCACTTTCGATGTCCACAAAGGTGTCCCATATTCAGATGTTCCACTTTCGATGTCCACAAGGTGTCCCATATTCAGATGTTCCACTTTCGATGTCCACAAGGTGTCCCATATTCAGATGTTCCACTTTCGATGTCCCAAAGGTGTCCCATATTCAGATGTTCCACTTTCGGTGTCCCAAAGGTGTCCCATATTCAGATGTTCCACTTTCGATGTCCACAAGGTGTCCCATATTCAGATGTTCCACTTTCGGTGTCCACAAGGTGTCCCATATTCATAGGTTCCACTGTACAAGCCCCTCATTCCCCGGCCCACACACTACCAGTGTTACTACCAAAACGTTATCTTTTCCGTCGACAGGAATTTTCAGCACGAGAACCTTGTCAAGTTGTATGGAGTGTGCACGGCACAGGGGCCTGTGTTTATCATCCAGGAACTGATGTCACAAGGTCGGCTTAAGTACACCACAACATGCACGTACAGCACGTATGTAGCTATTGCGACAATAGGATTGAGACGCGGAACACAGTAATAATATGACTCAGTGAAGTAGTAGTTAGTATGGGCATGTTACCTATAGTACTTGCAGCATAGGATGCATGGTAGTAGGTACTTGTGGGTGTCTAGCATCATAGATGTATGGGGCTACATAATAGTAGACTGGCTGTATAGTACTTGTAGCATGGTAGTAGGTACTTGTGGGTGTCTAGCATCATAGATGTATGGGGCTATATAATAGTAGACTGGCTGTATAGTACTTGTAGCATTATGGATGCATGGTAGTAGGTACTTGTGGGTGTCTAGCATCATAGATGTATGGGGCTATATAATAGTAGACTGGCTGTATAGTACTTCAACCCAGCGAGTGGTCGAACCATTTTGAGTTTGCATGCATGATGGATCAGCAACCAAGTCCTATACAAATTCACTGATTAACAACAACCGCCACGCCAAATTACATACATATTTCTCTCTCCTCCTCTCTCCTCCCTCTTCCTCTCAACCCCCCTCTCTCTGTTTTCACCAGGCTGTTTGCTGCAGTACATTCGCAACCGTAAGGAACTGGCAGAGAAGAACGAAGTGATGCTGGACATGGGTCTTCAGGTCTGCTCCGCCATGACGTGTCTCGAGGTCAACGGCTTCATTCACAGAGATCTGGTGAATAGAGTCCTAGTGTATATCGGGAAACTTTGGATTAGAAAACGTTTGTGAATTTCGCAGCAGTGTCCCAAAACTAGGCCCCGATCAACGGTGAATGAATGGTGTACTTGTGCCAGTGTACCTCACTTTACGGAAGTTACACTTTGACCCCCAGAATTTCCCTAGAAAACATTGCTTCAGTTTTATGTCGATGCGAGTACAGATGCCTATTTATGCAGATATTTTTGACGTGATGCAACTGTAGAAACGTCGGCACATTCTGTGTAATTTGGCCCTATTGAGTTAGATATCCCATTTGTCTCTCTCCTCTCTCTCTCTCAGGCCGCACGTAACTGTCTCATTGGTGAGCGGAATGTGGTAAAAGTGGCCGATTTTGGTCTCGCACGATTCGTGGTGGACGACGAGTACACTGCTTCAGAGGGAACCAAATTTCCCATCAAGTGGGCGGCCCCCGAGGTTATCACTCATGCCAAGTTCAGCAGCAAGTCAGACGTATGGTCATTTGGTAAGCTAATGGGTTTCTGGTTTACAAATCAGGAGTGACCCTGAGAATAGGTAGATGTTGTATAATTATCAGCTGAAGCAAGAAAGAAGCACAAGAAGTTACCCGTGAAATGAGGACACACCTCCCCATGTTCTTTTCTTTCCCTGGCAAAGGAACAGTTCTTGCCGTGCAGTGCAATACAACCCCTTGAATAAAGGACCCCAAGAAATCTACTCTTCCTGTTACTGTTTCATTCGATTAGCTTTATGTATTAGAGAGGTTCCAGTGTATTATGAGCTACTGTGTGACATACATAGGTATACTGATGTGGGAGCTATGGTCTGGGGGAAAAACACCTTATCCCACATTCACCAACCCTCAAGTCCTGGACGAGGTACTGTATGAGTCTTTTTTTTAGCTTCACACCTGCAGCTTCTTGACAGTATTACCTCTCACCCCCCTCCCCCCATCCCCCAATGTTTCTCTCACTCCCTCGGTGTCCTTGTTTGTCTTCTGTGGCTCCTCTCTCTCTCTCTCTCTCTCCCTCTCTCTCTCTCTCTCTCTCTCTCTCTCTCTCTCTGTGTTATGTCTCCAGGTACTGATGGGCTACAGACTAGATAGGCCAAAACCTTGCAAACAAGAGGTGTATTGCATCATGCAGAAATGTTGGAGTGCAGTAAGTAGTATAACACACTTCATCACCACCCTATGTATATACTTTATGTCAAACTACTGTATAATGTGAGTAAACTAACTATATATAATATTATACGTAGTACAGTAGACCAACTTTCCTCCTGTATATAGACTGATCCAATAGCTTACACTTCCCTTATCCCTTTTCTCCCTTCTTTTGTTCTGTTTGTCTGTAACAAATGCAGACTTTTCTCTAAGATTTATACTCCCACAGACTTCTCTAACGTTTTAATTCCTCCTTTTGCCCCCGTCCTCTCCCTCCTGCACATAATCCCACTCTCTCTCTTTCAGAAAGCAGAGGACAGACCGTCGTTTCAGCTGATCCAAACTGAACTGAAACAGATGGCAAACGATAACGACAGAGATTACAGCGAGCTTGTGGAGGACAGCTGAAAATCCTCGCTGCGTGTATAATTATTATTCTTCAATTTCCTGTTCTGTGTGCGTTCGTCCGTCCAACTGTATGCTTCAGTCGTCGCGTACTTCATTATTTTCTTACCAAGAGTCCATTATGTATTATTATAGTAGGATACATGTGTAATGTAAGTGTGGCAGTGTTATTTTGTTGTTTGTTGTAAAGTTACAGATCGAGAGGACAATTAATTGTCAGCATGATTTTGTTTGTTTATGATTATTACTGACCTGTTTCATTAGTGTTTTGTGTGCGATTGTCATTTTGTAAGTTCATTTGCTGTCAATTAACTTTGTCCTCCATTAATATGTATTAACTCCGTCCATAATGCAGCATGCAATGCGTGCATTGGCCAGAGGATAATTTGTGCCTTATTGACTTGCTACTTGCTAGTTTTAGCTTGCCACAAAAGCACCATAGATCAGAACGTATATATATTGTAGTTGTTACGACAGTTCACTAGTTCTCTGTCTGGTTTTTGGCCGTTCGGTCGACCTCTTCTTGAACCCAAAACCCTTGAAGCTTCCAGGGGTCACCTCCGTCTCTGCCAAAGAAGGCGCCGTCTTCTCTGCAAATTTCAGTCTCTCTTCTTCCTCGTCGACCAGTCTGTGATCCTCTCTCTCTTCCTCACTGTCACTCTCCTCCTCCTCCTTCTCCTCTTTTACCTCTGGTTCAGGTTCTGGCTCCCTCGGACTGCAGTGATGACATCATCACCATAGGCGACAATCATCATTACATCATCACGGTAGAAAAAAGGAAAGAGAGTGGGAAATAACTGTAGCTGTTTCAATTTTCACAAAGACCTCTCCATGAACCTTATGTGCCTCAAAATTTGGTGCTGAAGCTAAAAGGCAAACTGTGGTATGGTGACAGTGGTCTTACGGTATGTTGACAGTGGTCTTTTTGTAAGCTGACTGTGGTCTTACCGTAAAGCAATGGTGGTCCAGGCTCCGTACGGTCCCGTCGGTCTCTTTGGTCGTGGTTCTTCCCCCACCTCATCGCCTGCCCTCTTTATCCCTCCCTCTCCCTCTTCAGAGGAGTAAGACGATGCTATAGTCGGTGGTTTAATCTCAGCAGTTGTCTTGGGAGGTAACTGATCAGGGGGCAGTGGTTGATAACTCCCTGGTTCGTCCCACTGAGTCACTGAGGGAGAAGACAAGACACTGAGGATAGAGAAAGACCACCTTTTTAGTTGGTTTTCCCTATTCAGGAGGTGCCCCTTACACATGAATTTTGAATTGTAACACTCCAGCAAAATTAATAATACTGGAAGAATATACAGTGCATTGCGTGTACATTATATAGTTCTGTTTAAGAGTCAAAGTAAGGTTAAGGGTAATATAAGATAACGTGCCTCTAGTGAAGATGTTGTAGTAATAGAGTTGTCCCTCGGGAGTGACGGCTTGCTGCCACTGGGAAGGAGGAGGAGGCGGGGCCATTGTTGCCACCTCTCTCTCTGCCTTCGTCTCTCTCTCCTGGATGGCCGTCAGGATCTCAGCGTGTGCCTTGGCCTTGCGAAACTCGAAGCTCTCAGCTAGGGCTGGGTGGAGGGCGGGGCTGGGCGTGGTTGCAGTTCCGTCGGAGGGGAGGGGCGGGCGAGCGTCTGCCGGGTCTCCGCCTTCCAGATCTTTCAAATAGGCAGCAGCTGCAGCCTGTGTGTGTATACAGGAACATCTTAGGGACATTGAAAGTGTCCTTCAAAATCAAAGGTGTCCCATATTGAGAGGTAGAACCACCGCCGTCATTTATACAAAAAACTTCACAAGTTGACATGACACCATTATTTTTGGGAGCAGGACAGTTTTGTAAACAAGGTTTTATCTGCGTGAAAATATCAGTTTTCTGCCCCAATAGTTGTCCTGCTATAGTTACCCACCATTTCAATGCTGGCCAGTATTTCCTTGGTCTGTAAGGCTGTCTTCTCGTTCTCGGCGGATCTCTGGCGAGCCTGCAAACAAACGTTTCCTCCGTCACATCTCTTTATTTAGTCTCTCAGTCACACGGTTGATAGAAACTCACACTACTGAGCATTTTCTTGACATTCTCCTGGTGCCTCCTTCCCCTCTCGTGGAAATCGACGCTCTGTAAACAGCACACACACAGGAGGTGTCGTCATAATACATCATTGGTTTTCTCTTACGGCCTTGTTGTCTCCGAACCAACATCTGCAGACTTCGCAGAATTTCCTCGGATTTGACTTCCAGTAGTCGGTCCTGTAAGAGGAAAGATAGGTTACACACACTATTCAATGATTTGTGTTGTTGCTTACATTTTGTTGGGTGGGTGATATTTAGAATTGTTGACTTATGGACTGGAATGTGGACACGGCGGGACAGCCCCCGCGCGCTCTCTAAGTAGTCACGTGAGCAGGTTCACATCCGCGCGCTTTCGGCCGACTTCTAGAATCTCTTGCGCTGGACGGATCAGATATCTAGCGTTATTCTTCTCGTTTTTCACGCCCTCAAGATTAAAAGAGGACTAAAAACCTCCTTCCTCAACTATGTCTGACGAGCAGAAGGTGAGTTTCTGACTCGCGAGGCCGAAAAATGTCGATTGGTGGGCGTTAATTAGAGTGTGCTCTCCCACACAGCCGGAGGTAAAACCAGACGTGGCCGTTGGAGGCAGCGAACACATCAATCTTAAAGTCACCGGCTCTGTAAGTTGCTTGGCTCACCAACCATCCCATAACTGATTAGGTTCGCCTTTCTTTGCAAGCGGACATTACAGTGTATTGTCAAGCATGGTGCAGTTTGTCAGTGATGTGATGTGTATTCGCCCCAGGATCGGTCAGTGGTTCATTTCAAGATCAAGAAAAACACGCCGCTGAGAAAGCTGATGACGGCCTACTGTGAGAGACAGGGGTTCCAGGCCGGGACTGTTCGATTCATGTTTGATGGCAACCAGATCGGAGCCGAACAGACCCCCATAGAAGTAATACTCCTCTTTTTCTCTCTAATTTCTTTCACTTTCTCTCACTCTGCGTCGTCCCTTTACTGTTGTTAATAATGTTGCCAATATTTAAAAGCTGGAATAAGCCTCCTATGTTGTTTTTCACCCTTCTTCTATCTTTCTCATCACCTTCTCGCCCCTCTCTATTTGCTCTTCTCTTTCGCTCTGTTTAATAAAACCTTTCCTCTTTCCTTCTGCAGCTAGAAATGGAGGACGACGACACAATAGAAGTGTTCCAGCAACAAACTGGTGGCGGTGACCACTAGCTCGCGCCCACCCCCCTCTCTCTTTCTCCATGCAATCACGCACGCCTCTCTTCCTACACCACACACTGCAGCAGTATACACACACCCCCACTGCTCCTTGTCTGTTGGGTTTTTGAGATCTACTATAATATCCCAACAACCAACCGCCTAACTAAGTCATAATCTGTTTCGAATGTAATACACATGAGTTTAAATTCAGCACTGTTTCTAGTAATTGCTTGCATTACTGAGCGACAAAGAAAAATTTGTGGACACATTGTCACAATGAAAGAGTGAAAGGCCTGTATAGTATAATAGTTCTTTTCTCTCGGCGTCTTTGATGGTACAACTGGGTGGGCTCACTTGTCAGGTGTGTGTGTGGTGCGAGAATCTTCAAAGTGAGTTGGGAATGCTACGTGGTCCGGCAAGAATCAGTTTGCGAGTGACGAAGCTCTTGTGGTCAGTCTTGGCTCGTTTCTTCTTGGGCGGTGCGGGGCCTTCCCGGAGCGTCAGAAAGTAGTGGGCGTAGTACTTGTGCATCACTCCAAACTGGCCTCTGCCGTGGTAGCGAATTCTCTTCAAGTAGGAGCCTTTACCAACGAATGATTCAACTGGGGAGTGAGGGGAGAGGAAGGAAAGGGGGTTGACACGGTCTGAGAGTGGCAGCTGCCCTCACCAACATGAAGGTTTAGTGGGTCAAGGTCGAAAGTCTGTTCTGCTCGCCTCTGGGCGTCTAATAGGGTCTATATACAGTATGTGAAGAGGATGGTGACATTTTTTTGGTGAAATTTACTGTTTCCACAAATTTTGAAGCTTTCTTTTCACAGAACTTCACCTGTGCCAGGGCATCGTTGACCGACAGCCCTCTAATCTGGAGTGTTGTTGGCGTGCTAATCACAGGGGTGAACATTTCGACACACATACCAACTTTGCCACAAGGTTCAGCTTCATTGGACTCGTCTTCACCTGACGCATCGATGCACACACCTCCTTTTGTTGCAGATACGTGTAGGAGAAAGGAAGCACATGGAATAGTGCGCATTAAAAAGAATAAGACCACATGGAAGGTTCAAAAGGTCACTTACTCTCGGCTTTCCAGCGTTTTGGGAGCCATTTCTATCAGTTGTACTAGAACTGGAGACACGGACTGTTGGTACAGTGCCCGCTCCACGCCTCGCGAGGGCTAAAACGGACCAAGATACATCTCCAGCGAACAACCTGCAGTCAACAGCCACAGAATGCAGTGGATCCAGTCATTTGCTCTACTTCACGATTCGTTTTCTCTCACCGTCGAAGTGGTATCATTGTAGTCGAGCCGCAGGCACCAGAAGCACCCCGAGCAGCAGCAAGATGTTGATATTAATGCGCATGCGCACTAGGCGATAGCCGCGCCATATGAAGTTTAAGTCTCTACAATACAACACTATACACACGCAGTAATAATATTCATATTAGTCTAGATTCAATCTCTGTTCAGTGGCGCTGCTGAGGTCTTGGTCAATACTATTGCTGGCTAAAGGTTCGTTTCTAGACTCCGCCTTCTGCTTGTCGGGCGGCTCGGTGGGTTTAAAGGTCGTTGCTAATGGAAACAGGGCAGAGCAACTGCGTGCGTAAGATTTTATGTGGTCGGAGTAGTCGCCAAACTCTCCACTCTGCAGTAGTGAATGAATCTCTATGCACCTCTGTGGATGGGTGCAAAAAACAAAGTGAAAGTGATTGATGATCAATAATTGGCATACCTTGAGGGTCCTCCCCCTTAGTTTGTCAGAAAGAGAGCAGATGCAGCTGAGGGCTCTTTCCTTGGCGTCAGGATAAAGTCGGTACAGAGCACGACAACCTACAAAATTTGAATTGGTGCCTCTCTGAAAAAATAAAATGTCCTCAAAATTTACTGGGTAGTTGTTATGAGAACCAAAAATTTACTGGGCCAATATGTACCTGGAATGAGATGTGGAAGTGAGTGTTGGTGTTCGTCGAGGAACCTCTGGTTGAGTTGAGTCAACTCCAGACCTCCAGTGAGTCCAGGGAGAGTCCCTGTAATTACCTCCAATACTGGCTCCGGGAGACTGGCTCGAGTAGTCTCAACTGAGGTAGGGAGTGAGAAATTAGAGAAAAGTGGACAATAGAAAGAAGGCCAGAAAAGGATAGGAAGAGAGAAAGGGGCAAATGGAAGAGGTGAAGGATGCAAAACGAAAAGCCAAGTAGAAAATTAATTGCATTATTGAACTGTTGTTTCGTTCTATCTTTAGTAACATTTCTAAATTTAGCCTTTATAGCAGTACTGTAACTGACCGGTCAGAACAAAGTCCACCAGTATTCGGTGGAAGTCTCCATCATCAGGGTCAATGGCATGGAGTCTCTTCAGGGCCTGCAGCATTATAAGAAATCTCCGTCGTCGAGAGTGGATCTCGTAGGCCAGCGTGTGGGTGGCCACGTTGCCGGGCGACAGAGTCTGCAGTGGCACCAGGAACTTCACCGCCTCCTCCAGAGGCTTGTCTGTCTGTAGAGACAGCGAGATAGAGAATCGAAATGTTCAGTCCATTTGATACATTAACTTTAAAACGTGGGTGGTTTAGTATCATACTAAATCACCAATTTCTTGAGTCCTACTACTGACCAAATTCACTGCTCGCCAGCAAAAATATGGAAGCTCACCTGGAGTAGTTTGTCAGGGTCAAACTTTGGCTCTCTCTCCTCCACCTTCTTGTCCTCTTCTCCTCCTCCTCCCTTCCCGTGGGTCTTGCTCTCCCTGGTTTTCTCCTCTGCAGCTTTGGCCGCCTGCGCCTTCAGCTGTGCCTTCTTCTGTTTCCTGTGGAGTTTCTTTAGCTCTGACGCTGACAGCTGCTCTGAATGGACATGGGGGAAGAGAGAGAGAGATGAGAGAGAGGGGGAGATGAGAGAGGGAGATGAGAGAGAGAGAGAGGGGGAGATGAGAGAGAGACGGAGAATGGGGGAACTGGAGGTGCCAGAGACTGCTTTTCTTAGCCTTGGGCAGTTCAATAATCCATCATGTGTGTGGTGTATGTCATTCGTGAAGAACAGTACGAAGGAAGGAATAGAGGGCCAGATTCAAATGGTGGATGGAGTGTGTTTTCTTACATGCTACCTTCGGGTGCCGTCGGTCCATTCAATTTGGCCGACTTGGCAGACGGATTGTCATGGAGATAGACGTAGATCTAGAGTAGCAGCATCCATAAAACAAATCATCACTGTTACAGAACACACTATCACTACTAGTTTCCCGACCTCTATTGCCAACTTGGCACATGCAGAGTAGAACGGATGGTCTCTCAACTTATCCTCCAACTTTAGAACTCTGTGGAACGTAAACGCAGAGGAAAGAGAAATAGAAGGGGAAAGGGAAATAGAAGGGGAAGGAGCAGCGAGCATATACAAAGCCTAGAGAAAGGTTATGAAACAGAGAGGAAGAGCCAGAGGGCAGAAACTCACCCAATGTAGGCTCGAAGTGTCATCTTTCGCATGCAGTAAGTGTGGAAATCGAACTGATCGTCAATTATGTCAACAAAATGCTGAGAAAAGAGAACGTTGCTCTAAACAAAAACAAAAAACTGACAGCTATAGAGTTATTACCTGATCGATTTCGTGCAGTTTCTGCAGAGCCTCCCCAAGTTTCCCGAGCCGGTGGAACGCGCGCGCCATCTCCAGCTGAAACCACATACACTGCATCTCGTCCATTGTCTGCAGAGGTGGCAACCCCTCCTGAAGAGAGAGAGAGAGAGAGAAATAGAGGTATGAACATGCCTAAATTTAGCCCTTATATACTGACACATTCCCTTTTAAGGATCTCGTAAGAGTTCAGCAGCATCAGATATGTGTTAGTGAATCAGCAGTCTCTGAATCAGTTCGGCGAACGAATATTAACATCATCTGCTGCCCTTCACACAATAACCCTCTCTCTCTTCACCTTTCCCTCTCAGTGGTACGGATATATATATACATGTTCCTTACTCTTGTGAAGAGGGCTGCAGTCTCGATGGCAGTGTCTATTGCGCTACTCCTCAGGTAGTACTTGGCACACTTGCAGTTGACGAACCGATCGGCCGTGTCTAGTGTCCTCGCTTCGTTCATGAACATCGCCGCTTGCTCAATGTCTCCAGCATGCTACATACATAGACAAGGAGAGGAGAGAGAGAGAGAGGAAGAAAAATCTCTAAGATTCTCACTAGCATTGAGTTTATGATATAAACGCTTGTCTCATCGAATAGCGGGAGGAAAGACATGCAAAATGCCACGCATGCACATCTCAAAAGTGCACATTCACACAGTAAAGTTGCATGCTGTACATATAGTTGGGACTTTCTGGCTACATGTACTTCACAGACCCAAAAGTTCTCCCCAAAACATTATTTGCCACATGGTCTGAAAATAAGCCCCCACGAACCTTTAGTATCTTAGCCTTCAACATGTACAGCTGGACCTCAGTCGGAGTGTGTTCAATGGCGCATCAATGAGCTCCAGAGCTCTCAGAGACTGGCCCTATTCTGTTGTAGTGCTGGGCAGAGAGGTAGAGGGACCAGAGGTACGAGGTCGGCGGCTCAGCCGGGCCAGACTCTGAACAGAGATATAGATTCATTTAGCTCCGTGTCGGCATGTGTAAATGATAAGTGTGTCTACAGTGGAACCTCCAATAAGGGACCCTCTTATATAGGGACAACCTCTCTACAAAGGACACTTGTTTCAACCCCATGCTAATACTTTGACCTCTGAGATAGGGATGACCTCCCTACAAGGAACAAAATGATTGGCCTCACAGTTTCCCTTGTTTGGAGGTTCCACTGTACTGGATATACCTTTTGGGAGGAAGTGACCGCATGTCCTGAGGGACTGGAGGTACCCAGCAACCAAATCACCTACGACCTGTACCTACAGAACACAGTTTCAACCAGTCAATTCTGTCTAGAATGCTCTTGTGTCAGTGCATCAACATCAACAACATACCTTCGTGGGGTCAGAGTACAGATTGTGTATGCTCATAAACAGCGAGTGCATTCCTTTGTGGAGCCCCTTTCGCAGGTATTTGTCCACCAGGTTTGCGAACGTGTCACCTGCAGAGGACCCACAGTCACGTGACACTCACACGACGATCATGTGACGGCCAGACCTGTAGTGAACTTGAGTGGAATTCTGCGGACAGAGTGAGATCTCCGGTAGATGTCCTGTAGACTGAGATAGAGCTGTAGACGGCTCTCGTCTTCCTCTGCACACACACGACATACACACACAACTTACAAAAACGTCTACAAATCTGCCTTAGATCTACGACAAATTTACAAAATATACATCAGATCTACGACAAATCTATGTACATCATCAGATCTACAACAAATCTACAAAATCTACATGGATCTACAACAAATCTACAACAAACCTACAAATCTACATCAGATCTACGACCAACCTACAAGTCTACATCAGATCTACAACAAACCTACAATAGTGTACATCAGATCTGTGCATACTGTGGTATCATGTGTTGAAAACTAGTGACTACATCAGGCCACGTATCATAGTTAGTCAGCAGAGAAGCAACCACTCAGCTTCGTGGCAAGTGTCATCATTTGAGTCACCAACTACCCAAAATCCCCCCCCTCCCCTCACCTAACAAGAGACACTTTTCGAGTTGGTCGAAATAGAAGTAGTTCTCCGGATTTCTGTGGATGAGTTCGCGATACAGACACTCTGCCTCTGACAGTCTGTCCAGACTGTACAGGATCTCAGCTATGTTGTGGAGTGGAGAATAAATGTACCAGAGGTGAGATGACAAACTATTACGTCATACATACAGGTGTCCTGTGTTTTGAACTAAATTTGGTGACGGTAAAATTGAGTATGACTCGGGCAGCATCAGATATGTGTTGGTGTATCAGCAGATTGTGAAATAAGTTCGGCGAACGAATGTGAACATCATCTGCTGCCCTTCACACAATAAACTCCCTCTCTCCCTCTCTCTGCTCTCCCATCGCCCCTCAGAGAGGGTTTCAAGGTTCTCTTAATGGCTCTAGCAGTCATAGAAAGTTTAAAGGGTTTCTAGTCTAGTCACCCTCATTCTCTTCTATCCCTCTCTCTCCCTCTCTTACCCTTGGTCTCCCAGTAGGTGAGGAAGTCGCAGATGTGCTGCTCGAAGGCCTGCAGATGTTTCAGAGCTTCGTCTGGTCTTCCCGACTCCAGCAGCAGCTGACTCTCGTACAGAACCATCTCGTTGAACTCATAGTCTGGTTTCTGAGGGGAGGGAGGGGAGGTCCAGTAACACAGAGCAACAAAACATCTACAACTTAGGTATATGCAAGTACTGCACAACACTCTAATGTCGAAAGTTTTCAACTTTTGCAGATACCGATTGTAAAAATTTGTGGATGGCTCTTTAAAAATGTAAAGTTTCCTACCGTCAGTCCAGGGACTTGTGTCTTCCTGTACTCCTCCATGACTTTGAGAGACATGGTGTAGTCCCTGATGAGGTGATACGACAGGGCATACCCCACCCAGGAGCTTCGCTGCGCCGGCCGCGCCTTCAGCAGCTGGTACCTGGTGTCCTGCGAGGGCGAGAGAAACAGAGCGATACACAAAAGGAATATGAAAGTGAAATAGTAATTACTACACAAATGCAACACATCTTCAGTGAGTGAACATTAGTGTTAACTTTATGCCGTATATATGGTGTATAAATACTATGGTATGGTGACCCGCAAATAAGTGTAGAGTGGACTATAGTAAAAATTTTGAGGAAGCAAAAACAATGATGCGTCCACAAAAGCTTCAGACTGCTATATAATTGGAAAAAGGCTCCCGAATAAAGGTGGATTTGTACCTCGTTTGTCCAGTTTGGCTACCTCGCTTGACCCGCTAATCTAGACATTTTCTCCCACCTCACACACATGCACGCACACACACACACTGACCCTGAACCCCTCAATGTCCCTCATCTGGATCTGCAGTAGTGAGAGATCTCTGAGGATCTGCACGTTCTCGTGGTCCCACTTGAGGGCATTTCTGTAGCACTTGATGGCCTCCTCGTACTTCTTGTCTGACCTCTGGAGAAGCCCGTACACGTGCCAACCTGTCTCACACGTTAGGTCAAGGATACACGCTTAGATAACAAGTATAATATACTGTGCCAGAGATATGTATAACCCTTCTCTGAGGACACCTGACACTCTGAAATGAGGCCTCTCCCTAAAAAGAACGTCTTTTCTTTCCCTGGAAGCATATTATATTGCATATGTTCTTCTGCCTAACTTGTGCACTGATTATAAGGATTCCTTTTGTACAGTAAAGCGGGAGCTATTTAGGGAGAAGACTAATTTGTAATTTGGTGGCAAAACGGATTGACAAGCATTGAGAATTCAACCAACGGTATCATTGGGATACAGACATGACTCTTTATGTCGTTTTTGAGTCCTCGTCTCACGTGGTCGTAGGCCTCCTCCTTCCGACCCATACAGTTCAGGATTAACCCTTTCATAGCCAGCGTCTCTACGGGGAAAAAACAGCACCATATTTAGCTACACAGTGAGTACCCTACAGTAAACTGCCCCCACTACTACTAACATGTATAGCTGATAAAAAGGTCACAAATTGGCCCTGGGGTTTGTATAAGCCACTCACCTCCATGCTCGCTAAGCTTGGGGTTGGAGAGGATCTGCCGACTGAACTTCAAACCGTTCTTGTACTGCTTGCACTCGTAGCAACGCTGCAGGGGAACAAAGTGGAAGGCGAATGGCTCGGTGATTCTATTCTATTTGAAGCGCACCATAACGTTTCGCGTCCCAACGGTTTCGCCCGGTGAAATAACGTGCACAGACGTCACGAAAATGACTCACGACAATCTTTTTGAAAACTCCGGCCTCCCTCTGCGGCAGCTTCTGGCTGTTGTCCGCCATGTCACGTGCCCCACACCGCTGAGATTACAATAATCGAGTCACTTCTGATGCTGCACACAACAGGGGGAAGGTAGTCGAACCTATCAAAAGCCCTATTTCCCTTTTTTCGTCGAGGGGATACGCAGAAGACTGCCGGAGACAAAACTACCGCTTCGAGTTGCACGTGGCTTGCATTAGCGCATGCGTATAGACGATTCGCACGCGCAATCTACGGTACGCGCACGCGCATGTGCCTATGCGCGCGTCGCGCAGCGGAGCGGAAGATAGCCCGGAGAAAGTGGTGAGCCAGAGATTTACTGCAAGATGGCGGAGGTTATGGAGGACGTTGGAACTACAGGAGCTACAGACTCCTCTGTGTCGGTAGTGGCAGGAAAGGTGAGCCGCTGCGAAGCTTTACGCGACCGCTAGCGGGTGAAACCCGCTCCCTGTTCCAATTAGAGCGCACTAGTATCGATCGCGTCCGCCCCTTCTCCTGCGTGCAGGCGAGCGCCTCGTCGTTCAACTGGGATGAGGTGGACTGGAGCAAGTTCAGTCCCGAGGAGGCGCACCGCCTCCGGCACCGGATGGTGGAGGAGCGACACAGGGGACACGATCTGATGCACGCGGAAATGATCCTCATACTGTTCGGATCCATTGCAGTGGCGCAGATAGTCCTGTTCCTCTGGCGGCAGAAACACCGAAGGTCCTATCAGGTGCATACATAGAGCTTTGCCATACAGTGTCAGTCTCAGTAGGTTCAATATTATGATCTCACCATACCTAATGAGTTTGCCTTCATTCCTTTACTCACGTATTTTCAACTCACTACACCAGTGCTGCACATGCATAATAGTGACTTACTCTTATACATATAATGTTTGTCAAGATCTATGTTTAGTGGGAGGGCGAGGTATGGTGGCTTCTTTATTTCATATGCTAGCTTCTCCTTTGGTGTTTCTCGTTGATACTGTATTATGTAGGCGGTGACACTGTTTGGATTGTGGGCCATCCCGTGCTACATTTGCCTCAAGATGTTCTTTTGGAGAATGCTGAGCATTTGGTTTTTCTTCACCGTCGTCACAGCTCTCGTCATGTACAAGGCCACTCGCAAGAGAATCAGCACAAACACTCCCAGGTCATTACAACATGTGGTTTAGGTAATGGTGTTGTGGAGCCGCATGTTGCTTAACCATTTTATTGCAATCAGCTTGCTATTCGCCCCTTTTTCCTCTCTTCTTTGCTGAACGCTACACGTCAGCCTGTTTCAAAATCAGCCTGTTTCTCCTCTTAGATCTGCATATACTGTAAACCCTGAAGGTCATAGTAATTTCCACTCCCTCCCTCCCATCTTAGACTGGTGTATAGGTGGTTCCTGCTCATCTACCAGGTCACATATGGACTGGGAGTATTTGGCTACGTCCTTCTCCTCCTCATCTTCACTGGCATCGGGTTCTTCCTCCCCTTCCACCCAGACTCCATCATGGAGTTTGGGGTCACCACCGTCTTCTACGGCATCTACTATGGTGTCATGGGGAGAGACTGCGCCGAACTCTGCGTCGACTACATGGCTGTCTCTGTCATGGTAAAACATTTACATTATTCTTTGCACGGATTTTTAATGTCTTTAAACCTGTAAATACATGATCGGGAGGAGCTGTTTATATATGCAGATAATCGCGTAGCAAAGTTTTCTTCATTTTAAACTTGCACATGTATAGTGAATGATTTGCCACGGGAAAATGTTGCTTTGCGCTGCCATGGAATGATCTTCAAAAAAAAGTTGTTTAGTAGCAGCATGAGCAAAGTTTTTTGTCTCGGTTTCTCGCAGTACACGTCTTCAGGCGAGAGTCTGCCCAAACTGGAACTGACTCGGGACATGTGTGCTGTCTGCGGACAGCGCATCGTCCTCCCCTCAGAAGACAGAGAGGTGGCAGAGAGGACTTACAAACTCACCTGCAACCATCTGTATCCATCCATCCATCCATTGCTACGTTAGACATTATTTCATACTTTTCGTTGGGGAAAACATTTCCCAAAAGTGACCTTAAAAATGAATTTTTAGCTCACATACTTGCACATGCTATGCACATGCACTGCGCAAGCCTTGTGAGTGAAGGATCTCAACTAGTTGTATTATGCATTGTAATGAACGTGTTACATTGCGTGGAGTCTGTAGTTCTGATGTCCTAATACAAAGCTAAAGCCAGGAATCTCTCCTTGACTCCAGTACACAATGCAGATTCCACGAGTTCTGCATACGAGGATGGTGTCTGGTGGGCAAGAAACAGACGTGCCCTTACTGCCGAGAGAAGGTGGACCTGAAGAGAATGTTCCACCAACCGTGGGAGAAAACCGCACGTACTGTTTGGACAACTTCTAGACTTTATTAGGTACTTTGTCGTCTGGTTGCCCGCCATTCTAGTCTCCGTACAGCTCATCTATTACCTGCTGGATTTGAAATAGTAGGCCACCCTCTATTATTGTATTAACCTGTTATTGTAAGTTATGAAACACGACAGTTCATACAAACAGGTGTGGAGAAATGGAAATAAAATACTAGTATGTCGCTGTTGCATAATTACACACTGTTTGCTATAATACAATACACTATTTTAAGACATGTAATGCTATACTTGGTGAAAATTGCAGTTAAAGTGTGTTAGTTTTTAGCCCTGAGAGCTGCCCTTTTCCCGGCGTGGGGCTTTGTAGGTCTTCCGACTTTTCTCCCACCAATGCCACTGGCACTGGGAGGTGCAGCGGAAACCGGTTTTTCCTGTTTCTTTTCCGGTTTGGCGAGACGCTGCCTAAGCCTCTCGGGTAGCTCTGCGGTCCTCTTGGCGGCTCGTTTGGGGGGAGAAAAATTCATCTCAAACATGGAGGTCGTCAGGATCTCATCTTGCCCGTCGGTCTCGGTACGATTCTCGTCTCCGAGGCAGCCCTGGAGGTTATAACTGGGGTCAATTGTGGCTCTGCGAGGGTCGTACATTAGCGTGTCTCCATCGGTTGACCGGAGTGAGGAGACAGTTTGTCGTGGGGTTAGTGGATCGCTGATCCGTCTACGAGACGAAGCCGGGCTCCCCGAGGAGCCCAGGTCTCCGGCAAGCTTTCGAGCCCCGCTCGTTCGCTTCCTGGATTCCTCGAGAACGGATGCCGAGTCACTGGTGATCCTGACAGAGGTGTTGTTCCCGACCGCTCTCTTTCTCGCCAGCTGAAGTCGACGGGTCTGCTCACCGAGCAGGCCGGGATGACTTTTCTTCTCCTGCAGCTCCACGGCATACGAAGACTTGAGGTGAGGAAGAACCTGTCTGTTTCGAGCCTTCAGCTCTGAGATTCTGTACCGGTCGTCTTCTCCCCCTCCTCCTCCTCCTCCTCCAACTCCTCTTCCCCCTCCTCCTCCTCCTCCAACTCCTCTTCCTGTACTGTTTTGTGGGGGATGGATTGACTGCATTGGGTGGAGGTTTTACGGCGGTGCTCTGGTACGTGGGAGCAGAGAAGACACTGTCGTTGAGAGTGGTTTCAGCGGTTTCGTCCGTGGAGTGGAGGTGGTGGGACGAGCTGGGGTTGGATACCAAAATATCGCTGGAAATGCGCGAGATGTCGAGTTCATTCTTCTTGAAGGTGGTGCTGTGGTGAGGTCGTGTTACGAGTGTGTCTGAATGGGAGGAGTAAGAGGGTCCAGTATTCTGTGGCTGAGAAGTGAAGGTATTATGAGCACGAGCTGCTCTCTCGGTGTCACGGAGTTTATTCTCCAGATACGAGATTTGAGCCTGGAGACTGCGATTCTCTGCTCCGAGTCGTGCAGTGGCGCGTTTCTCCGCCGACAGCTGTCCGCGCAGCAGATCAGCTTCCGCAGTTGCAGTCCTGCTCTCGCTCATCCCCTGGGCCCTCATCTCCCTGATCGTCTCTCTGTCGGTCTGTCTCTTCTCCCTCTCCTCCATGTACAGACCCTCGTAGCGTCGGACCAGGTCCATAGCCTCAGACTTTGTCGCATGCAGAGCCGTCATCTCCCGGTAGAGCTCCGACTGTTTCTCCTGGATGAGGGCATTTTCTGCGCTCGCTTCGCTCTGCTGTCGCTGGAGAGCCGCGTTTGCCTCCTCCAGAGACCTCAGTTGAGTGCTGTAGGCCTCGTGTGTTTGCTTCTTCTCTGCCACTGCATTCTGGTACTCTGCCTGCAGACAACAACAGGCACCATAACACTTTAATAAAACGTTCAGTATTCACACTGTCAGAAATTCACATTTTCTCATTTGGCGGGGCAACTACATTTCGTAAGCTAAGCAAGATTTTTCGAACCTCTATTCTGGCAAGGGAGTGTTTCGATTCCATTTTGAGGTGCTCCAGTTCAGCGCGGGCCCTCTCTCTCTCCTCGGTCGCCTCCCCCAGCTTCCTCTGAGCTGTCTCCAGAGATGCCAACAAGTTCCTCTCCCTCTCCTCTCTCTGGACACGCCATTCCTCGCGTTTCTTCTCCGCCGTATGCTCGAGTGCTTCCACTGCCAGCCTCTTCCCAGACAACTCTGCCTGCACACAATATAAATCAGAAATTTGTCCAAAAAATCAGATTGTTTATCTGCAATAAATAGGCCCCCTGCTAACAAATAAATGATCAAAGAGAAATTTGCAGATAGCTAAAAATGTTTTCTCCTTCAAAATTTGCTTACATCACTATTATTATGAAGCACAGTTTCTATGAGGATATATATTATACATATAAGAAGGTTGCTGGACCTGCAGTGAGTCAGCTAGAGACTGGGCCTTCTCTGCGACTGATATAATTATACATATAAGAAGGTTGCTGGACCTGCAGTGAGTCAGCTAGAGACTGGGCCTTCTCTGCGACTGATTTCAGTTCCGCGACCTCTCTCTCCTGCTCTCGAGACTTGGCTGAGACCGACTCCAGCTCCCCAGTGAGGCTCGCCACCCGTCCCTCCAGTAGAGCTCTCTGCACTCCCCAGGTCTTTCTCTCCTCCCCCTGCTCCTTCTCTCGTCTCTCCTCCCTGGCCTCAAAGGAGCGAGTCCTACTGGTCAGGCTCTCCACCTGACAACTGAGCTCGACGGTTCGATTCTCGAGTGCAGCTTTCTCGGCCTCCCACCTTGCCCCTTTCACCTCCACCCACGCCGTCATTTCCTCCAGCTTTGCCTCACTCCTCCCCTTCTCTTCTTCCAACCTCGTCTTGTCTCTCCCCAGGCCTTCCACCTCTCCACCGACTCTCTCTAGCTCTCTCTCTCGAGCCGCCAACTGTTTCCTGCCAGTCTCCAGTTCTCTCTCCCTCTCTCCCTGCTCCTTCTCCTTCTCCGCCAGCTCCATGCGAGTCTCGCGGAGCTCCGAGTGAGCCCGGGACAGGTCTTCCTCCAGGGAGGCCTTGACTGCCGCCATCTCCTCTGCCTCGGTTGTGTATCTCTCAGTCAAGGAGTTCAGTTTCTGGTGAGTTTCTGTCAGCAGCTCCTACATAAAGCCAAGGGGACAAAGATTAACTATGCACTATGCATTTTCTTGCAAAATTACAAGAAGTTTTGTAAACAACATTGTATTTGGCAACTTGCTCCTTCCAACACACATTTGCAGTGTACACATTGTGGTCGACACATACCTCCAGAGTGTTTATCTGCTCAGTTGAGGTTTCCTGGAGCTCCTTCAGCTCCCTCCCTCTCTTCTCCAGCTGTCCCTCCATCTCCCGGGCCTTCTCCCCAGCCTCCCTCCTCACCTCACGCAGCTGACTGCACAGTCCACCCAACTCCTCTTCTTTCTTCACCAGTTGATTCTGAAGACTCTCCTTCTCTTGCCGCACTTCTTCTTGCTTTTCTTCCAATGTCTTCTCCAGTCGAGTGAATTTCTCCCAAAGTCCACCCAACTCGGTTTCCTCCACCTTCAGCTGAGTTTGAAGACACTCGTTTTCTTCCCGCGCTTCTTCGAATGCTTTCTTCATTTCAGTGAGTTCCTTGTCAAGTACACCCAACTCGACTTCCTTCTCCCCCAGCTGAGTCTGAAGACACTCAATTTGTTCTCTTGCCCACTCTTCCTTCGCTTCTAAACCTCTCCCCAATTCGGCGAGTTCCTCGCGGACTCTCTCCAACTCTGTTTCCTTCTCCACGAGCCAAGTTTTGCAGGTCTCCCTCTGCCTCCAGGCCTCCTCCAGCTCCTCTCGCCACGTCTTCCTCAACACCGAGAGTTCTTCACCAACTCTGACCAATTCCTCGTCTTTCCCTCGCAGCTGCGTCTGAAGGGCTTCCCCCTCCCCCCTGACCCCCTCGAGCTCGCCCTGCGTCATGTTGTACTGCGTCCTAAGTCCCTCCAGCTCACCGATGGCCGTCTGATACTGCCCCAGTAGAGAAGTGGACCCGGCCTCAGCCACTGCTGCCTGCTGCTTGGCAGACTCACACTCTCCCTCCAATCTCCTCTGTTTCTTTCCCAGGGCATCCAGTTGCTCCTGGGTATTTTTAGAACATGCGACTATTCTTGGTAACAACATGAGTAATGTATGTAAGCCCCAGGCAAGGATATTAGAGCATGCACTATATTTGGTAACGACATGGGTAATCTAAGTGCTGGCACCTGCCTTCTTCGGAACTATTTTTGTAACAATATGGGGTGATGTCATACCTGAGCCTGGAGGAGTTTTAAAGAGAGGGTGTGGTTTTCGTCGGTCAGGGATTTCTCTCTCTCGGCGGAGGTGTCTTTGAGGTCGACCAGTTGTTTTTCTGGAGACTGAGTGATTGTTGCTTCAGCTCACGAACGTCACCGGAATGCTGGATTAAAAAAGATGTAATACACACCATAACTTCAGCTGCAAATTTGTACGTTAATAATTGTAGGATATACGTATAAGAATAATTATCAGGGCATCATAGCAAATATGTTAAATTTTGCGAGAAAAAGAATGCCTGCGTTACCGAACTAATGCATCCCTAACCCACTAATCATATGGAGGAAACATGTGCAGCTCAGTGAGTGGTGGATCATGTGTACAGCAGTGTACTGTACCTCTCTGTTGAGTTGCAGCAGAGAGTCACACTCTCTCTGTTTTGCCTGGAAGGCTATGGCAGCAGTCTCCCCTGACAACTGGAGTCTTTTCACCTCAGATTTCTGCTCCAGACCCTCACCTACTGCCTTCTCCAGCAACTAACATGATGAACACAGGTTGGTTTAGCTTTAAGAAATAAAGTTGGGATGGTTTGGGCTACAAGCAGTTTAGAAACCAATTTGTAGCGTCTGTGTGTAAAGAGACAAGTTTTGCAGTGGATTTGTACGTTAGCTCACCTCCTTTAGCTGCGAGTTCTCTGTCTTCAAACGTTCAATCTCGGCGGCCTTCTCCCCCAGTTCCTGCCCCTGACTCGTGCGCTGTTCCTCACACTCTCTCTGAAGTCGTAGAAAGCTCTTCTCTGATCGCTCCAGGGCCTCCGCCATCGTCTGCAGCTCGTCCTGTACGTCTGCCAGCTCACTGGCTTTCTCCGCCATGTCCCGAGCCTTCGCCAGCCTCTCCTCCGTCTCTTGCATCTCCCTCTCTTTCTGGCAGAGAGCCGCGTGCATCTCCTGCGAGAGGGTCTGCTCGTTTGCCAGCGAGCGCTCCAGCACCCTCACTTTGTGTTTCAGCCTCAGAACTTCCTCCGGTTGCTCTTCTGGATTACCAGTTGTGCCACTTCTAGCGCCGTCACCTCGAGGGATGGGCTGTTTCATCCACCGTAGAGCGGCGGGCGACTCCAGTCCGCGGTAGTAGGACGAGGCCTGGTTGATGCGGTGACGACTCACCAAACGAGGCACGCTAGTAGGGCACGCAAACAGACCCGTGCGACTTGGCACTTTGCAGAGTCGATTGGGCGTCGGCTGAGGGGTGGAGACTAGCTCGGCTTGACCACACCCACCAGCATCGGTCGTTTGTACCCCCTCTTCCTCCTCCATCATCTCGCCAACTTCTTCTTCCACCATGTCAGGAGATGTTCTACCAGACAACTTTGGGACTACATCTCCCACACCTGCATAACAATACACCTCTAATCCCGACACCAATGGGACAAAAGAAAGTGTCCATATTATCCTCATTTCAAGGGTTTCCTTATAGAGATAATAGCAGGGGCCCCTCTCCATACATTATAATGCAGACCTGAGGTAAATAGACCAGAGCCGAGTGCATTGCTGTTCATCTTTGCCAGCGCCTCCTCAATGAAATACATGATGTCACGTTGGGCCTCATAGGGGAGGGTCGTTATTCTAGCGATGACGTCTTCGTTTGGTTTTCGCTGTACAGCCAGACAGAGCAGCATCACCACTGCCTAGGAGGAGAGGGAGAGAGAGAGAAGGAGAGAGAGGGAGAGAGAGAGAGATTCCATGAGTCACAATAGCCCGTAAAATAGCTCACTCTAGCAAGGTGCTCCTCGTCCCCAGCCTCAATGAGCTCTCTGCTCAGACTCTGCTCCAGCGAACAGCGGCAGAACTCTGTCAGGACCTGCAGGAGTCTGTCCCACTCTCGCCCCGACTCTGCCGCCAGATCTGGCAAACTGACGTCAGGAACAAGAGGAGTGTGGGACTGAAACTGAGATCTGTGAGAAGAGCTTACACATTTCTCATGCACTTGAAGAGGAGAGCACCAGATGAAAGGTCTTTTAGAGAGTGGCACTCGCCCACTCCAAAGCTATTGACCTGCAGGGGTGTCGAGAGAAACGATGTAGCGACACCGCGTTCAGGAATAGCGGTCTAACATACCCATTCCACGAGGCTTTGAGCCTCTGTAGTCATGACTCCAACGTATCAGCCACTAAAAACTACTGTACGATCTGTTTACGCTTCTTCCCGGCCTCTCGGAGAGAGATATTAGAGATCCTCTCACAAAAACTGCGCGGCGGAAAATTCAAAACATCCTGATATGCGCATGCGTAATTGGTTAAATGCCACGCCTACATATTTTCCATTGGTGCGTTTAAATTTTATTAGCCTGCGGGGCGCGCGGCTGCGAGACCTCTGTTCTTGCTTCTTCTTGCACTGCTGTGCTGCTCGATATGTGGACGATGCGCCCTTGAATAGTGGATAACAATCCGAAGGAAGTAAGAAATGTCTTCAAAGACCGCCGACAAACCGAAAAAAGGGAATGGTGAGCCGTTCTCTCTACATTACCAATGATAGTAAGTCATCCACTTCTCTTCCTGAATGCAGGTGTCTCGGCGAGTCCACTGGACGTCAGTGGCTCCAGCTCCGTACCCGGCTCTACGGCAGCTGCCTCATTTACCAACGGCAACGGCCATGGGGCCAGCAGTGGCATCAACATCAGCGTGTGTGCGGACTCAGGTAGAGAAAGAGAGAGGGTGCGGATGTAAGCAAAGGCAGAGGAAACGGAGAAGACGTTCAGTGTCTATGTAGTACTGAAAGTGTGGGGGCATATCCTGTATATAGTACCGTGAAGACTGTACTACATAGTAGTGTAGGCAGGCTTCTAGGGATAATTCAATAGTCTTTGTGGTATATACAGTTGAAGGAGCCCTGATGGAGCCAGCTTTGCTTTGTACACGTGTGTTGTGGGAGTGTGTCCATTATGTGAGCATCAGCCAAGTCTAAACTCTCTCTTCCCCCCCTCCCCTCTCTCTTTACTCTCCTGCCCTCACTCTTGCAGATGGGGATAGTTCAATTGCGGCCGAGGACTCATTGTGTGCCACTCCAACTCGGGTATGCCACAAATACCCAGTCCTCCATTTGATCCACACACGACATATCCTTGAATGGCCGCCCTTCTTTAATAGCTGTAGAGTACTTCGGCGAAGTTGGATGTAATAGATGTCCCCTAGTCAACCAAGGATCTAATGCTCTTGAACTAGTTTAACTTATGTACATTCATCTCTTCATGCCACCATTGTGTGCATCTAGCTCAGTTTGTGTGTGTCTGTCTTGTTTCGACTGTTAAAATGCACCTCATTGCAAGCGGTCCCTGTCTTACTACATAGTTTGAGGTAACATAATCAGCCTGAAGTCCTTAGCTATGCTCAGTTGTTAGCTCAGAATTCCACTTGCTTACATGTAGACCGTTGCAGACTGTGGCATGTGTGCAAGCGTACAATACAGCTTCCTTCTATGCAGTAACAGCTTTATGCAGGAAACTGTTGGAATTACTATGTGTGTACTGTCTTCGAACGTCCCTCGAGAATTTTGTAACAGCCGCATGTTTACTCTCCCTCTTCCCTTCACTCCTTCCTTCTTTCCCTCCCTCCTTCCTTCACTCCTTCCTTCTTTCACGACACCGTCGCACCGCGAACGACGGCCGTAGGCCCGCCAGCCGCCAGTGAACGCAGGCCGCGGGCCAGCAAGCACTCGGCAAGGGCAGGAAGGCGGCGGGGCCCCGCCCGCAGCCCGGAAAGCCGGTGCAGGACGGAAGCCCGCCGGCAGGCACGACAGGAGGGGCGGGCAGCCCGCAGGCAGGCACGCAGGCCGGGCAAAAGGAGGAGGGCACGACAGCGGAAGGCAACGCAGGAAGGAGGGCCAGCCACCGAGGCCAGACAGAAGGACAGGAAAGACGGCAGGACGGGCAAGAAAGAAGGAAAAAGAAATTATTTCTCTTTCTTAATGCCTTCCCTGTCTCCTCTCTGTCGCTTCTAGCACACCAAGGCCAAGGTCAAGGTTCCCCTTCCCAGTTCAACACCCCCCAGCGACCGAGGACGTCAAAAAGTGAGAAGAAGCGAGGATCAAACGCCAGTTTCTCACAAGATCACTCTCGAGTGGTGGATCTAGAGAGAGAGGCAAGTCACCATCGTCTGTAATATACATGTAAACACACAGAGTGTTTGCGTAGTTGTATTGTGTGGTCATAGTCACAATAAAATGCATAGTGTTTCAGCGGATGTCCGTACAAAGGAGAGCAATGTAGTGAGCATTATGTGAAATATCTAGGGCTGACTCTCTTTCTCCTCCTCTGGTGTTGTACAGATGAGGAAGTTACTTTCGGAAAGGAATGAGTTGAGCAAGCAGCTCTACTCCAGCAAACAGGACAACACAAAGCTGGAGAACAAAGTGCAGGTATGTACATAGCCAAATCAACGTTACGATGTAACAAACACACACCACCCCTCTCCCCCCTCTCCCCCCTCCCGTCAAGGTTGCCGTGAGGGACAAATCGGCCCTCCTCTCCCAGATGGCAAGCATCTCCAAACACAACAGAGATCTCTCCAGAGGAAAAGACATCCTCCTCGCCAAGGCAAAAGTCAGCACTCCCTTTGTCTGTAGCAATCTCAGAACATTTGAGTGAGATCTCTGCATTTTTAAGTAGGGATATTAGCTTCAAATTTGCTCTTACCGGGAGAAAATACTTACTTGAAAAGCATAGTATCTTGTTTTAGCAGTCCATGCACACCAACCAATGTTTGCAAGACCGTTGCCACGGTGGCACACGTAGGCACTGCAGTAATGATTCTACTGTGGTAGCGGTAAAGGTGGTGATGGACACGTACGTGCAGGCATTCTCGTCGGTGGATGTGAAGAAGGCGAGGTCTCTGGAGCAGAGTCTGAAGCAGGCCAACAGAGAGAAGAGGGCCAAGCAGAGAGAGCTGGACCGACTGGAGATACAGATGAACATGACCAGCAAACAGATGCAGGAGCGACTGCTGGCGTCTCTGGACGAGAGAGAGGAGATGGAGAACAGGATTGAGGACCTCGGTAAGTAAGAGATTTGGGTGGAGGACCGTTTTCCATTATCGATACAACAACCTCGATCGATATAACAACCTTGGTAGTACAACATGCTCAGTACATGTAGGCTAAATTCAGGTCCATCCATATCAACTAGTCTACACATTGATCACAAAGTGCTGATGTAGTATATCGTACCCGAGCCCTTTTTGCAATTTTAACAGTAATCCCTCGTGGCCAGTGAGTTTGCTTGCTGTGTTTTGCACTGGTATATAATATGACGGTTCCCTCTTCTCTCATTGTGTAGAGTGCGAGGTGATTTAGAATCCACGTTTTACGCAATCTGATTGGTCAATTTGAATCTTCCGACGTCTAAATGACGGTTTCCTCTTCTCTCATTGTGTAGAGTGCGAGGTGATTTAGAATCCACGTTTTACGCAATCTGATTGGTCAATTTGAATCTTCCGACGTCTAAATGACGGTTTCCTCTTCTCTCCTTGTGTAGAGTGCGAAGTGCAACATATGGCCGAGTGCCAAGCTGCCAGCGAAGAAACAAACAACGAACTGAAAGGTATACACAGTAATTTGTCGTCTTTGTTGTTTACGAAACTGTGTGTTTGTTTGTGTGTAGCGTCACTTGCAGCTCAAGAAGAGGTTTGTCAGTCTTTGCTAGAGAAACAGAATCAACTGGAAATGACAATCCAAGTTAGTCTACAACCTCCCCCTCTCCCCTCTTTTCTTCCCTCTCTTTCTCCACATCTGTGCGATAGTTCTCGCTCTCCATCTTGGTGTGTCTGCTACCATTGTAGGAGAAGGAGAAGGATTGGAGTGAGGAGAGAGACAGACTGACCACTGAAACAGCCGAACTAAAATCAAACTTACAATCGGCAGAAGTCAAAATGTAAATTAACGTGTCACCTAATGTTTAGCACCATACACTGCATGGAATAAAACAGGCTCTTCCACTTTACATGTATCTTCTCTCTTTCCCCCTTGCTCTTTCCCCTCCTCACACCTATCCCCCTCCCCTCTTACACCCCTTCTCCCCCTTCTCCCCCTCCCCAGAGATGAGCTGGACAAGGTTGTCATATCAATGGAGGAGCAGCTGTCTCAGACCTCTCAGGAGGCAAGCAGTCTCACTACTCAACTACAGTGAGCATACATACACACCACACACAATTGCAGGGTGAAAACATTTGCAAACTCCTAGGCTTTTCTAGTTGAAGACCAACATGTATTATTATTCTCTGTGGAAGTGTAGCAAAAAATTGTGTGTGTGTGTGTGTGTGTGTGTGTCTGTTACGTAGATCTGTGAAGACTGAACTGGAGACCGAGAGAGAGGAGAAGGGTGAGGTCGAAGGTCAACTGAGACAGTGCCAGGTCCTACTACAACAGGAGGAGAAGAAGACGAGCACTCTAGAGGGAAACATTGCCGACTTGTCTCGATTGAACTCTGACCTCCAGACACAGCTGAAGTAAGCGTGTATTGCACAATGCTTTCGTTGTCTATACCTAAAACTTATATTGGAGCCACCATTTTCATTTCTCATTGTTCGTGTGGTGTGTTCAGATGTAGCCAGTCGGAGTTGGAGGGAGAGAGAGGAGAGAGGGAGAGGGTCCAGACAGAGCTGACCCAGTCCAAGGCCAAGCTGCTGGAGACACAGGAGATAGTGGCCACTCTAGAGGAAAGAGTGGCCCAGTCAGATCAGTTGAACTCTGACCTTCAGACACAGCTGACGTGAGTAAAGGGAAACTGTGTACATTCAAAAATATTTTGAGTTTTGAAACATCTTTGTTAGCGGAGACTGTTTTGTACTGGTTGACAAGCCCACAGGAATATGCAGCCTATAAGGAGTATTGGTTTTCTTGCTGTTGCTGGCAGGTGTGAGAGGGAGAGGTTGGAGGAAGAGAGGAAGGAGAGAGAGAAGGCTGAGGAGAAGCTAGCGGTCGCCACAACCCAGCTCAGGGACCAGGAGACTCAGAGACAACAGTAGGTCTCTCTTGTTGTATATACAGTGGAACCCCTCTCTATAAGAGAAATAAGGACACCTCTCTAATACGGACACCTTTTCTTTTAGAACAGTTCTTGCGCCAAGATTATCTCATTGTGTCTGATATTAGTGAGCAGCAGGAACATGCTGGGGCTCTGGAGGCAGCTCACAGCAAGTGCTCCACCCTCCTAACTGGGCTAGGTGATTCCCCCGCGGCACTTGGCCGTTTCCCCTATCTCGCTCTAAACTTTGGTTTTTGCTGTATGCACCGCAGAGAAGGCAGTGAGTGAAGGGAGAGAGACACAGGCTCTGCTTCGGAGCCAGATGAGCACCTTGGAGGCTGAAAGACAAAAGGTACTTACCATCATCCTCTGTTCCCCATCTCTCTTCTATATTATTGAACCTTTCTCTCCCTCTCTCATCTCCCTCCTCTCTCTTCTCCCCCCTCTCTCGTCTCCTTCTCCACCTCTCACAGGCTGTACAGACGGCAGAGGAAGCAAGGGAGATGGAAGTGGCCGCTCGTGTCCAACTCACTGAGCTGGAGAAGTGAGTTCCGCGTTCCTCAATGCCTAGAGAGACGCAACACAAGTATTCTCTGTACATATCGCCACACAAACTTTACTTATAACTGGCCGTATTACATCACATCTGGACTGGTCTTATGTACATAATCAGCACTGGTTTTTATCTCACATAAATTCTGCATTCATATTTATGAACCCCATGTAATCATCGTTCATTTTTAACCAATCGTTCATCTTTTCATCTGTAATTATACCGAATCAGTGATTTACCAACTAAAATCAGCGATTTGTACTATCAATTTTACTGCAATACGTACAGTACATGAGACTTGATCCCGTGTGTGTGATGGACTGTGTGTATGGTGTCTGTGTAGGAGACACACGGAGCAGGAGGCGGTCAAGTCAACTGCCCTCCAGCAGCTAGAGCAAGCAAAGGAAGAGCTAATCTCACTTCAGGACCAAGTCGATGGGTAAATTGCTTACCTCTGTGGCTCTGTGTACAGTGTGACCTTCCTCCCTACCTCCTTCCCTTCTCTCCCTACCTCCTTCCCTTCCTCCCTACCTCCTTCCCTTCTCTCCCTACCTCCTTCCCTCTCTCCATTCTCTCCCTTCTATTCCTCCCTCAGTCCCTAACTAAGTTGAAAACCCCGAAATTTCATTTTCTCTCTGCTCTAGTTCTGGGTCTCCCCCCTCCTCTAATTTATCTTTCAACCTCTTCTTCTCCCTCCAACTTCACTCTCCCTCCCCCCTCCCCTCCCTCCTCAAACTCTCTCTTTCTCTCCCTCCCTCCCTCCTCAAACTCTCTCTTTCTCTCCCTCCCTCCCTCCTCAAACTCTCTCTTTCTCTCCCTCCCTCCTTTCTCTCCCTCCCTCTGCTGGTGGCGGTGGGTAAAGCCCACTCTCCAGAGAAGTGGTTGCAGCTGTCCAGGGGGAGATGAAGAAGGAGTTGGAAGAGGTCAAAACAAAGCTCTCTCAACAGAAACAACACTCAACAAGGTTCTACTCCACACATTATGTTTTAGTAGACACGTCTGACTCTTTTCATCCACTGTAGAGTGGAGAATGAGATGGGAGAAAGAGTTGGTGAATTAGAAGAAGAGTTAGAGAGGTCAGTAGTAGATGAACACCCCAGGGAGGCAGATGGTAAGGACCACTCTCTCTTTTCTCCGTTGCCCCGACAGGATGAGGAGTGAGAGAGAGCAGCTGGAGGTGGCTTACTTGGACCTCCAGGAGAAGTGTCGTCCTTTCCAGGTATACATGCCCACACAGTACTTAAGTACATACATAATGGAGAGAAACACTCAAAGTTGTGTCATTTTTAAGCAAATAGTTTCTCATGTTTCGGTCCCATCCACAAACTGCAAACGCATGAAATTCCTCTGAAAAATGTTACGACGAATGTGTACATATGGCTGTTCTTTTAAAAAAATGTATATACAGGACCAGATTGAAGGGCTGGCTGATGTCAATGCCTTACTGAAGAGCCAAGCTGCCTTGGCCAGAAAAGAGGTTTGCAACTGTCACTCACCTCCCTGTGTATATAAAATATTGTCCTTTATTCAGAGGCGTCCTCCTTCAGTGTTAGTACACTAATGTTCTTATAGAGGTGTGTCTTGTTCGGAGGGTCCTCTTTAGGTTTCATATTACTGCCTCTCAAAAGTCATTTATAACTGACTGGTGAACAACTGTTGATGTGTGTGTGTGTGTACATGTTTGTTGACGTAGGCTCAAGAGGTGTCTGACCAGTTTGCGTCTATCGTGGGCCACCAGAACACACGGCAGAAGATCAGATACGTGAAGAAAATCAGGGACGAGAACGCAGCGCTGAAAATGGTGCGTCGTAATTATTAATGTGCGTAATTTGGAAGGAATGTTGGTAATTGGTTGGTATGAAGTTGTTGTTTCGTTGTCTAGGAGATAGGCGAGTTACGGATGGAGCTATCAAAGCAAAAGAAACAAATCAGGAAGATGAATGAAACCAAGGCGACATCGGCTCCACCGGCCCGCCCCCTTTCTTCCAAGAACTAGATACATACACACCAAAATTAATGTTCTCTCTTTCACCTCCTCCTCCGCCAATGCATCACTGGACAACTCTTTCACTTTCAACACAATGATCGTTGTTACGTTTATTTCTCGTACTTATAGTGTATGTGTGTGTTTGTGTGTGAATGTTGCTATGACTGACCATTTTCGAAATATGTTCCTAATTATCCGTTTCAACCAGAAATATTGAACAAAAATTCCTCACCACAAAACCGAACTGCGCGTTTTCCGCGCGAAAACGCGTCGGCCGGGATCGCGACGGTGGAGAACGACGGTTTGGCACTGGAAAGAGATCGAGAGGTATGCGTAATATCGACTAGTTCGTAAATACAAGTTTTCTTCGAAGAATAGACGTTTCACGAAAGCTATGATGCATACCCACAGCCGTTGTCGGTTGTTATGGAGCTCCCAAGCTATGCTGACAGCGTCAGGCCGACCAGTCTCCCGGGATTCACCAACCCGCGCTGCTCAGTGGAGGGCGAGGAGGAGGAGGAAGAGGAGAGGAGGGAGGGGGAAGAGGGGTTAGATGCGGATGACCTCCCACCACCTTACTCTCCTGGTGGCTTTGGACAACGAGACGGTAAGATAAGAATGTGCCACGCCCCTTTTGTGTCTGTAAACGAACACGTATAATTGTGGGTCATTACTTCATGCTTTACGGTTTAACCGCTAGCCCTGGTCCCTTATAGCGTACTGTGTACTAAATTTTCGTGACCGTTTACCTAATATGGTGTCTTCTTTTTTTTCAGTGTTTGTGGCTCCACCGGAGTACTTTGCCATATTTGGTCAGATACGAGAGGCCAGGGAGGAGTCCTCCAACCACTTTGTGTTTCTACGGAAACTCTGTCAAATCCTCCTCAACACAAGTATGATGTTAATTATTGACTCTCTTCACTGTGATATATAAGGAATAATATAATATGAACCCTCTAATCTGGACACCAATGAGACAGAAAAAAGTGTCCATATTCCTTATTTTAGGTGTGGAATTGCGTGAAGGTGTCCTCATTAGGGGTGTCCTGGGAGAAAGGCTCCACCATACACCGAATCTTCTCTAAACACTGGTGGTTTTAATGATCTCTCTCTCTCTTTCTGTCTCTCTCTTGCAGTTGGCTGCACAGTGTTGCTACTCGTCTTCATGTCCATACCAATCGCTGTTCTTGCTCTAGGTTTGTAAGATGAAGTATTTTTCTCGTATTTTGTCTAAAGGTTTTTCCCATTCCTTACAGCACACTTTAATTCGCCCCCACTGTTTGTTGTATACTTGTTGAGCCTCTCAGAATTCCCATAAAACTATTGAAGGTGCTGACACTAAATTGTACCATTCTTTATCCACCGGCAGGTATCTATTTCATTGATAGATGTCCGGCCGAACCAAACATTCCTGTCTTCCTGGTAGTGGGCGGAGTTTCGGGAGCCCTCAAGAACATCGCCCTTGTCTTTGAGAACATAGTGAAACGGACATCGCATCGTTTTTCTGTCGAATCGGCCCGCAGACTCCGCTACGCAAAGTTCACCTGGAGAGCCGTAAATCTTATCTTTGACTTGTTTCTGATGGCGTGGATAATCGCCGGTAGCTACTGGATCTATCACATCTACCGCGAGGTGGACCCCGATTTCGACGAATGTCACGAAACGCTGTACAAGTTTGCGTTTGGTGTCATCACGTCGAGTTACATCCTCTTTGCAATGATGTGCTGCTGCATGTGTGTGTGTGGCGTCTGTCTTCTCCCACGTCACTCCGAGGAGGAGGAGGAGGAGGGTGGGGAGGGGGAAGAGGGGAGCAGGAGGGGGTCGCACTCACCCACTCCTCATTCTGATCTAGAGAACTCTCCCCAACCGGGAGAAACTGCTACTGATGGAGGAAACGTTTCGTCTGAAAACGGGGAAACGGTTGGACTTCACTCCGAGGAAGAATATGGAGAGAGAGGAAGAGGAGAAAGGGAAGAACAAGGAGGGACAGTTGGTGGAGAGAGAGAAGGAAGAGAGAGAGGAGTGGATATGGAGCCAATTATTGGCGGGAGAAGACAGTTGCCTCAGCAAAACCTCACTCTAGACAACCTGGAGCCTCTGAACGTTGGAGAGTACGAACAGACTCCTGTACTGAGCCCCAGAGCCAGGCAATTAGTGACTAACGAACAGGGGCATCCCCTCTCGCCTAAAACAACTTCAGTCTGAATCTTTTTATCACAATCATTTTTTACACTGAGTCACAGATCATGATCAATGTTCAAAAAGTGAATATATAGTTGATGTTGTTAAACTTTGAAATCGTGACACAAACACACACAAAGTGAGATTTCGTCAGATGAGCAGAACTGAGATGAAGGAGGTGAGTTTAAAAACACAAAACAAATGGGCGATATGTTTAGGCCTTGCGATATGTTAGAGACAAGAGCATTTGCCACTGTTACGGACCCTCTGTGAAGGGGTGTGGCCACCACCTCTACTGCCCTGCCCCCTTCTCCCAGTCGTCTCCTCGTCTTCCGTTTTTCGGAACCGTTTTGGGACCAGGGTCTGGAGTCGTGCCTTCATTTCCTGTGCGGCGTATGTGGAGCGAGGGATGGGGCCGTCGGGGGCATCGACCAGGATCCAATCCTCTGGTTCCTGCGCCAGAAGGATGATCCCGGAACGAGACAGCGTCACTTCCCGGCTCTGCCTCTCTTCAAACATGCTCCGGGCGAGCGTCGAAAATATCCCCTCCAATTTCGGCAGCTGTTTCGCGTCTTTGGCCGAGAGTTCGTAGAACGACATTCCGTATCTGTCCGCTAGCGCTTGTCCCTCCACCGGAGTCACTTGTCTGGACGATGACTGGTCCAGCTTGTTTCCAATTAATGCCACCTTGACCTTTTCAAGCCCGACGTACGTCCGAACTTCGTTGACCCAGAGGTTAATGTTCTCGAAGGTCTGTCTTCGTGTGATGTCGTAGACAAGGATGATTCCGTCTGCGTTTCTGTAGTATTTGGTGATTAGGGCATTTCTGAACTGCTCCATGCCTGCCGTGTCCCATACTTGTAGCTGTGTGTGTGTGTGTGTGTGTGTGTGTGTGGGAGTGGGGAAGGGAGGAAGGGAGGAAGCCAGAGACTTTTAGCAACCATTTCAGACTGAATTTGGGAAAGTTTTATATACAGGCAGACAGCCATGTATACAGTCGTAGGATCTACCATTGCATGGCACCTTAATATTACGAAAGCTACCAGGAAGGAAGACCTTTAATGTTCATTGTGTGCCACCTGCTGTGTACAACATGATGTGACTTCCCACATACACTAATACAAACATGATAGTGATAAAACACTATCACCAATGCAACATCAAAGAGCAATGCAGCATCAATGCAAGTGGGAGTAAACATACTGTCACAAAGTCAGAATCCACCCAGTTGACAAAGTGTGGTACTATAAGAGCCAGCTTTGTCTAACCTCCACTTCCCTGCTAGCACTGCACGGTGCTTCTTTTGACAAAAGACCAAAAGAGAGAAGTGTATAGTGAGAAACACTTTGCCAGCATGAGGGCCAACCATGAAAGCTTTTTCTACGAACATTGCAGGCACAGACCATGACGGAAGAAATATTTTCTCTGGGGATTCAATTGTGAAATTTTCTCACTCTAAAGTTCCTTAACAGTAGCAGCTGGCTCTCTGTTTACTGTCACATGTATAAAAACAGCTCATATCCCTGACAAACATTAATTTTGTTTTCGCTAGCCTCTAAAGTCAATTACACCCCACAAGAATGTTTGGTTCCATGCTGTCACTTCGTTTACACCCGTCTTCAGTTACCAGGCCGACCAACCAGGGCTTGCTCCAAAGGGCACCATTGGCTCACCTATGTTAGGTCACTTGGACCAGACGCAACGCCTGTTAATTTTGCCCATTCTCACAGTGTTTAGAATTTCTGCAAGCTGATGTGCCGCCCTCCATATAAGGTGGTCATACCTTGTACCGATCTATGCAGCGGCATATGGTAGCTAGAGTATTATGACTGCTCACTATGAGGCCATGTAGAATACACACATTTTTGTCATACTTCCCAGGTACAGTAAAATACACTGTTTCAATTCAGTTTTAGCCACTTCACTAGCATTCAAATACCTGTTCACTCATCTTGGCTCCCCCCACACACACTCTCTCTCCGCCCTTCCTCTCTCCCCCTCTCTCTCTCTTCTCCCTCACCTTGACTTGCAGTCCTTCCTCCACCTGGATTTGTTTCACGTGATGGTCGAACCCGATGGTATTGCACGACTGCTCCAGTACCTCCCTGTCTACGAACATGCGAGCCAGACACGTCTTGCCCACGTTCGGGTCTCCGAGAAACACGGTCTTGAAGGCATGCGACTTGTCCACTTTGATCCAGTCTAGTTCAACTTGCTGCAAAAACGACGGACAATCGCAAACGCAAAAATTAGTGACAGTGGCTAGGGTATATACCATTAGCACGCCAAGCTAATGAAAGACCTCTCTGCATCAGAGATATAAACTTACCGACTGTGTGCATGAGTACGATTAGCTATATAGCTCTATCCAGCTTACTTCTCCATCGGCGACAGGTTCGCTCTGAGGTTCGCTCGGCAGTTTATGCTCGTAGCTGTCGTCCTCTTTATCGTTGAACACGAGTCGCGGAGTCTTTCGCCAAATAGCGCTAGCCATCAAGTCTGGATCGAGCCCCACTCTCTCTCTTCCACGGCACTGCTCGCTTTTTGTTGTCTGATGCAACTGTGCTTGATGCTTTGCGGGTTGCGGCACGCCCATTTTCAGTATATTAATTTACGGAGAGCGGACGGAGCTCGTGAACGGGAAAAGGTCATGCTGTTTCGGCAGAATGTGGTTGTGCGGCTCTGGCCCCGTGTGGCTACAGTATCTGCAGCCGTGAGGACCCTCACCTCCAGAATAACAGTCAGAGATGCAGTTGCAGCCACGTCAACGAGAGAGGACGTGTCGGTGCTGGTGAGCCATATATCCGTATATTACTCCGCACCTCTCCGGATACCATTGTATGCTAATTACAGGGTTGGGTGAAGAATATGAGGAAGCAGAAGGAGCTTGTCTTCATTGATCTCAATGACGGCTCCACAGCGGCAAGATTGCAAGTTGTTGCTCCTTCTAACCTTCTTAGAGGGTAAGAAATAATGGTGAAGGAAAAAAACTTAAGTGTGGAGCATGCTTAATAATTTTGCAGAAGCTACAATGCATTCTAGCATAGTTTTAACAAGCATTGCTTTAATAAGTAATGTGAGAGAATTCTCAACAAATAATTAGTTTCTACCCTCAATTTTTTATGGATCAACCCTAGTATGCCATTCCATGTGGTGGACGAGGATTAATAATTACATTTTCCTTTCTATCACTCCATTGTAGTAGAGGTATCAGTGTACCTAGTGGTGTTTCATGTCTCCTACTGTTTCCCTCTCATGTGGGTCAACATGATTACTCTATCGTTGTTGCAGGGTTCATCTAAACGTTGGCTGTTCAGTTGTGGCGAAGGGAAAGATTGTGCCGGTATCTCTAGCCTCCCAGGATGTGGAGCTCGCCGCTTCTCAGGTTCAGCTACTAGGAACATGTGACCCAAAGGTAGAACACACATCCTAAGAGTCTGTAATGTTGTTAGTAACAGAATTGAGAGACTAGATGTAAAGGGGGACGCTTGCTCCTAGCTAGACTTAGTATTTTTACCTTAATGCAGTGCATTTTTGCTATGGTTTTTGTTTCATGTGGTACATAAGGCCTAACATTAAAGTGCAAAAATTTCCCCTATTTACTGCCACATTAATTAGTCGCCGTTTCATTTCCACAGAAGTACCCGTTCAAACGGGGTAAGATCCACGGAGTGGAGTACCTCAGACAGTTCCCCCACCTCCGACCCCAGACCGGGGTATTCTCCAGAGTACTCCGACTCCGGAGTGCTGCCACAATGGCCGTCCACCGTTTCTTCCAGGACCGGGGTTTCATCAACTTCCACACCCCCATCATTAGCTCCAGCGATTGCGAGGGAGCTGGAGAGTTATTCGAGATCAGAGTCAGTCAAATTTTCATGCTCCCCTCCAAAATTATTATGCCCACCTCCAAAAATATACAATAAAGTGTAAATTTTTTTTTCTCAGCCTTCCCAAGCAGCGGAGGATGAAAAGAGGTTCTTTTCTACTGATGCCTTTCTCACGGTGTCAGGCCAGCTCCATGCAGAGGCCGTAACTAGGTATGTAGTAAAACCAAAAGATTGCATTATAATACTCCAATGTATTAGGGTTGTGTATGTCTTGCTCCTCTCCATTACCTTCTTACTAGTGTGCATCACATGGTCTATTGTTACATGTCTTACTATATTATGTGTATGCATGTAGAAAAACCATGTGATGCCAAGAGAATAAAGATGTGGAGCTCTGGACAGCTGTTTCGGGCTTGTTGGCCCTCATCAGCAGAGCATATATACCACAACTTCTCTCTCTGGCATCACCGAGTTTATAAAGGCATCTCTTAATAGTGTATATGTATGCATGATGGTGTGACTGGTGTGTCCACACACACACAGTGGGATGAGCGCGGTCTACACTTTTGGACCCACATTTCGTGCGGAGAAATCGCACACAAAGAGACATCTCTCAGAGTTCTACATGGTCGAGGCAGAAACAGTGCTCCACGGCTCAGGTCTGGTATATATATAACCTGTCAAACCTGTTCTTTAACCCGTTTAACAGGTTTGTCCGAGCTACTGTGTTTGGTCGAGGATCTCTACAAGCACACGTTGGAGGTATTACTCAAAGATAATTATGACGATATCAACTATTTCCACGAGACTATCTGCTCTGATGAAGCTAAGGTATGGGGAGCAAGTGGTTCAAGAATTGATTTAAGACTAATTAATGTTTCTTCAGTTAGATTTCGATACTGAATTCCATCGAGAGACCATTTGCCAGGTATATAATATGATAATGTTCTTCTACAGCAGCATTCTTAGAGCAACATGCTAGAATTACTGGGATGTCCATATGAAGAACACACTCGGACCATTTTTAGAAGTGTACCTGGTTTCCATAGTACAGGAACTATAATTATACTGTGTTTCATGCAGGATGACTTATTCTGAGGCAATGGATGAGCTTGAGAACGCAGCAAGCAAAAACTCTTTCCATACCCAACCACAGGTATATAGTATTTATTGTCACACAGGATTCCATACTTCCTGTGTCATTCAGTGGGGAGATGACCTGCAGAGAGATCACGAGCTGCACCTGCTGTCTGTGACTGGACAACTGCCTGTCTTTATCACTGACTTCCCGGCGGCCATTAAACCATTCTACGCCAGAACTCTGGACTCTGATACTAACATTGTAGGTCCTTCAAAATCTTCATTCAATCACTGCCCCCTCTCTCCCTTTCTTGACTAAATATTGTATGTTCTTCAGCTTTGCCCACTCTATCGCTGCTCTCTCTTTCTCCCTTCTCTCTCCTTACTTTAAAGATGGAAACCAATTCTTTCACTGGCCATCATTAGTAACATTTCATTGTGGTGCTCCTCTAATTCCTCCCAATGTGTGGTGTCCATCTGTCCAGGTGTCATCGGTGGATCTCCTGGTACCAGGAGTGGGCGAGGTGGTGGGAGGGAGTGTCAGAGAGGAGAGAGAGACTGTGCTCAGGGACAGACTCACCAGGTACTAGAAGTAGCCACTGAACTCCACTGTATAATGTGCAGCCTATGTGCTGATCTACTTGTTTTTTCATCCCTCCATTTTTTCTACTGAAGGCTAGGGTTGTTGGAGAAGTATCAGTGGTAAGTCCCTGATTACACCGCGTTATGTAATACCAGTGTGAGTGGTGATCCCAGGTATCTGGACCTGAGGCGGTTTGGAACCGTGCCACACGGAGGGTTTGGACTCGGGTTCGAGCGTCTTCTCCAGGCCTTCCTCGGAGTGGCCGACATTCGCGATGTCATCCCATTTCCCCGCTATCTCGGCTCTTGCCAGATGTAGTAAACTGTATAGTAGTTATAATACCCACACATTGCATATCCCACGTCATTACTATTCGATGTTCAGCACAACTTGTCGGTCTTAATACAAGCACGTCCTTACAAAAATTTTGTCAATTCTATATACAAAATTTATTGGAGATTCAAAAATCCATGATTGGTGTATATACACTTAATTAACCTGTTGATGGTTTTAAAAAATCTCTAAGTCTTGGCTGTTTCCCGCTCCCCCAGCGCCTCGTCCCACTGGACGCACTGAGCACTCAGCTGCAACATTACTCTACGGTAGCCGTCCATTAGAGTGTGGGTCTGTTGAGTCAGCTCCGCGACTCTGGCCTCCTGCTCCAGGTGAGTGGCTGAGACTGTCGCCAGCTTCTTCTCGTGTGTCTCCAGACCTTGGCACTCGGTGGAGTTGATGTAGTCTTTCAGTTGGTGGACCTGAAAATTACCACACCGAGCAAATTGATCAGCTCCAGGACTTTTGACTGACTTAGAGCACACTATACTGAATACAGTTGAATTCCTCTCAGACACCTCTCTAAGAACACAGCTTGCACTCAATTGAACCCCCGAATCTGCACAGACACTTTTATTCCATCCATTAGCGTTTGGATTTAAGATGGGTCTATATATGTCTATGCTAAGAGTGATAAGATTGGTATATACCTCTTCCATTCTGTCAGTGAACTTTCTAAGTTGCTCCACCTCTCCACACAGCAGCTCGACCTTGGCACCTTCAGTCATCTTGAGACTCTGAACGTAGTCCGGCGATACGAGGCTCTCCAACCGACCAATCTTCGCCCCACAGGCCCTGCACCTCTTCTCCCTTCTCGCGACCAGCGAGTGTGTCCAGTTTCCGCCCCAGCTCCCTCACGGCGGTGGTCAGCGGTATCACGGGGAGAGCGCCATCCTGGGAAAGAAGCTTCTTTTCCAGAGCGTCCACACGCCTCGTCAAAGCCTCCACGTAATCCTCTGTCAAGACAGGAGCCGCCATCTTTCTCTAGCTGGAAATGGGCGTGGCCAAATCCATCGTTATGCGCATGCGCAACAAGGGTGGGCACTCAAAAGAGTTTCACGTCGTGGTGCGCGTTAACAAGAGTGACTGCGCGAGGATTGCAAATTGGAGGGTTTTCAGTGCAACTATGGCTGCAGGACCTATTCAGGAGAGAAACCAAGGTAGGAAGAGAGCTCTTCATTGAAATGTCGGGTATCTGCGGCTGCAGATGCCACGATCTACGTGGGAGGTCTGGACGAGAAGATGACTGAGGCTCTGCTCTGGGAACTCTTCCTTCAGGCTGGCCCCGTGGGTGAGTCACGTGATCCACCACCTCCTTAAAAATTGCTTACCTCCATATGTAGAGAACAATAATACCCATACGGCATAGACCGCACACAACTAAATGACAGACTATTTGAAACTTATTTTCTGCAGTGAATGTCCATGTGCCTCGAGACCGCATCACCCAGACACACCAGGGATACGGCTTCGTGGAGTTTATGAGCGAGGACGATGCTGACTACGCCATCAAGATCATGAATATGATCAAACTCTTTGGCAAGCCCATCAGGGTCAACAAGGTCAGATATTTTTTAGTCACATTTTACTCATATTACCATTTTGAGTGTTTTTCTCTGCAGGCTGCATCCAACACAAAGAATCTCGATGTAGGAGCGAATGTGTTTATCGGTAACTTAGACGCTGAGATTGACGAAAAACTACTCTACGATATATTCAGTGCATTCGGGGTTATTCTCCAGACCCCCAAAATCATGCGGGATCCCGATTCGGGCAACTCCAAGGGTTTTGCGTTTGTCAACTATGCCAGTTTCGAAGCCAGCGATGCCGCTATCGAGGCAATGAACGGACAGCATCTGTGTAACCGAGCCATCTCCGTTTCCTACGCCTTCAAAAAGGACTCAAAGGGAGAGCGACACGGCTCTGCAGCTGGTTTGCCTTGAACAAAATTCTCACTCTAACTTTGATTATCTCTCTTTCTTTTTCTTACACTCTCTCGCTCTGTCTCTTCTCTTTCTTTCTTTTCTCTTTGTCTTTCTTTCTCCCCCTCTCTTCTTTCTCTCTGCTTTCCTCCGCCATCCCTCTCTCTCTCAGAGCGAATGCTGGCAGCACAGAACCCACTGACCCAAATGGATCGACCTCACCAGCTGTTTGCCGATGCTCCACCCAGCCTGGCAGCTGCACCCATCCCCCCGGCCCTCCCTACTCACATCACTCCTCCCTACATGCCTTCCTCCATGATGGCTTTCATGCCAGGCATGGGAATGGGAATGGGAATGGGGATGGGGGGGATGGGAATGGGGATGGGGGGAATGGGAATGGGGATGGGTGGACCACCTCTCCATCTACCACCGCCTCCCCCTCCAACGTCACATGGCAGTGAGTGTGGTGCACTGTGGTTGAGTTTGGTTCCATTTGGCTCATTTGCACCCCTTCCAGTGCCACCAAACCAAATGCAACAGATGCAGATGATGCCTCCACCACCTCCTCCACACGTGCGTTTGTGTAATTATAGTGGAATCCAGATGGGACGCAAGAAAGTATCAGTATTATTTGTGTTGTAATCCAGACACCACATAGGACGGAAGAATATTTCCGTATTTGTGTTGGAACTCCTATAAACAAGACACCAACATTAGCGAGGTGTCCTTATTTTGGGGGTTAAGAGCTGTCTTTGGGGTATGAAAGGTGACCTCATAACAGGGGGTTTACCTGCTTTCTTCACCATTGTCCTCCTCAGTCGATGTTTCCTCCGAGAGGACCACCTCCGCCCGGGCATTTCCCTCCACCGCCAGGCCACCAGGCACACATGCCACACCCTCCTCCTCCCCCTCCTCACTCCAGACCTCTTGGTATTATTATACTCGTGTTGTTCATCTACCACCTCCATATATAGAGTGCACGTCCAATGTTGGAATGTGGCAGTGTGGAAGGGCTTCATTTAAAGTGTTACAAAAGGCGGGAACAGAATTCCATTCTTTCACTGAGCACCATGGAACTTTTTAAATTTAACCCTTATGTACTGACAGATTCCCTTTATTATGTGAGATGTAGGTCAATGTGAATGATTCACTTGAAAGAAGTTTTCTGACGATACAGGCATGCCAAACCGGCCCCCGCCAGCGCCACTGATGGGCCAACCACCACCAAGAGCTCCGCACCCCACCCCCCTGATGGGCCCACCGAGACCACCGCCGCCGCCGCCAACTAGTGGTCCGCCACCCGCACCCCTCATGGGCCAACCACCACCGCCGCTACCGCCAAGTAGTGGTCCCCCACCCCCTAACATACCGAGGAGCCAACCAAATCCACCACCGGGAGCCCCTCCCCCTCCTCCACCTCATCTCATGGGGCAGCGACCTCCTCCGGGGAGTGGTGGTCCCCCACCCCCTCCTCCTCTCATGCCACCAAGAGGACCACCGTTGCCTCAAAACCTACCACCACGGTATGACTCTACAAACACAACTCAGTATAACAAGAGAGAGTATACTTTGTGCTTGCAAACTGCATAAGCATTTCGCGGTTTTACGTTATTTTTGGAAGTGAACTTCTCCTTGCAGACCAAACATGCCCCCTCCTCCTGGACCATTTGGCGGTCCTCCTCCTCCACGACCTTCTCAAGGCAACGCTCCTCTTCTGCCAAGTTAGTGACTAATGCACCTCCCCAGCTGATGTCACGTGCGACCTGTTGTTCCAATACAGTTCCCAGGCCACTTCCTCCGGGTGGACCAATGCCCCCTCCTCCTCCTCCCCCTCCACCCCAGTGAACTGTGAACTATGACTTATTATCACTACTATATATAATTATATTGACGCTTTCTGAATAAAGTTTGTGCATATATTTTGCCGTCCAAAACAATGATTGATGATCACACAGCCTACTACCTTATAGCTAGAGTTCTGCCTGTCTCACTTTTTTCACACTGCGTGCGCAATCCATCAGTGATATATACAACGGCTGAAATTCACACTTTAGAGTTTTAGTGTTACTTTTCAGCCAATAAACAATACACAACAACACAAAATTGTAGCAAAAAACGGCACATGCAAAACTAGGCTATGCTCATGCTGCGATTGACTTTCAGTCCACCAACTATCAGTTTCTTCCCTGAATTAGCTTCCTTGAGTTTCCTGCAGAAAACACAAACACATTGGCTCAATGACCATGAAGGCCAACACATGGATTTCCAGTCCCACTCAAAAATTTTACCGACAACTCCAAATATTTTTCCTTACATTATTATGAATAATTATCACACCTAGTGAGGACTTGGTTCTTGAATTTCTCTTCGTTCAATTCCTTGCACAACTGAGCCTTGTGATAGGAAAGAAAATAAGAACAGATCACTTGGGTAACGTGCAGTGTTGTTCAGTAGTGAGAAAGTTGGGATCACAAACGAATGGAACGTAGGAGGCAATATAGTTCTGTTGGCTGGACTGAATGATGGAAGCGACTTACTTTTGATTTGGTGGAAGGACAGAATGAACAGAGAGAGAGAACGTCAGCTGCTGTGGGTCTCTCAGCTGGTTTCTCCGATATCATACGCTGCACACACACACACACAGTCAGTCAGTGAGGCGTAGGCATGCAGCAAAGAGCACAGGGGGCACGTACCAATAACAGTGAGTTAAACGAAGGGGCACAGTGGTCAAGGGGAGGGAGGTGTCTGTTTCGAATATGGTGCCACTCTTCACCATTCTTGGGCAGTTCACAGCAACTCCCCTACAAACATATGACATCATAGTCCAGATTCAACCTCCATACATTCACAACACAACAACAGAACTCACTGCAGTGTAGACAGTTAGACTCAGAGCAAAGATGTCTGCCTTGGGGAGGGCCCTGTAATCCTGGGAGACGATTGATTGGTCGAAGTCAGACTGAGATGAATCGCCAGAGAAAAGCGGGCTAACCTCTTGAAGGATCTCTCGTGGCAAATATCGACAGTCTCCTTCCTCTACCTGCGGGTCCCTGACAGAGGTCACATGACCCATGTCACCTGGGCATACATACATACCACACCATTATAACTATACAGACAGTGAAAGGTAATTTTTCAGGCTTTCCAAACACAATTTTTCTGGGTTTTGTGAGTAATCCTTCGTCAAAAAGCCAAAACTAGGCACCTATTTTGTAGAGTAGCTGAGTATTTTCAAGGCCAGATCTCTCCTCCTCTCCCTCCCCTCCATCCTGAAAGGACACGAGGCAGGAGACGGAGAGGCTCTGCTCCGGGAGACTGACAAAGATATTGTCAGGTTTGATGTCCAGGTGTACCAGACCCAGGGAGTGGATGTATTGGAGCGCCTGTGGTCGGACGGGGACGAAGGGAAACACGAGACTCACTATTTATTACGTGCACAACTTTTTGCAAGCGTTGTAAAGTTCACTGTTTATCTGTGAGGTAAATACAGGCACCACTATCGCTATAAATACTGTTTTGGTTGTAAAACAAATGCACATGCACCCCCATCTTAATTTCGGTATTACTGCTACATCTTTGGTCGTAAAGCACTCTCCAGCTGCGTGTACAGTCTGAATCAAACGAACAAATTGCATGTTTAAAGGACGGTGTATTGTTACCAAGGCAACGTGTCTCGTGAGCCTTTTGAGTTCTCCCTCTGTGAACTTTGACCCCTCGTCTCTATTGTGGGCAATGATGGAAGAGAGATTCCCTCCTGAGAGAGGCAAAGACGGAGAAGACAGGAGAGAGGGAAATAACCTGGCGACCAAGTTTGTGATACTGAGGAGATCTTTCTTATTGTGTAAATTTGGTGTTCAGATTCTCTGATTGCCTGGGGTCGACCTTCATGTCTGTAAAATGGTCCACTCTATGTGCAAAAAATTTCTCAGCCCACAAAAAATGTTCCCTCAAAATTTGCTCTATTTAGTGCTCACCATTACAGAACTCATTCTGGATGATCATGTGGTTGTCCTCGGCCCAGGCAGAGTAGTAGCGAACCAGATGAGAATGAGAGCCAAGTACCGCGTGGGCGCACACTTCGCGGAGCGCTGCCGCCCTGTGCGAGAGAGAGAGAGAGAGAGAGAGAGGGAGAGAGCTAATGGGAGAGGGGGTTGTGTAAAAGATGCTCACTCATCGGCAGATCCAGCCACAGGTTTGTGAGATTTCTTCAGAGCATACGCACAGCCGTCTGCAGAAAAAAAAGAAAAACCGTTTCACTCACTTCCACCTATCTCACGGCACCCCACACTGACCGAGTCTGTTGATGCACTTGTAGACGGTTCCGAAGCTCCCTGAACCAATCACCACGACCTCTTTGAACTCTTCCTGGTACCGTGATATGTTGTTCTCTCTCAGAGCCAGCCGCTAGAAACAAACATACAAACAAACAAAGCGAGAGTTATCAAATGCACAAATGTCAACACACACATGTTATGATGTACACTATGTATTGAGAGAGGTAAAACTCATATACTAGGCAAAAACTTGTGTGATGTCAAGTTTGTAGGTGAAAATGCAGTGTTTTCTGAAAGAAGGCACGAGTGATGGACAGAATTACCTTCTGTGGTCTTGGCCTGTTTTCTTCCATCAGTTCAATACATGGAGACATGACCCTGCACACACACACACACACACACACAGAGTTACTATATTTTCATGTTCGTAAGTTACACGAAAATTAATGGTTAACGTGTTAAATGCGTGCTTTCAATATTGCCCCCGGATAGTGTTGGGCGTAAACTTTGACCAACTACAATATTAACCACGGATTGGAACTTACACTTGCTGCTGCAGTTTCTTCCTCATGGCCGTATTCTCCCTGGGAGTGAAGGGGTTAACGTTGGTTCCCCGTGACACTCTCCGTCTCAGTTCCGGTCCGGAACGAGTCACTCTCCCCGACCTTCGAACCCTGTTTATGATTTACATACTAAAAAGAGTAGCTCTTCCTAAAATAGACTGACCGGTTAAAAATAGAATCTTTTGCGAGGATGCCACTACCTCTTGCTAGTGTTATGGGTGTGGCTGGATAGTCAAATAGCTGAAGTCGCTCCAAACGAGGTGGTGATGTAACCATTACATCACCGTTTTTGTCCGTTGAGTCGGCAATAAAAGGAGCAGATGTTGGATTTTGGGGGGTTGGTGAGAGTTCAAAGTTCAGAGGTGAGTTGATAGAGCGTTGGCGCTGTTTCCGTGCGGGGCTGTGAGGGGGCGGGGTGAATAGGCGTGGCTGTTTGAGGGGCGGAGACTCGCACATGGATGAAGACTCAGTGGATGAGAATGAGTTATGACGTGGCGAGTGCCGGGGAGTGGCAAAACTGGCACACCAACCCTGAACACAAAACAGCCAAAATTGATTGGTGAATTTTGAGAACACTGAAACATGGTTTCTGTGGTCTACTACAGGCAACCGACAGGAAATGAACATCAATGCTCCACCTCACAGAACTGGCAAAACTGCGCATTTGAACGTCTTGCAGATCAGCTACGTCACGTATATGGATAAAAGAGTTGGCTTGGCGGTGCGGTGTTTTCTCTCGACGTATATATTACCTGTTCAGGGTCAGGACTGGAGAAAGGCTGATTGGAGGCGGAGGACGCCCCTCCGTTCTCCTCGCTCGACTGACTGAAATACTCGGACGTATTGGCGCCCTCTCCCGCTGCGTCACCGAACAGACGCTTCACGCAGTCCTCACGTTCCGGCGTCCTCGGGTATTCCTCGATCGTCTCCATTCTGCGAAATAGTGTGCTTTCAACGTGTTCGTTTTTACCGCAAATTTCGCGCCCTTTTTTAAAGGTTTTCAATTTTTCATAAGCCGCTGCAACGGTTAATTAGAAAGGATATGCGCAAACCAGCCCCACCCCCTTTCATTCTGCGCACAAAATGGCCCAATGGAGACGGTGGTAGAGAGGGAGAGAGTTGGAGGGGGAGAGAGCACTGAAGCCGCATTGCGGAATGCTCTGGCGGCTCTGGAAGAGAGCAAGAGAGAGGCTGCCTGCGTCGCCCAGGAACAGGCGGTCACACTACGGCAGTACTGGCAGGCCGAAGTCGAGAGCTACAAGGTTGGCACAGCTACACCTAGGAGTGAAGGAAGCTCCCTAGCTGTTATCCCTCAGGAGCAGTCGCAGCAGCATGCGATCACCATAGTAGCAATGGAGGAGAGGTTGCTGGGCGTGCTCGAGCAGCAGCAGCAACTGCAGAGCGAGAACGAGTCGCTGAAGCAGCAACTCTATGCCACAGTCTCTAGACAAACAGGTTAGGTCTTTGCCTGTGCGTTCTTCAGTTTTATGCTCCTGAATGGTGAATCCTTAGATTCAGGGAGTGCAGAAGATGAAGCGAAATCAAAAGTTGAAGAACTTGAACAACTGGCAAGAGTTCTAAGGTTTGGCACACGGCACTGTTGTATGGAAGATGCTCCGTCTGGTAATATAACAGGAATCAGTTAGTCCTGAGCTCTAGAGAGAAAGAGGAGCATCAGCAGACGATCCATCAGCTCAGGAAAGATATTGAGAATCGAAAACATGCTGAAGGTGCTATACATCTGTGTAGCGAGATATACGTTCCAACAACGTACGACTGTAATGTACTCAGATAACCTGAGAGCTCAGCATTCACATGAACAGGAGGACATGAGGCAAACCCTGTCATCACAGGAGAATAAGGTGGAGAGCCAGAGACAAGAGGTTTGTAAACTGCGGGAGGAACTTGAGGAAAGACAGACTGAGCTGGCCACTATGATGGAAGAGAAGAGAAAGAGGGAACAAGAACTGACTGAGTCTTGCCAGAGACAGCTGCAAACTCAGTTAAGAGAGACCAAAGAGGTATATAAACAATACGTGTTTAGACACCCTGAATAAAGGTATATACTTGTAGCATTTCCTCCATCGGATGTTTGTACTTGTGGTTGTGAGGTTTCTCCATGCTGTTGCTTGCTGCAGAAGTGGGATCAGTTGATAGCAGTGGGAGAGAGGTGTCTGGGTGAGCACCATTCCCAGGTCCTCGTCAGACAGAAGGACACCATAGCTCACATCAGAGAGAGGCTCCAGGAGAGAGACAATGGCAGCAAACACTCGGGTCTGCTGTGACACTAAGCATTTCACATCAGCCTTGTATATACATTGATAACCAAAGACTTTAGTGCGATGGCGACGATCCACACCATACTTGTAGGCCTCTACTCATTCGAATACAGCTTGATTTTTTAGAAGTATCACGTACTTTGGCCTATCAAAAGTAGTTGCACTAAGGTCGATTAACATGCTTTTTCTTGTGTGGGTATTATTCAGATGGTCACGAAGCAACACTGGCGGAGCTGGAGAGAGTGAGGGAGGAGCTGGTGGAGGAACGGGCTCTGAGGCACCTGGAGGCCAGCCGGGGAGCCGGGGGAGACTCCGATTCCGATTCCACACTGGAATCAGACCCTGTCCTCGATGCCCTGCAACACAGCGAACACTCAGTCAGTAGGCACCATACATACAATAGATACCACATACAAATGGTAATGTATGAGAGTGCAAAAAACAGAAAAGGCCAGAGTGGAATAGTAGATAAGTTTGCTTTTCTATGGTGCCTACTGTGTATATAGCAAGGGAAGACAGTTTTCTCTGTTGCAGTATTTCTATCTGGTGGAAAGTGTGTGTGAAGGAGGTTGGTTAGTGAAAGGGGGTCGCCCGGAAGAGAAAAGGATGCCATTAACTCCAAACCCAGCTGGCAGACTGTCATTGACAGAGGAAAGAAAGAAGGTAAACTCACACCATTTACAATAAAAAAGATGGTCTTCGATTTTACACAGCGGGACAAACCTTTCCTAAACATTTCCCTTTACTTTTTGTGCTGCATCACGAGTTTGATGTTTTTAGTTTGCCCAGAAAGTTGCTAAAAGAATCCAAGTGGCTGTCAAAGAAGACATGGAGAATCAGCAGAAAAAAGAAAGGTCAGCTACATACATACTACACAACACATGTAAAATTACTCTTCCATTGCAACACACAGTGACAGTGACAGATCCTCAGAGGTACGTTTGCTGTCGACAAATGTACACCCTCATGTGGTGGGTGTGGTCACACTGAGCTCCACCCACTCCCTCCCCCCCTCGCAGCCTGATCTGGGGGAGACAGTGTCGAGACTGAGAGGCCAGCTGGAGACTGCAGCAGAGGAGCTGGACCAGCAGAGACGGGTCAACTTAGCTCTAGTTCGCAGACAGGTCTGTTCTACATACATAAGGAGAACAACAATGATACCTTATACTTTGACTATAGTTGGAGGGTGGAATAGTGTTGCCATCTCGCCCTAACTTACCTTTGTATATAGCTGTCCCCATTCACCTCACCTCCGATTAAGGGTTTTAACGGTTTTGCAATTTTTGCAGGGACATAAGTAAACCAAATGAGAAACCAATGATACCTTATAATTTGACTATAGTTGGAGGGTGGAATAGTGTTGCCATCTCGCCCTAACTTCCGTTTACAACTATTATCATCCTACCAGCAACATAACACTGTCTTGCATAAGAATTTTTGCTGCTATAAGGAATTTCGAATTTGAGAAAGCATATGACTAGCAGCTTGTATCTATCAGTTTTAAGATGGTTGCCCCGCTGTTGACTGTCTCTCTATTATCACTGACTCTGCAGGAGTTCCGTGAGCAGCAAATGAGGAAGACCATCCAATTCCGCAAGAGCCAGAGACAACCGGTAGACCGTGGCACCCAACACACCACGTAGATCAACACTAACACACACACATTCACTATCATGCTCCTAGCAATCCGAAATTCAATAGAAAAAGTCCATAAAAATGTATTTTTACAAACGGGCACTTCAGAACAGAAAATGACGTAATCATAATCTCAGACATACATAAATGCAACAACCACTAAAAAATCAAAATGTGAACAGATGAATAACGGAGAAAAGAGAGAGATAAAATATGTCCAATAATAATATGAGAACAGATCGAAATTGAGGAAGCGAAGGAAAGGAGATGTGCTACCATTTAGTATACTGCAGTGGAGAAAAAACACGACACAAAACAAAGAGATAATGGGTGACGTGAAGGTTGAAAAAGAGACAGAGACTGACCTGAACTGAAGCAGTTGCAAACTGGTGTCTCTTCGGTGTATTGGGAGACACACTGATGGTGGTCTATAATTAGAGAAGAGAGACAATATCATTTTGCTTCCTACCCAGTTGCTTTCAGATTAGACAAAAGACATCATGTTGAGCAGTGCGAAGGTAGTTTTTGCTTTGCCTTTGTAACAGTTTATGGCTGTTTTTATAGACTCGCTTGTGTTCACTCATCGGAAATGCTAGAGCCCCCAAAATTTAGACTTACTCTTCTGACAGCTAGTTCTGGAGGAGGTGGTCTTGTGGGTAGTAGGGGAGTCTGGAGACCTTCTGGGCCATACTGAGGGAGGGAGGAGAGGAGGGTGAGGAGAGGGAACAAGAGAATCACAGCATGTAAAGGTTGGAAGGTTTGAAAACTGACTTTAGCTTTGACAAGAGCTGCAATTAGTTTCTGTAAGTCCTGTTCAGAGTCGGTACACAGGTACCTGAGGAGGGAGAAATCAGTGTTAGAATGAGCGCCAAATACACGACATGCACAAACTCACTTGGTGTGGTCTTCATGTCCTCTCATGCCTCTTGTCTGCTTCAACCAAAAGAAATTCCTGAAAAGAAACAGAATGTTTACTTCTCGCGCTGTTGTACACATACGCCCAACGTTATTCCAATTAATGTCCACCCTCACCTTGTAGGCATAGGGTTCTTGTGGTCGGTTCTGACGGCTTTTTCCATGCCAGCAAACACATCCAGCTCGCTCACAGCCAGCCTTACCACTTCATTGGTACACTGTGTATATTTTGATGGAAACAGTGGGCTGAGAGGGTGGCCTAAACTTTTCGTACTTTTATCACGAAAATGAGAAAAGGGACAGGTCAACTGGCCATCCTGAATACCTCAACTATAGCAGGAGTGTGCAGTGACATAATCCTCAGGAGTGGGTGTAAATAGGACAACTTTAATTGGATGGGATAGGATGGGCCAAATATTTGAAGTTTGCTATTGTATGGTAGGTTCTGTCTGACCTTGTTGTCTTTGAACTGTACGAAACTCTTCCCCCGAACGGCACACGGATATCTCTTCCACTTCTTCTTCTCCCTCACGTGGACCTGTACACTCTCCCAGCCATCCTGGTGCATCTGAAAAGACAAGAGAACAGCTATCTTTCCTATCTTCACGTACTCCTTAAAAGGCATTTTCCTCTCCTTGAAAACGCTTCAGTATAATCTTTACTACACAATACTCCTTTTTTATCTAGGCGATTTTACCCTCGTCCTTAAAACGAGACTCAATTTTCCCTCGTATCTCTCTCGCCTATCTCCCCCATCTTTCTCAGCACTTCTGTTTCAACCTCTCTTACACTGCCCCCCCTCTCTCTACCTCCACATGAAACAAAACTCACGAATGGTTTGATGCTCTCGTAGAAGGCGTTTGGTTTGAGACACAGATGGCACTCAGAGCCGACAGATGAGAGAGCGGCCAGCAGCCTGTCCGAGGAGCTGAGGACGCGATACGAGTCACCCTCGCCGATGACCAGGTAGAGGGCGTAGTGGTCCGGGGGTAGGCTCTTGTTGGTGGATACTTCTTCCACTATCTCTCCTACCGACGTCTCTGGAGTTATCTGAGGGTGTGAGGGAGGGAGACTAGTAAACTGTGTGCTGACGAGGCATAAAAACAAGGTGTCAGAAATCAGTGGGCTATATAGAAGGCATGAAGTTTTAAAAAGGTTAGGAAACACCTTAAAACAGTGAACAAGCTGCCAGTATAGAATTGTTAGAATCCTTTCTAATCCACCCATTCATCAGATCACCCAATTCCTTCATTCCGAACACTCTCTCTCTCTTACTCTTCCATCGTACACTCGCATACAGTGGAACACCTGAAACGAGGACACTTCTACTGGCATAAGGACACTTCTAGTATCTCTTACATGCACTGACAATTTAGACAGATTTCACTGCCCAATATGTATTGTACATACATACGGTGAAATACACGCGCAGTACTGCAGTTCTAACTCACATATGTGCCGTAGGTGTCTCCGGATCTGCTGAGAATGTAGATTGTGTTGAGGAACTTCATGTTGGAGGTCATACCAACATTCACCACCTTCTGCTGCTGAGCCGCTCGCAATATCTTCTCCTTTGCCTCCTCCAGCTCCTGATTTTTTTTAGAAAAAGTAAACTTTTTGTCGCCTGTCCGTGTATTTTGAATGTAGAGTCCCACATATTTTTTGTTTCCCACAAACATTTTGTTGTTGTTGCACTCACTTTCTCTTTGGCCTCCTCCTCGTCTTTGACCTCAAAGAGCCACTTGTAGTACTGTATCATTTTGTCCATACACATGAACTCATACTTTGCATTCTGCATCGACACCTACAGTAATATGGAAATGATGATTATACGTCGTATTACCCAGTCACACTTTTCCGCGACAGAAGGATAGTTTGAGTTTCACGGCAAGGTGAAACAGGGCAGTGTGACGCGTTTTACGAACCAATTTTTACTTACGACCTCAGGTATTACAGGAAAAGAAGGAGGGAGAGAGAGAGAGAGAGATAGGTTTACTCACAGCGTCGGCGTTGACAGTCATCAGAGTAGGGGCAAAGAGGCTGACGAGGTTTGTTCTGCCCATCTTGTTCTTACTCTCGTGGTCTATCACTCTGAGAGAGAGAGACAGCATACAGAGCCATTGATTATACAGCAATCTTCACTAGTCCTTTTACTGAAAAGTTCCCAGTCTCTTTGCTACTCTTAAACGAAAGTACTGAAGTTCACAGTGAGAAATATGCCATTATAGAGGAAAGTAGGGATGCATGATATACACTATATCTATCTCTAGGGAGTACTATAATTATGGAGCTACACGGACGTAAGAGAGAGAGAGAGAGAAGAAATAGAGTTCTCCTACCTGTTGAGGTGTCCGATGATTCTCTTGAGGGTCTCTCTGTTGACAGGAGGCAGCTGTTCGACGAGGGACTTGAGCTGGACCAGCTGCTGCTCGTGCTCAGCTTCTTCTGGCCACACACAGTGAGAGAGAGAGAGAGAGAGAGAGAGAGAACAATCAATATATGAACTTCCTATTATTACCTTACATACCATAGTTAACTAACTAGAACGATTACAACACATTGTTGGTATGTAAGCTAGTGAGAGTGGTATGTCAGAATTACACGTATTTTGTAAATGTATTTAGAATTACGAGATTGCTAGGTACCCATGAAGCTTCTCAATAATGGTAATAATTTTGACACTTCCCCAAGCGATAATTTCAGAGATATAATTCCGAGAGAGATGGGAAGAGAGAGAGGGAGAAAGTGTCTCACTCATGACGAGGACAAAGTCCTGGTAGAGAGAATGGGTGAGGAGAGGGTCAGGTAGGCTCTTGAAGAAATCCTTCAACACGCCAGCAACATCGTGGACTGTGTACTCCTCAGAGTTGATTAGGAACCCACGGGCATCTGAGGAGGAGGAGGAGAAGGTATGAAACGCTGCCCACTCAGTCGTGGAGGGCGTGGGAGGCGCACCTTGATTGAATCCCAGGATTAATCTCCTGATCTTGGCAAGGTTTCCACTCATTCGGTAGATTCCCTGAGCCTCCAGACCAAACGTCTCCACAAACTGGAGACATTTGTGGACGATGATCGGAATACGGGCGGACGTCGTCTGCTGCTCGCTCAGTGGGATCCCCGACACCTGGTGAACGTATGGACATATGTATGAGAAACTTATCTTACACACCAAACAACAAGGAATAGTTTTGCAGAGTTCAACGAGAAATCTTGGAGCCAAACAAAGCAGAGCTCAAAAGCATACCTGTACTTAGCTTGACCACGGATTAGATATCACGCCCGAACAAAATTATGACATCAGAGGTCTTGTGGTTGGGGGTAAGGGAAAAGCCTAAATTTTGTTTCCCCCACTCCGGTATATTTTCATAGAGAGAGAAAAGTGTGAGGAGACCTGTGTGTGTCTGAGTGCCTGCATCCAGCTCTCTGCCTCGGCGGGCGTGTCTGCCCTGAGCGTGTAGACCCTGTCGGGCAGACAAATCTGGAAGCAGCAGAGGGCCTCGGGGGTACCGCTGACGTGGTCCGGGGGCTTCAGCTCCACGACTTTCTTCAGGTCTATCTCCGACAGCTCCTCCCGCTCCTGGGAGGGAGAGGGGGGAAGGAGAGAGACAAGGATAAAAGGCAGTTGTTGCGCAACTGATATGGACTCATCCGTGTTCGTAGGAAAAAGAAAGAGCTCTCCAGAAGGTGTGGCAAGACAAACAGTGACTATAATAAGCACAGGACTGTGGCTTGCATAAAAACCGTCCAGTTTTGTTACAAACTGGCTGTATTATAATAAGGGGGAAGGACGGTTGGTATAAGAAATCTTCTACTGAAAACCCTTCAGCTTCCCCTATCGCAATTTCCTTCTTTACCACCCTTTCCAACAAGGGTTTGAACAGTTTTGCATTTGTTGTGCGCACACGAGTAAACGAAACGACAAACCAACAATGCCTAACAGTTTGACTATAGTTGTAGGTTGGAATAGCGATACTATCTCGCTGTACCTAAACCCTTATTTTTCTAGCAATTTCCTTCTTTACCACCCTTCCCAACAAGGGTTTGAACAGTTTTTCATTTGTTGTGCGCACACGAGTAAACGAAACGACAAACCAACAATGCCTCACACTTTGACTATAGTTAGAGGTTGGAATAGCGATACTATCTCGCTGTACCTAAACCCTTATTTTTCTAGCAATTTCCTTCTTTACCACCCTTCCCAACAAGGGTTTGAACAGTTTTGCATTTGTTGTGCGCACACGAGTAAACGAAACGACAAACCAAAAATGCCTAACAGTTTGACTATAGTTGGAGGTTGGAATAGCGATACTTACTCTTCTGTAGTAGACAAGGCTCTTTCCCTTGAGTGTGAACCATCGTTTCTTCCAGCCGCCGACGTTGTGAGGATCCTTCTTTCTCAGGTACCCCACTTTGTCAAACCCCTGACACAAACAAACAAACAAACAAACAAGATTGTAAACAACGAAAAACAACAATAAAAGGCTCAGACTCACCAATTTTTCTGCCCCATCTCTCGGAATGACCTGTAAAAATTGAGGCGGGTAACAGAAAATTTTCAACGGGGAGCTAAAAATGTACACACCTTTTTCAGTGTTTCGATCCAGTCGTCCATTTCTGCCTTACTGTCGGCGCAGAACAAGTAGCCTCTGCTCTGTGTGTTGAGCTAATTGACAGATATAAAGGGAGAGAGGGAGAGAGGGAGAGAGGGAGAGAGAAGCACTACACTTTCACCATCCATAACATGTGTGCGCTACAAACATTGTGTGCGTTTTTCAAAGTTGGTTTTGTGTGAAAAGCCTTCAAGCAAAGCTAGGCAGGAAGAATAGACAATATCGTGATCTCTTTGTTTCTAGGAGTGGCAATCCACAGTGCCCACATGAGAATATGCTAGCGCTTCCATAATAAGGCCAACAGATATGGAGTTAATGATATTCACGGCTGGAGGTGCATGGAAGTGCATACCTCAAAACAGTGTGGGTATTTTGGGTCCTTTTCTTCGTCGCAGAGAGAAATGCTCAGCATTTCGTGGATCTTTATGTCTCCTTGGCAGTCCGGGTCCTGCAGGAAGGAGGGGTAACAAAGAAGAAATGGAGGGGGAAGTTCCTTTGATTATCAGCACAAATGAGACGGTGACGCCTAGAGCAGTGATGTTGCATTCAGTGTGTGAGTGAGATTAGTGTGGCAAATAGGTAGGTACACACCCCTCTGCCCCACACTATGAATTTACGACGACAGACTCAAACGCAGCAGAGACACGAAAGAAAAAGGATAGCTCCCTTGTCACCATTAGTACAAGTATAACACCTGAAAGCAGTCTCCTAGCCTACTGAGTCAGAAAGGGGTCAAAGTTCAAGAGGAAACTGCAAGGCTAGTTTTTCAAACGGATAACCATGTCTACAACAAGTCTATGGTCTCGGGTCCAAGTGTACAATACAAATACTTCACTGTTTGTTTTCGTCAGTTTGTGTAGCCGTGGCAGTGATGGTGTTAGCTCTTTTTGGTTTTGTTTTCCTCCACCTGCGATAATCCTAGGGATTCCCTCGCTTTTAGCACACGGCCACACATTTCTTAGCAAGAAATAGTCACTTTTGGCCACGATAGGTGAGCGTTTGACTATAATAGTTTGTGCCCAGCCGCACCATTATGACCGGCTTTCTGCTGAAACTGCAGCCACATGCCTAATGAGCTGCACACTCCACCATTTGGCTAAGTAACTTTTGCCTATGATAGCGCAATCTGTATGTACAAGTGCATGATTTCTTATGAAATGGCCACGGGCTAATGGTGCTATTATGGAGCATACAATCAACTTTCTGCCGAAACTAGCCACTGGCTAATGCTGTAATTGAGCTACATTGTCTTACTGTTTCGGATCTGAAGTATTCGACACCTCTGAACTGGTCGAGTGTGCACCACCGTCTCTTCCAGCCCGTCCTGTCGTTACCCGTCTTGTAGAGGTGACCCTTCTTGGTGACTACTTGCGGGATATCAACCTGGTAGACGAGAGGAGAAGGGAAGGGGAGGGGGAAGGGAGAAAGAGGAAGTGGGAAGGGAAGTGGTAAGAAGGAAGAGAGAGGGAAGAGAGAGAGTGAGAGAGAAAAGGGGGCTAGCGGTGAAGGAAGGAGGAAATTCTAGGAGGAAATGAGAGTCAAAGGGAAAGGCCTTATTGCTTCATACACAGCTAATAGCAAACTACAGCATCAAAGTGTGAGGTCAGCAGACAAGAGTGCATGTGGTGCGGAGCCAGCAGGTCTCAACATGTACATGTGATGTACAGTTCATGTAACGACATGTAATAATAGGGGAGACTCACCGGCTTGGGGCTTGACAGGGCTCTGTTCTGCTCCAGTAGCTCCTGCAATAAACATTGACAGCTAATGAAATACCAAAAGGCCAGACTGCAATTTACACACACGACTGTTTTTTCAGTAAAACATCTGAAAAGGACCCTCTGAGGTTAACGGACACAGCTTTATATAGGACACTTTGTTCTGCCCCATACTAGTAACCTCTGAATAAGGGACCACCTCTGAATAAATGTGCCTCCAATGTGTTCCTTATTCAGGTCTCACTATTACTATGTGCTTACCACTTGTAGCGTCTGTTTGTGATGTCTTGCGACCCCAAGACCTGTATGTATGTACAATGCACGCAACACACATTCAACACTGTACGTGAGGTCCACTTATCGTCATGCAAACAATTCCGTTACGTTGGCAGTTAATAGTTTTCAAAGACTAACATGTTTTCAATTTCGGGTTCGGCTCATTTGGGTCCTCGTACGAAACCTGTAGGGTATAATTATACAACGAGGACGATGACATCATCACAATGCTAAAAATAGAATCCCTAAAGAACGTACGTCTGCCCCGTGGACTAGCAGCTGTATGGTCCTCATGAGGTTGTTGCTGGCGACGCAGACGAGCAGTTGTTTGCTCAGAGCCTCGCGGTCCTCCCCGGTGGGTTGGGGGATCCACGCACGGTCCTGGTACTTGGCCCGTATGAAGGACTCCCGGATGTCTCTCTCCACACCGGCCTCGAGTCTCTCCTGCTGGCAGTGCTTCTCCCAGAACTGGTTCGACCTCTCGTTGCCTATCTCCACCATCAGCTACAGGTGTGGGGGAATAAACCATTACATCACTCTTACATCACTTCCTTCCTTTCATCATAGACAGTACTACAATTCCCCAATATAATAGCTACTGTATACATACCCCTCTGTACATTATGTGACTAGACTGTCTGTACATCTGTTACTAAATTAACATAG